AGTATTTTATTTTCTAATAAAATTTAATCTAACCATTTTTTTCCATTATTCTTAGCTTAAATTGAACTAAATTGATTTGAATTACTGGTATGATATTACCATAAAACAAAAATTGGAACAATTTCAAAGTTAAGGTGGAATAAAGCAAGCAAGCAAGCACAAACACGAAAACTTTTTTTCTCATCGTTTTTAGTTTATTGAATCAGGAAAATTTCTACTTCAGAATATACATTACTTTATTTTTTCTTATTTAAGATATTTTTTAAAGTTTTAATTATGGATGAAAACAATATTAGCGGCTCGTAGTTTTATTATTATTTTTAATGATATTGATTTTATGCTCGCTATTTTCAATAATTCAATTTTCAATAATATTTTCAATAATTCAATTTTCAATAATTTAAAGTAAACTTCACAATGTTTCGACATTCTTTGTTTCTGCAGTTCATGATATCAGTTCTGGTATGAACAAATGACGTACGACAAGTAATAAGAAAGTTAAACTCACTTCTATATTTCCCCCCGTACCATATTTTCTCTGAGGTATAAAGTCTATCGCTTGAGTCAATATAAAATGTAAAAGACTGAGGAAAGAAGGTCGCGGGAAAAATTAAATACCGGACAAAACAAGCAAAACAATTAAATTTGAATATTTCTCGAAAAAAACTGAAACACATTAGTGAGGATGCAAGCCACTAACATCAATGAAATCTACTATACACCTATATTATAACGAAAGAACTTGGTTAGAAAATTATTCAGCAAAATAGAAGAGAAGAAATTATGTCAAAATAAAAAAAAGCTCGAACTGAAATTCCCAATGTTTTGCCCGGACGCAGGAAGCAGTAGAAATAACTGAACAAGTGCTATGATTTAAAAGAAGAGATGATGCAATAAAAGTAAATTTAAATGTCTCAAAATCATCAATAAAATCTTAAACGTGAATATCTGGTAAACAAATCATAAAGCGTAATATTTCGTCAAAAATCAGAAATTGAGAGGGTATATAGTGGCAGATGATGTGTCAGATTTGACATTAACTAAAATCACGTGAAAAAGTAGGCAAATAGGAGAGTTAAAAACTGATCAGGTCAGGATCAGAAGACACAAATTTTGTCTGAAAATACTAACAGTTAATCACTAGGAATAATAAATAGTTTAATATTACACAGGAAGAAAGAGCTGTCCGCTTACAAATGGAAGGAATAAAAACAAAGCCACAAATAATAGGAACCAGCTATTAACCGATATCTCATCAATACGGTACAAGCAATGATATTGATCTAATCTTGAAGATCAAAGGAGAAGAAAGAGCCAAAGGATAATAATTAAATGACAATAATAATAAAGAACTGTAAAGAGGAAAAACATTTGCTTGTAACATAGATTATAGATTATACGAGCTGAAACTTCATTGTAATTTGAGTAGAATAGGAATGGTGGCATTTCACATGAACAATTACTTGGAGAGACTGATCTCGTGTAAAGAAAACTTCGTATCACTTCACTTTTACAATAATGTGGGGATTTCAAACAATAATAGATGAGGTATTTAAGGAGATTATAATAGTGTTGCTCAAAAAGAATAAAATACCACAATCTGATGGAATAAAAATGAGAGTAAGGAAAAAGGATTGCACTATGAAGAAAGATATGAATATCTCGGGATACCTTCAGAAAACAGAATATGTGTTAGATATCTGGGAGCAGTTCAAAAAATACTGAAGTGAGAACTATGTGTAGATGACGCTACTTGTGCAGTCAGAACATTGACAATGACAATGACAATTTCATCAGTTCCATCCATCTACATCGCTTAATATTGTAACATCAACTGGTTACATTTATCTTCCCGATGAGACATTCACTGCATGTAAAATAAGTTATTAAAGAAATCGGTTAATGAATGGTTGATTGTATTAACACAATGAAAAAAAAAAGCTATCCCAAACTGGCAGAAACAAGAGAAATGCTGGAGAACAATGATAATTAAAAAATTGGAAAAGAGAATATGAAAATCAATTTGGTTATAGCTAAGGTATGAAACCTCGAAAGAAAAAGGGATCAATAATAACAGGAAGGCACAAGAACCGTACACAAAAATTATATCGAAACTACAAAAAAATTAACAACTCATAGCAAAATTACGCAATTTGTGTAAACCGCCTTTCGAATACAGACATAATGAAATTGCTGTTGTGATTCATTGAAACCTTTGTAAAAAAGGAGTGATAATAGCTGGGTAAATGCATAAACCAGTAAAGAGATGCAAAGTTAAAATGAAAAAGTTTGAACATTTTAGAGTTTTAAAATATAAACTGATAGAAGAATTTAACCATAACATTATCATTATCATAACAGAAAATGATCGATGGAAAGTTCACGATGTCAAGATAAAATTCAATTCCGATGATTATTATGTTAAATGATACAATGTCAAAAGAACTATAAGAAAATTGGGAAACAATCTTGCTTGAAGATAATTCTTACATTCCGATTCCAAAATCTAATTTAAACATTGTGAACTATATGAATATATTTATTATTCTCGATAATATTAGTAATAATTAATGATAATAACGGTATAACAAACAATAATAACAATAAGTTATAATGGCTTATGATTGAGCATAAAGAATTGAATGTGTGATACTTATCAGCAGAAATAGAAGTAGTCATTGTCAAAGAACTGTCAACCGGTGTATCGCTTTCATACTTCTGATCAATCTCACCGGTTATACTGGCAAGTCCATTCGCCCATTCATTCACTCTCTGCCAAATGATCAAGCATGAAAAAGTCGACGCTCTCCCCTTTTTATACATTGTCTGAAGTTGCACTTATGTGTGTGTGTGTGTGTGTGTGTGTATGAAATAAAATACACGAAGAGTTCGTTAAAATAGACGATGACAGTATGGTATGTGATGGGAAGAAGAATGATTAGAATTGTTGCAAATTACGCCAAAATGGTTTTTTAATTTTCTGTAAAATTACTAAGGAAGGATAGGGAAGACATCCTTTTGGAAAATGTTTACATAAAAATGTACATGGAAGGGATAGAATGGTATTTTGTCGCAAAAGAATATAACAGCAATTTGTTACAAAAGTCACTAACAAGATCGAGGACGAAGATATTAAATGCTGCATTGAATTCTCACGCTTATTACGATGTTTGTTGAGTTGTATGAATTAAACACTCAAAAACTACACGCAATTAATCAATAATATTAATTTGATATATTTTCCTGATAATAGTTGTGAATTTTTCAACAGCAAAATTTAACTTTAAGTCACTACATATCTTTTCTTAAAGCTCCAAGCATTGTAAGATTAACAATCTGATTAGCTGACAAATTAAACAAAAGGATGCAAAGACTACTTCAGCGATCAAATCAAGCAAGTTCACATTACGCCAATGATGCATACCGCAATATGAGTTTGCTTGGTTTGATCGCTAAAGTAACCTATCGGATGACTATAAAAGTGATGCTATGAAATTTTTTCGTAATTTTTTAAGAGATTAAATGAATGTTTCACTTCTGTCTTCTTTTTCTAAAGAAAAATTCAACTGAGTACTTTAAGAATATCATTTAAAGAACATAAATGAAAAAGCTGTCAAAACAGATTGAAAAAATAAATTGTTGGAAAGGGAATAGAAGCCACGAAAGGGTATATACGTGCAAGAATGAGTGGGATAATGCAGCGACGAGTGCGCTCCAAAAGATCATCAATATCATTCGATTCATTTTGTTCAGTGTAAAAATTTAATTGTTCAGAAGAGCAATGATGGCACAAGTGAATAATATCTATTATCATTGCTCCTCTTACATATCACCTTTGAAGAATTTGTTGGTGAAACTTCCGCTATTTGCCAGTTTCAGTGATACCACTAATAATGAGTAAATTAAAAAAATCCTCCAATTTGAATGTAAACAAATAAATGGAAGTAGTAAACCAAATAATTATTTTGTCTCCTCAGAGTGAAAGCCATTTTAAAACAATGTAATAAGACAGCAATTCAAATGGGTAATTAGCTCTTGGAAAATGACAGAAATAATTTTCATATCATATCCTAAAATTATCATTATTGACTCGGAAATTTTATTGGTATATCAAACAAAATAAACTCAAGAAGAAAATTCCAGCATATATTCCACTAATTACCCAAAAAAATTAAGAAATGTGCGTTGAAGCAGTAGAAAAAATTAAGAAATGTGCGTTGAAGCAGTAGAAACTTTCGGAATTTCAACATAATGAGAGCTATTCAAGGACTCATCATGACTCAATAATTTAATTTTTCCTTTCAAGCCACCTGGACTAGCTGGAAATAAGAATAATTCAGCTTAGTAACAATAAAACGATATAGTTTGGATCACTTAAATACACTTGACATCATCACTGTCATCACAGCAGCTCAAAGTGATCAATCCTTTCTCAATGTCTCCTTTTAAATCTAGAATGCTTATCTCAGCTGGCTTTGCCACAATCAAAACCAGTCTTTCCTGATTTACTTCAGTTAATACCAGACTATTCCAACTCAACATTCTATTGGAGAAATGAGCTCAGAGTTTTCGTAGTGATCAGTCATGATAGCAAATGGATCGATGCGGAAGTAATGCAACGATGCGACGAGTAATTGCTGCAAACCATACTTGAACCTGTTACCTCCGTGCGGTTTGCTACTTTTTTCGTGATGTTAGACTACAATGATACATACTGTAATAAAGCAGTTCGAATACTAAGCGCAGTTTTTTTGAAGAGGTATGTGGTGACGTGTTTTTGTTTCCGCTCGATGAGGTAAGTGAAGGGGTACGGGTTGAGGTTTGCGAGTACTTTATTGGTGTGCAGGCAGCGAAGTAAGCATAAACGGAAGGATCTGATCTTCATATCTATCCCATCTTGAAAGTGATAGCCATCCTAGATATAACACTTTTATGGCATTTTATTGCAGAGATGTAATGTGTTTGTTTAGCTGACTATTGAAATTTGTTGAGCGGATAGGATGCTTAGACGGTTGGGCTTATCTTCCTTGTTGAAACCGAAAAATCCTCATTCGCTGGAATACCTGAAGTAAGCCATTCATTATTCCTTTTCGTTCGCTAGATAATGGTGTTTTTATTTTATTAGTTTCAGATTGCTGATTATCTATCAATTATCTGCTCTTCATTTTTTCGCTCCTGTTTTTCTTCATAATTTTTAGGTACTTACATGAAGTACTTCGCAAAAATGAGCACGTTACAGAGAATAATCGCAAGTTATTGGTGGAATGCCTAAGAGCAGTTGCTGAAATTTTAATTTGGGGTGATCAGAATGAAAGTTCGGTTTTTGAGTAAGTTTTTGAGTAAGTGATTTATTTGCCTGAATTATTGCTAATATTGTTACCAATAATCATAAATGAATAGAATATCTTCACACACATTCTACTGAAGAGGTCAAATTTCCAGGAAATCGAATTTAGTTTGCTTTACAATTAAAAGTTTTTGTTTTGCAAGCTGCTATTTTTATAATTGTTTTAATTGGAGAGAATAGGGAGAATTGTTAGAATGTTACGTGTTCTGATATTTTTTTTTGTTTTATGTGCTTAAAGTAATGGATAATAAGTTGCAAACATCTCATCTATAGTTTTCAGTTTTTTCTTAGAACGACAAATGTTGGAATATTTTCTTTCTATAATGAAACAAAATTGTGGATCCTTTATCTGTGTTCAACTATTGCAAACGCTCAATATTTTATTCGAAAATATACGTCACAAGACGTCTTTATGTTAGTTTGTTTTTTTATTGAGTTTTTAAGCCAGTGGTAATAGGCAGTATTTTTTCCTTCACTCATTTTATAGAACAGTGCCTTATGCTATTATTATAATAATAATGAGCTATTTGCAGATTATTTGCTCAGCAATAATCATGTTAATTCAATCATCACATATCGTTTTAATTTTGAAAATGAGGAGATTATGGCATATTACATATCCTTCTTGAAAACGCTTTCCTTTAAGCTCAATATGTATACTATACATTTCTTTTTCAATGAGGTCCGTTTGCTTTTTTATTATCAGTTTTTTATTATTTACTACGGTTTACTTCGTGTTCGCATCCAGTGATTTTATAGGCTAATCAAGACTTCCCATTGTACACAGAAGTCATCAAATTTCAAAATCATAGTGAAGCTATGGTGCGCATTGCAGTACGAACGACCACACTGAACATATACAAAGGTATTCATCTTTTTTAACAAAGCATTTTTAATAGTTTTGTGAACAATTCTTTATATAAAACCGTGAAACTGGTGAAGTTCCATTGCAATTGTTTTGTTCATATTTTTAGTGGAAGATGAAGCAATGCGAAGCTTTGTTCATGCTCACTCCCGGGTTTACTTTTGTGCTTTGAGTGATTCTATTGCAAGGCAGTCAATTGAAATCGATCATTTCATTCGGTCAGCTGAAAATGAATCTAGCAATCGCAAAAGGCTTGATGCTATGATTGATGATTACCTTGATTATATGCATTACCTCAATGATGTTTTACTTATAAAAGTTAGTTGATCCTCTGCGGTCGTTTTTTTGTGTTCACTTTTGTCATTTTTGTCAGAAATAAGCAGCACATTTACTTTAAAATGAGAATTTTTTCTGAAATATTTTGACACAAAAAGTTGTGAATTTGGAAGAAAATTTGTATTTTAGGATGAAAAGCTTTCTTCTGTGCTCATTGAAGTGGTTTCTGAAAGACTGCTGGGGTCGCTGTATCTTTCATCTCTCGGCGATATTCGTCGTCTTCATCCCACTATTGCTGTTTTAACACCAGTTTCCACTCTCTTCTTTCTTACCCACTTTCTGCTGATCGTCGATAATTTCCAGGTATGTTAAGTGGTGAGATGTTTGTAAAATAATATTTTGTAGCAGATTCAATGCCAGTATGGTTATTTGATATCTTTATAATTCAAACAGCAGCGTAACATTCTTAAGTAGTTTAAAGCATTTGTCTACTGAGACACATGTTTTTTTTTATTCTCTTAGTTCAGTATCAGTGACATTTTTTATTTTCGATAAAATTTCCAGGTTTATATTATAAAAGATATATAGTTTATAGGCAGTACAAACATTTTTGTCGTCATTTTTTTTTGGTGATGGTTCTGATGTGGAGTATCAGTGGATTCGCAATGAAAAAGCAGCTTGGGTTCTTGTAAATATGAAAGCTAAAGACATTGAGTCGAGGTTGATTTTCAGTTGCACTTGCACGTTTGAAATTATATGTAGAGGACTTAAACTCTTTTTAAATTAAAATCTTATAATAACGAATTTCAGAGCATTTTTTAACGGGTATATGAATGCATTGATTTGTTCGAAAAATGATCATTCGGCTTTTTACGGGCTTATTTTCATTTATGCTCTTTGTCAAAACAAAGGTATTATTGTTTAACTGATACCGTTGTCGATTAAAAACGTTTCCTTGTTTGCTTGTCGAAAGTCCAATTGCATTGCTTTGAAACTGTTAAATGCGAAATATTAAAATCTCTCTTTCTGCTTGTATGACAGTAAGCGCATCATAGAATTGAATAATTTATTGTAAAGTATTTTAGGGGCGCGAGGGGAAATTCTGGAAGCTGTACAGTTCACTTCCGATGTTTTTGGTCCTTCCGATCACAATTTCCTAAACGGATTGCTGGATATCATAGCGAGAAGTGCTGAAGCAGGTGTTAATATATTGCCAGTTGCTTAGTAATTATTATTTTTATTACCGGTTTAATGCATAACTAACTGAAGCATGACTGCAAATTTTCAGACTCGTTTATTCGTACAATAACAGTTGAATTATGCTGTATTGTCTTAAGGCAGCTATTACTGGTCATGGATGCATCTATAGATACTCAAGTAGAATGCGAAAGAAGAGCAGGCAAAGTTATATCAAGCGTTGTTATTATGCTCACACCGTCTGTTTATTCGGAAGAACTGTTTTTGGAAATGTTTGAAGATGAATTTTATAATTTTGAGGTGAGTTCGAATACTTTTGCTATTTTGAAAAGTATGTCAGCGTGTTGTTCTTATTCTAATCATTATTTCATTTTTAGAGAAATAGGATCAAAATTAGAAGTGTTAGTACTGATTCATCACTTTTGCTTCCTCCTCCTAGTACACCACTGAATGGTGTTTCTCTTAATAAACGTCTTCCATGTGGCAATGAAGAACGAATAAGAAAGGTGAAAATTTTTTGTATTTAATTTCTGTTGGATGGATGCTGTATCTAAAGATTTAACTTTATATTAAGAACAAGATTTAACTTTATATTATATTCACGTGAGCAAAATGCTTGGCACAGTTATAATGTTTAGCTCGTAAAATTAGTTTTTTTATTTTTTCCAGAATATCCAGCTGTTCTTCCACTTGAGACACTTTGCGTTAGACCTTCGCGATGAGGAAGAAACACATTTACCAATATCATCTAAAACTGATGTATTTGTTGAAGTAAACGACTGTATTAACCTCGGTTATTCTTTTTTTTCTCATAATAATAATAAAGAACAAGAACTCTCTCTTTTATATTGGTTTATTTTTTCCTTTGTTTTGGCATTGTCCATCTAACAAAAATGACTAAAAAAATTTCGCATTTATCACTGTTTTATTTATATAATTAATCTTGCTTTATGCATTTCATATAACAAATTTTGTTGTAGAAAACAGTGATTTGCTTGCTTGTACAGTTGTTATGAATGAGAAAAACGAGAAAGTCCACCGATTCCTTGTTACGGATCAGGCGCAGTTAATACTGGTAGAGCCAGATAACAAGCACATGGGGTGGGCCGTTGTCCGTTTTGTTGGTCTCTTACAAGTGAGTTTTATGCTCTCCAAAAGAAGGTCCTACGGTAATAGTTTTTTCGGTCAGCGAATATACTATTCTAGGACACTCAACTAACGAGTGACCTTGAAGACAGTCGTGCACTTCATATCATTGTTAATGATGTGAGTAATCGTTCGGAAGCAAACAATGCTGTTTATTTCAATGCAAAATTTTTATTTGATGACCATATCCGATGTATGGCTGCCAAACAACGCCTCACCAAGGTTTGTTATGCGTCATTTTCCCTTTATTATCAGAATTTCGGATTTTCGGAATTCAAATTGAATAATTTATACATAGAGGTGACAGATAATATGTCTCTTGATGCAAATCTCCATTTTTCTTTACTTAATGTATAAATTTCAACGAGTAGTAAAACCCAAGAAAGTAATCACCACTATTGGGGAAAAATTGAACGTTTAGAGATCAAGTAACAATATTTTTATGGAAAAAATGTTTCAGGGTAGACAAATGGCAAGGCAATGTAAACTGGATCAGATCTGTGATTTGTTTGGAATCGCACGTAAGGCTTCTGTATGGAGAAGTAATAAGAATCCATTTCGGATAGTTAAAGGTTGTCCACCCGGGTCATTACGGAGACAGTCACAAATAAACAGTCCACGTAGCAGCAGATCATCCAGCAGTTCATTGCATATTGTTCCAGATGATCCTAAACATGGTGTAGGTCCTTCAACAAACAAAGATTGGAAAATAGAAGACATGTAAATTCAAGCTTCTGTAAATATTAAAAAACTGTGTAAAACTATATGTCAATTTCACATCACTGCTATTTATTTTGTCATTTATTTTTCGTTTTATTTTACAGGATTTTACAGAGTCATTTACTACATTGCTAAAATCCTTAACAACTTATTTAGTCCTTATATGGATTCTTTGAATTTTACAGAGCCATATGAGAAGCTTTTTAGAAAAATTAATGTAGCAACGAATTCTAAATTCACTTTGGTGGATTTCAATTATACAATATTTGTAATAATATTGTTGCTTACCCTTGGATTGTAAATTTCGGCTCGAATTATATGTTTGTTTTTGAATAAAATCTTAATATCCCTTTTCGTGTGCAATGATTTCTACGTGAGAAAATTTTTTATCTGCCTCTGTAACATTTCTTGTTACTTCAATTTTTTGTTAACAATTTCTTCTAAATAAAATCTTGCGGCGGTTTTATGCCTTTTAGTTGAGGCAAGTGGCGAGATCTGGACTGGATTAAGATAGTGCTATAGGAAAGTTTTTCAAGCGTTTTCAATTTGTTGAAATGGTAAGACCGAATGGTGAAAATAGGTTTGCAGGAGTGTGCTATGTCCAATGGTGGACCTACTGACATCCAGCCAAGAGCTAATAGTACGACGACATGTCACCGAGATCCTAATTTGGATTGCGATACCGCTGAGAAGTTAACCAAACCGATGGTTGTTGGAAGTGATTCGCCGCTCAAAAGCTTTGGAGAGAGAAAAAGTCGAGAGAGGAATATGAAGATAGCTTGGGAGCATCAGATATTCAAAAACATCGAATCAGCATTGAGTGATAGTGCGAAAAGGAAATCGCTGGAGCAAGGGAAGAAAGGAAGACAGCCTCTTAATAGATTGCAAGTCAGGAAAATGGTGCTGCCAAGTAGGCTCACCAATTCAGAAACACGGAAACCTGTAGGTTCCTCCATGATAAGTGCGGACGAACTCATCAGTCTATTCGACCTTGCCGTTGATGGTCATTGTTCGATGCACGACAAATTCAGTAAGAATTTTTCTCCTACTATTCGGTAAATTTATAGTGAGATCTGCCAATGTCTCCGATAAGGTTTGATGATACTCTAATACTTTTTTATGAGATGTGGTTATCTTTTCATGAAGTCACAAAACTGGTACATTATGGGATTTACTGGGTTTTTTCGAAATTTCATCAGTGCTAAAAGTGGTATTGCATGGTCGAAACTATTTATGTTTATTTAAACGGAACTTTAGAAATGATTAGAACTTCTGTTCCAGAAAGTACAATGAATGATAGAAATTTATGTCTCAGTGATGAAGACTGGAATCGGTTTGCTTGTCACGTTGCAAGTATTGCAGTACAGGAGGTCAGAGGATTTGCAATAACCGCTACCATTATGGCTGTCAGTAAGTTGTTAATTTTGCATGTTCAATGTTGCTTCAAAAATTAGCACGAGTCAAAGCAAATGTGAAGTAGTATTGGAATATGGAAAAAAATGAATTGTTATGTTGTGAAGTTAACTATTGCGTCTTTACTTTCACTGAGTACCTATTTAGAATTACATTTGTTTTTCCGTGCAAAAGAAGCTTGAGGCACACGTGAAATAACTTTCTAAAGACAAAGTAATTACATTTTTGGAAACTGGTAGAAAATGCTTTCTTGCTCGAAAACTGTTGCGTGAATCCTTATTTTCAATAATTCCAGGACAAAAAGGCTTTCGATCAGCTTTTGCGCAAGAAATTAATGTTTTAATGTCAAATTACGTCTTAGTTGGAGGAAAAGCTGGGCAAGGAGTCCCTGAACTTGTCGCATACCTTTTAATTGCTAATTGGCCTCGAGAACATGACCGATATGATCTCGAGTCAAATGACATTTTGTTCTGTATCATTTCATCAATTAAGGGATGGCTGGAAACAATAATTGGCGAGGTATATTTTGAGAACTCCTTTAACTTAGTTTATATCATATTACTATTATTATGGCAATATTTTCATAAATTGAAACAACTGCAGGCAAATGAGATCGAAGAGATTGAATCGAACTGCGCTTGTGCACTGTATGAGGTGTGTCATTTCGCGCAACGAAAACTTTGGCTGAAATGGCCAGAATTAGTAGATGAATGTTATGCCGCTGTAAGAGATGGTATAACCTTAAATATCACATTAACCAAGTAAGTTTAGACAAGAAGTTGAAACTGCGAATTTGCCATCTATTATGTAAGAATTAATTTAATGCGCTGATTGTTTTATTGCTTCTAAAAATAGAGGAGTTTATCCTGAGACATTTTTTATAAATTAGATAGATAGGAATCAAACTTTTGCAAATCTGATGCAACTTAGTTGTCTTAGCAAATTATTTTCTGGTTTTAACTCATTAGCTCAAACGTTGATAATTGGAGACAAATTAGAATACATCTAATACACAGTACACTTTTAAAATATAACGCTGTTGTATGCACTATCAGATTATAATCAAAGGATTACCAATAAAGATTAATTGGCAGATATTAATTGCAGGGAAGCACGGAAAGCATTATTAGATACCATGATTATGATGCACGAGTGGACTAGTCGGCATGCAAAAACATTGGTTAATGTCAGCACACAAACTTGTAGAACTCAGGTTTAGTTTCTTTTCTGTATGCATTGTAATTTGTTACCTCAAATGGAAAATATTTTCAAATTATTCGACAGGCAGCGACGGCGTTGATAGCTCTATTATTGGTTGTACTTTAATAAGTCGTTAATGATTATTTACCTCATGTTTTTGTAGTTCTTGCTCGGAAAAATCGATTAATTGTACGTGTATGATTCAAAGTGGGCGTATTATTAGGGTTTCTTACTCTCTTTTGTTTCTTATCGGTATTAATAATGACACATACATTGAAACACACCATTTGTTGTTTACCGATGTTACGAACCCATCACGTTAAGTAATAGTAGAATCGGTGCTGGAAGCGTCGCGTAAATCTCCGTAAGCTTTAAAAAAAAAGACATGATATTCTTGTTTTAATTATTCAAAATCTGAATGCACTTTTAGCTAATCAGTGGAGAAAGCGGATTTATGCAAAATAGACTTTCATGTTACAGTTCATGTTACAAAATGGCTTAAGCACCTTTTATTCACTGTTGTTTGTTCAACAGATTTTCTCACTGTTTCGAAATCATTTCTCTCTTTATGTATTTCCTTATAATTCCCCATGAGTAGTGCTAATGCTTTATTGATCCTTCATTCCTTTTTCAGCCTTTTTAAATCGTACACTTCATTTGTGTATTTATATCTGTGGTACGTTCCAAATATCATGTCCATCGCTATATGCGTGCTAATAATGAGCACTGCACAAATTAATTTCAGTTTCCTCCCGTCTCGATGGCACAATTTTTGTGTTGTAGTTGTAATGTTCTTTCTACCTGTTTTATCTGTATACAATTCAGCCGTTGATTATTTAGATTCTGTTTTTCCCCAACTGCGCTGATTGCCTTTTATTTCCCTCACCTATTCACCTGTCGCCCTTTCAAAAATATTGTGTGTGCATTCGTATTGTATTGTTATAGCTATATTTTGATAAAAGGTTCATTTTGCAGAGTTAGAGAACGCTGGGACAAATAGGTGATTAGATTTAGAAAATAGGTAGGTAGTAAGTTTGACCTAATGATACGGCTTATCACCACACGTCTTTTTGTCTTCGATTTGACTAACTCTTTACTCCTTGTTCCACGTGAATCGCGGATATATACGCGACCCCAGATTGTATCGACCGAGTCACTATTCAGATATGTCTTCCGGCTTTAGACAAACAGGTCCACTGTATCAGACAAATGGGCGGGTCAGGCGCACAATTACAATGAGCGCAGACGTCGTGTCATCCCTGCACCAAATTGTATGTCATTCTCTTTTTCTATGTCGAAGTGGAAGAGAAAAATGGAACTTCTGAGATCGATTATATATGAGATGAAAAGAGACAGAGAAGAGGACTGTCTAGACGGAGGAGGGGCAATTGACAACCAGTTGTCTGTCTGTCTGTGTGTCGCTGTAGGACATCTCCGGGGACGATCCTCTATGTTGTGGCAAAAGCCAGTAGATCACTGCTTACTGTGTGTGTCGGTCTGTGCGGGTGTCTGTCTATGTGGCCTGAGGTTGGTGAAGTATGGTACTTTCTGAATTAGTACATTTCTTGAGGCGACGGGTTCGCCCTCCTGAACCTGAATCTGAGCATTGCTTGTTGGGCAGTGAGCCTACTTGTTACTCTACCGCTAAGTTACCCTCACCACAACGACAACACATCGATGCTTTATTGGTAAGTTCAATTAGCTGTGTTGAATCGTATGAACATTACTACTGTTATCACTATTACCAGTTATTTTCATCATATCCATACTATGAATGCGGAGATTTCGCATGGCTTCAGTATGATCCTTTTTCTGTAAACGTGATTAAATGTATCGCTTTCGTCGGTTGTTTTGTTATTCGTGATTTGTTCTCTTCCAGTCCTACTTCCCATACAGAAGAGAAGCAAACTATGTTCATGAATATTATTCAGCAATGATTACTGCACACCGGTTATAAACTATAAATGGAAAACTTCATCAAACAGGCCGTAATATTATCTCTTAACTTACGCGAGAGGCGAGTCTACCACTTTTGTATATAGTTGAGAAATGATACACATACATCGCATTGCACCCTTTACTTCGTGAACATGTACTCGCTTTCCTTTTTATCTCCTTATTTTCAAAAAGACCGCACAGAAAAGATGGTGATTTACCCACGTGACTGTTATCATCCGCTTTGAGATCGATTTTGTCTAGTACACTACATCAATTGTTCAGCTTGCCTATGTGATCGTTGCTTTTAACTCTTGCTGTATCTCGAATATCTCACCAGCATTACCGTAATTCTTAAAACATCAACGTTGTAAATCTCCTATATTGATTTCTATGTTTTCTCTTGCAAGACAACCATCTCGAAATAATTGACTGAAAGCTCTTGGAAGTGGGATATCTATCTCACATCTTCGGCTACTGTTATAGGGGAGGAAGTGGTGGAATAGTCCTGAGTAGCCCGTATTCTCGCTTTCCACAAGTTCTACCGAAATGAATTTGAAGAGAGTGTTTAGCAGTGCGGGATTTTAATGAGAAATAATGTAAAGTATAAGGTCTTTTCAACTGCGCAGAATAAAAATTTGATATGTTTGATGAATGGCGAACATGAAGTTTGTCGAGCACTATATAAGATGTAAGATGGTTATAACATCTTGTAAATTGCTTATCAGCAGATAGTTCGGATATGGTCGCTTTTTGATACCGTTTTTATCATTTTTAGTGCCACAGAAAGATCTTTGAATTCTCGAATCGAAGTTATAGAGTCCCTTTCTTCGAACAAGATTTGATTTTCGGAACTTTTTAGATTTAAGATGCTTTCCTAATATTACGACATACCTACGAAGTTTTGTATTCATAATTTTAAAGAAAAAAATATTGGGTTTTCAGAAGCGATTAAAGACAAAACTTGCTTGTGAACCTGAAGATCATGCTAATGGAATAGATGATGAATGTTGTGTATGTGTGCAGCGGCGTGCATCAGTTCGAGCCTTTCCTTGCAGTCACAAAGTGTTCTGTCGGAACTGTGCTGTCCAGTTAATTGAAGTGAGTTACTATTGAAGATTTCGCTAAAGTTATGCAAGAACTATATCGATGAATTCATTTACATACTTGTATTTCAAGGTCTCTACAGCGTCGGTGTTAAACCATTCGAAGTTTCGGAAATTTATTTGTGGGTAGAGCGTTATTCTATGTATCGCTGAACAAATTTGACTTGTGTAACCAGTTTTGTTTTTCACAAAAAATTCGCAGTGAAATACTCATGCACCCGCTACGTAAATTCTTGGACATTCATTCTTTGAGCGTGTAAAAGCTAATTTTCATTGATTGCTTTTATCAGCAATCTTATTATTTAAGCAATCCAGAAGGCGTATATTACAGGCAGCTAAAATTTTATGTTTTCGTTTTGCTGATGATTCAGTCAGGCTTGCCGTCATTTCGGATTATGTTTGGATTTAAAAATTCATTTCACTTTCTGAATTTGAATCTTTTTCTAAATCTTTCATTTTAGCATGCAATCAACGAGAACAGAATGCGGATGAGCTGCATAATTTGTCGCCGTGATATCGCAAGGTTGCAGTATAGTCGACCGTCGCGGTCTGCACAAATTCGTAAGCAGCAGGCGCTTCTTGACGACAATCACAGTAGGAACGGTACTACTGCCACTGCTACTTTTACTGCTGTTCGTGTTTTGAATAACGCAATTTGGCGTAATCCCGAAGTTTTTTCCAAATATCCATGTCAAACTTTCCCTACGCGTATTACTCTTTCATCTTCTCAATGACTTTTTTTAAATATGTTCCGTTTTGACTTGTTCTGTTTGTTAATTTTGAAATAACTCACTCAATCTTTAGATTACTGGACATCTGAACAAAATATTGTAGATACGAAGTGTAAATTACAACATCGGTACATAGGGATGTTTGAAACTTCTCATGAAATACTTGTACTACAAAGTAGTTGCATTGCATCCGTAACAGCGTAGTAGTAATAGTAAGGCCATTAAGAACAAGTGTCTTTGAGGATTGGTTTTGTATCACTTCAGTGTCGATCAAGTGGAAACACAAACAAAATGCAAGTTTTCTAAAGTCACGAATGCAAGTCTGTTTTTTTGTTTTCTTTGTTCATTTGTGGAGACTTTCGAATGTTTGAGATTTCTCGGGTATTTTACTATTCTCTTTTAAATATTCCTTCTCTCTTCCCAGAAGAAACCTAAAGATATGAAATGGGATGTTAAATTGATCAGTAGATATCAAGTGGCTTGACTTATTGCAGTTGTGCAACGATAATATTGGTATTTCGAGTGGTTTCGCCATACACTGATTATATTTTTTATGTATTGTTCCGTGCGTGTGCCAAAGTCTTTCGTCGTTTGTATATGTGGTCATGACTTGAAATCAGTGTTCACGAATACAGGTGAACGTGTGTACACAAGTGCTCATCAACAGTCAGTAACACTGCATAAATCAGCGTCACTAATTTATAATTTCATAAGTGAAATACAAAAGTTGCTACATTTCAAAAAATGGCAACAGGACGCATTTTGTGAATGCTTAGTAGAACTATAGAATGACAGAGACAAACTCGTTGAAACAGTGAATTTAGGGAAGTATTATTGGCAGGCAAGTAGGTTTCGTTTCCAACTCATTTGGAAATGGAGCATATTCTACGATTGAGTCATCTTTAATCCTTATAAAATAAACAGTGGCTCAAACTTTAAAGGATAAAGAGATGAAGTTAGAGGATCTTCATTGCTTCCTTTGGAATAATAAAGTTCAAATTGAGATTCGAAGTATTTGTCCATGTCGCTGGAATTTCATAATCTGAGGTTAGAGAATTGTATGCCCGAAATAAAATTTAGTTTGCATCAAATTCAAAAAACGAGAGCTCGGAGAGGGTTCAGACTTCGCTGAATCCTTAGCGATCGATAAGACAAAAAATACGAGCTGGCATTACTGGGCCTGCTTTAAGATAAGCATACCTCAACAACACGCAGTTTTCTAAGAAAAATACACTGGAATTTTCTAGCCCAGTAGTTACAATTGTTAGTGGTTGGTAGGTTTGACTGATAACGAGAAACTAAATTGGAATAATATTATTATATTGCCAACATCATTTACACTAGTTAGGATGGATCATTAAATGTGCGGAAATGATGGAGAAGCGAGTAAATTGCAATAGGAGACCTCGTGTATTATATATACCAATAAGGATAGTAATAGACGCTGTTCTACCTCTTGTATCTTTACATCAATTGCCCCCCTTTGATGCTTATAATTTACCTGAAGCAAATCTCCTGCATTATGATATTGTCAATATCATCATTGTACTGCTTTCGGCGATACACGCCCAATAAACGTCACTGTTGGATTGGCAATATGGAGAACTAAACTGATGTAAAGGGTATATTCATCTCATAATGATACGCTATCCTTATCTATATTAATTAATGAGTTTTGTGGTGAAAAGAATGCCACTTATCAGATTGATATCAAAGCGAGATGGCTGAGTGGTCCAGCGTGCCGGTTTTAGGATCAGTCTCTCTGGAGACGTGGTTTAAGTCCCATTCTGATCAAAATATTGCACAAGGTGAGGAATGTATGCGAAGGCGAGATGGCCGAGCGGTCTAAGGCGCTGGTTTAAGGCACCAGTCTCTTCGGAGGCGTGGGTTCGAGTCCCACTCTCGTCAATTGGACTTCCTTTTTGCTGCTGCTGCTTCTGGCTATTAAAATCTGCAAAATTCATATTAGAAGTTACCTCAATCTTCAAATGAAACAGATCTTTCTCCCTTCCTTTCAGAATCAATCTTTACTGATATCTCGGTCTATACGTTATAAAAGGGAGCTCTTGTTCTATTCATACCTATGAATATCACATCACTAAGGCAAACGACACAGAAAACGAAAAGGGACATGATCAAAAGAAGGAGAAGACAATAACGCTTATCGGATCGTACTGTAACACCACTTTTTATTTTGCAAATCGCCGATGTTCTGATTTCGTATTCTGTCCTTAAAAGATGTGGAAAACTGAGTTTACTGGATAATATTTCTAGATTGAACCTCATCGCCCTGAGACTTCTTTTAAGTATGCATGCAAGCCTTATAATAAATGCAACTATTAGTTCTGTAATAACTTTAACTCACTCCTAACGGCTACATAAATATCCAAGTGCCAACATGAATAACTTGTGACCTTCCAGGTAACTACTATATGGTCAGTCTTTTCCATTCCAATTACGATACCAATATTTACCACTATCCTTTCATTCTTTGCCTCTTTCAATTGCAAGAAACTTTAAAACCGCGCGATCTTTCCTTTGCATAATTGTATGTCCATATGAAGTGCATATGCACAACTGCACTGCCACTACTACTATACTTATTCCGGCTATTTCATTTATGTTGCAGCGCGACATTAATAATAAAGTGGCACCAGGCCAACAGATGTAGTAGTATTATTGCAAAGCAAAGCAGAGCAGAGCAAACTGTTGCATTTGTATAGGAGTTGTAAACGGTAAAGCCTAACATGTAGTGAATGCGTCGTCGCTTTCTGTCGCATAATTGCAGCATAGCGTCGCCTTTCATTCCTACTTCTACTCATTTTGTTATAAGAATTCGTGTATTTATTGTTCATCGTTTACATCTCAAAAAAATTCTCAGGGGTTATAGGAGTATGGTTATAGGAGTTCTACTGAGGCATAAGTGTTCATATATGTATAGTACATTAAGGGAGAGGAAGGATGTGATGGGATGGCTTTGAAAGGAAGGAAGGGGAGAATGAATAAGAAAGAGAGAAGGAGAGAGAGAGAAAGAGATGTAGAGTATATTATTCTTCAGGTTATCCCAACAGGAGCATCTTTATCATCCCTCTACAGACTGCAACATTTACCGCTGCTGTGGTGCAAATCATCCAGAAAAGTGCTACTATGTTCCGTTGACACGTGCTTCTTAATGCATTTAAGAAAATACTTTATTGAAATAGATTTCATGTCGGCATTATTAGGATGGTTTGTATTTTAATAATCATTTGACTGCTGCGATTCTTGCTGATTCACCTGTAGGATCGCGCTATCTTAGATTTCCCGCATTCTTAGCATCTTTAATATGTAATAATTTTACTCATGATATTAATATTATTTACGCGATACGCATTCATATCGAAGATACAGTTATCGGTTGTTGAAGTTTTTTACGAGTAATATTGTATGTTCTATTATCCTGCAGCATTATCCCGCAATTCTGGAATTGTGCAGTGTGCTGTACTTTGGTGTGATATCGGTGCATATCATCAAGGGTCGCAAAGGTTTGTTTATTCGTCCTGCACTTCAAGAAACCTAAAGAAAGCATGAAAAGTGCATGGCCGTTTTAAGAGCATACTGTGGTCGGTGGCACTATCATCGACACATACACACACATACACACATAAAACAACATACTCATATATACATAACATAACATACACGCCGTGAATAGACCAGGAGGAGCGGCACATTGGGATGAATCGTAGTAATGATGGTGGTGGTCGTCATCGTCATCGTGGTCGTCACTGATATTTTCATCATCTTCCACACGGTCATCATCACTGTTAACATCATAGCGCGAAGTGTTTCAAGAAAATCAATAATTTGTGCTGTGATATCGTTGATGTTATCGAGCTTGGTGATGAACTGTGCAGAGAAGCTTGAAAAAATTGAGTAGTGCTGTGTGGTGATGATGTCCTTTTAATCAATCCTTGACCACTGACTCCGGTGAAATTTCATTTATTTTCTGATTACTGCTTACATAAGCATTCTTAAACAGAAATGGCTTTTTACATTGACACGCAAGTGCGAAGGAGATCATTTTCATATCCTCACTTTTTTGATACATTATTTTGTTTCACCCTATCTACACGTAATCATAATTTCGTCATATTTAATTTTGTTCTTTGGCAACATGCGTTACTTTTGGAAACATGTTTTTCAGCATCAATATATCATTGACCTTGCAAACATTTCAAGTCAATCTCGGGGGCCTAATTTCATGTAGTGTTTCAATTCACTTATGTGGGATTGTAGATCTTTGTGTAATTGGGGATTAAATATTCCAGGAAAGTGCTCATTTGTAAATGTAACAAAGGGAGCGCGAATGGCAATAATAAAGGCTATGGATTTGTTTGATACGCTATGACCAGTGGTGAGGCTGCTACCGGTAATATTGTACAGTGTGAAGACTTCGATACTTCTTCTGGTGAACCACCGAGAATTGACCTTGAAAGACGCACATTTAATTCTGGTCTGCAGGCGAACAGGACCTTACCATCAGAGAAGGTATTTTGCTATTCCTTTACATGATTTAGGATTATGAAGAGGAGGCTAATTCTTGTCGCGCTACATAGCGTGATATCTACAGCAAATTATCGATTCATCGCTTTGTTCTTTATAAAACTTCTATCACATTACGGCATTTTAAATTTATTTTGCATTGTGTGGTTTAAGATTGTAATAATTGAAATTATGCATATACATATCGAATTAAGCCTTTTTAATTTTTCCTGTAAATTATTCCAAACTCTTCTTATTGTAGCTACTTAAAAAGGGTTCAGCCGACGTGGTCAAAACAGCGGCAACAATCAATAAATTCAGTACTGCGTATTCCTTACCAATTCATGAAAGGGAAGGGCTAAGCAGTAAGATTATAGAAAAGGTTTGTCACTTTTTTATATTGAACTTTTCGGATTTAGTTTAAAAATCATTTATATTTCGATGAAGACAGCGCTATTGTATGTTATACGTGATTTATTATTCACTCTTGCCTTTTGCACAAATGTTAGTAACTGCTGCGTGGAGGGTAGTCTTTTTCATATACATCAGGTTGATTTTTTCGATTTTTTTTGCTCACTTTTTTCTACACTTATTTTAGATGGAGTTGGGAGAAATTGTTCAGACACAGGTAACGACACCATTAGGACCAACATCAGTTACGATTGCGGGTTCCAATCTACCAATACCAGTCGCTAGTGAATTATCTAATGTAAGCAGCACGGGTTCGGTATCTGATCGTGAGCCAGAAACTCCCGACAAGGGTAATTACACTAAAATTGTGAAATCTTTGGAACAAAAACCACCACGAAAGAGGCGAAGAAATGATGGCCATCCACTCAAAAATGATCGGAAGATTACTGAATGTTTTAAGGTATTTTTTTCACGATGATCTATATTTTATAGGATCATTTGTAATTCGGAACTGCTAACCTGCACGTTTATAAGTCATGTCGCATGTTATATGAAAAATATCAATTTTCTATAATTCCACAAAAATAAGAAAGTTCGTTCCATATCTAGTTTTTCAGAACATGGCGGTTGGTTCCAGCCCGAAACGTCAAGTAAACGCCTCCCATGCAAATGGAGATAGTTCAAGCAATGACTACGTATATTTGTTTTTATTTCCCTAAAACTTATCATAAACTTAATTTAGAAGTTTTTTAGAAGTATTCCATGATTGTTTTTCATCAAGATTCTTCTTTGTTCATGCATTTTATACAAGGAAGGCTGGCTTGTGAGGACAATTAATTTCCAGTGAGCAAAATAAAGGTAGTTGATGTATACTGAAATCCGGTCACATTCCTGATGTAGAGCAATATTAAGTTATTTTTCTCTCATTTTCTCAGCACTGTCCCATCGAAAATCTTCGTACTTAATTAATAATTGTGTAGATATTAAAACTCTTGATATCTGGTCATTTTTTGGATAGAGAAGCACATACGTTTGTGGTGCGTAGAAATATCGCTGACATGAATGCAACACGTTTAGCTCTTAGTCTCAAGAATATTTTATATGATAGTTAAACTGAACATCAGGCATGTTTGCTGGCTTTTTCAAAATTGACTCATTGGTAGGCCTTTAATTCGGCGTTTAAGATTCGAGTATATATGTACATATGTATAATTTTTTTTAAAGACTAATTCATAATTTAAAGGTTTTTTGAATTAACAATATAATAGGCTCAAAATCTACCAATATCGTTAATGTTTTTCATAGATAGTATTTGTACTGCATTTTGGTAGCAATAAAGGCGTATTATTTTTTTCATAAAATGAAAACATTGCTTCCAAACCATATTTAAAGCTATTTACAGTCTTAACGAAATTACATGGCTTTATGTTCTAAAAAAAATATGGTTGTAGTCTTATTTATTTTATATGAATATTTTTCAAGTGTGCAATCATTACATCTGTTTCTCCATCAACCAACACTCGACCGAATATTCATCTGACCATTTTCAACTCGAGTGATTCAAGTCAAAGTCAAAGTCCACCACAAACATTGATGTGCAGACCTCGAATGGATTCTCAGGTATCTGTCTCTTTTTTTGTAAAATAATTCAAAACTTTTTCATCCATTGTTTTTATTCCCATTGTGTTTTTATTTCTTTTTCGCAGTTTTTTTTTGTCTTATTTTTTTTATAAATTTTTTTTTGCATTTTGTTTTGTTTTGTTTTCGTTGTAGAATTGAAATATAAAATTGAATGTAAAAAATTACTATTACTATCAGCATGTTATATCCATTGTGTTTTATTTTTCGTAGCTTTTTATCTTATTTTTTCATTATTTTACATTTACTTATTTTATTTTCGTTGTGGAATTGAATGTAAAATTACTGTTAGCATGTTATAAATCGATAGTTCTTTCAGGCGCAAACTGACGAATTGTCTTTAATTGATGCAGCAGAAATGCATTCTGAGCTCTCAAAAAAAGATGGCGTAATTGAGGATATGAGGATGACAATTGAAGAATTAAAGCAGCAAATCATCAAAAGAGACCGATCCATGGACGCATGCAAAGAGACTATAAGAAAATTGTTAATCGAGCAAAGTACCATGGAAAGAAAACAAGTATGTTTTTTTTTTTTTAATTTTCCAATAGCACTTTTTTCAGTTAAAGAAAATTTTGCGATATATTTTACAAAAGAGCATGTTATTATTTTTACCGTATACTATATATTATAACAACTTTCTTATGCACTATGTTGTGTGCTTTCGGCTGTTGGGTTTTTTCTATTTTCCAATTAACACTGAGTAGATCATTTTGCATGAGGCTCATAATTCATACGATGAAAATACTACGCGATTTCTGCTTCTTTGATTTTTCACTTATTTAACATCAACTTTGGTATTTTTTTTTTCAAAATCGGAGAACTTCTGGCGTTTTATAGTATATGATGCAATCTTCAGGCGAAAGCGAAATGCATGGAGGATTGTTTACGTATTGGGCAGTTCAAGCCAACACGTCATCGAGAAGAGTTTCGTGAGATGTGGGCTGATGGATGGGCTTTCGAAGAAATTAATAAAGCGCAGCAAAGGATTGCAAATGAAAGAAATGAAATAATTAATGCTTCGCAGAATCTTCGGAAAAGGAAACCAACTGGAAACGCTCGTGACTTGAAAAGGTATGAAATTAAGGAATTTTCAGTTTACTAGAAATTATTTTAATTATTTTCGATTGCTGCATGATGTTATCTTCAGAACTATTCACATGTTGAACACATAAATTCGAGTAAATTAAAAGTTATACCTGTACTTTATTTCCATTTTGAAAAAGGAAGAGAAAATATATTTTCGGTTTGTTGAAATCTGAAATTTGAAATTCAGTTAAGTTGAAGCCGAGAATAATTATAAATAATAAATCATTGCATCATTAAAAATGTAATGTTTTTGGTCTGAGATCTTGGCGGAATAATTTTTGGGACTTTCACTTTCTCTTCTTCCTGAAGAAAAAGTATATTCTCGAGTTGGAAAAGCGGATTTATTTGTTATGCTTCATCGATTGATTTTTCTTTTCAGAGCAATGTCGACTGGTTCGGATGGTATGGTCCCGTCTACATCAGCAGGACCAAGTTCTATTTCACTCACTGATGAACTGTTCGCGAAACCAGAATTACCGAAAGAACTGTCTTTGCAAGAATATTTGGAGCAAGAAGAAATTTATCGTTTGCGTAAGGTAACTTCGTTAATTTTTGTCGATCCGTTTTTATTCGACCCAAGCAAAACATGTTTAAGGTGGTTAGGCTATTGAAAATTCACATATTTGAAGTATTTTTGGCTCTTTGCTGCTTTCTTATTTTGGTAAGCTGATGATCACAGTGATTAATCCTCGGGAGAGTCAACGTTAATGGTTAAGATATTCCAGAATAGGTTGGCTTACTTGAATCACTGGTCAATTTTTTTTTCACTAGTTTCCGGCACAATAATATATTGCATTCTTTTTATTATTTTTTTTTACTTTTGAAGACGATTGTGTTCATTAAGGAACATCTTAAAAAAGAGGAGGCAGAACTAGTCGCTGAACGTGATCGCTTGGAGAGAGAGCGTAATCTACATATTAGAGAATTGAAACGGGTTCAATATGAGGAATCGAGTCGGTATAAAGACCATGAATTGCTCAATAGGCGCTATCTTCTACTTTCGCTTCTTGGAAAAGGTGGTTTCAGGTTGGTTTGTTTTAATTTTATGTTGAGCTAATTTTTATAGGGTCCATTATTGTTGGCTACTCTAGTAAGCACTCTCAGAGTGATGGGAAAAGGTGCAATCATCTATCATATAGTGTATTGCTAACTATACAGCGATGGTGCTTCGGGTGATCATCGTTCCTCCCACAATAGTGCAAATTTTAGTGGACTCTGTGTTTTATTATATTTGTTTTTTCTACAGCGAGGTTTGGCGGGCTTTTGATCTGGATGAAAACAAATATGTGGCGTGCAAAATACATCATGTAAATAAAGAATGGAAAGAAGATAAAAAGGTTATTGTTCAACTGATTCTAAAATTTTTTATATTGATTATGGAACTGTCTTTGCATTCATTAATAATAGTGAACGAACCACTTTTAGGCAAATTATGTGAAGCATGCTATGCGTGAAAAAGATATTCATAAGACATTGGATCATCCGCGTATTGTTCGCTTATTTGATTTATTTACAATCGACAATCATTCTTTCTGTACTGTGTTGGAGTACTGTGATGGTAATGATCTCGATTTCTATCTGAAGCAAAATAAACAAATCCCCGAAAAGGAAGCACGCTCTATTATTATGCAGGTTGTTAGTTTGCGCTTACAAAATTATGAAGAATGTACAAATTACAAGCAGACCAATTTATAGCAAGAACTATGATTGGGAATGTGAATGTTGCACCGCATTTGGCTGCTCCATCAAATGCCTGAGCTACGGCGGATATGATTTTGCCAGTTATTGCAATGTACTTTTGCGATTGGGAACACAGCCATTCTGTTGGCACTTATTTTTTAATGATGACACGAAAGCAATTATTGATGTTGATGTTGGGAAGCAGTCATGTTATTCTAAGTAATCAATGCTACAAACTTTTAGGGCACTGCATTTGAATTAAGCGGAAGATTTGAAAAATGACATGAGCTTTTACCGTTTGAGTTATTTCAGGTAGTGTCAGCACTTCGTTATTTATCAGAAAAACGCCCACCGATAATTCATTACGATCTGAAGCCGGCAAATATCCTACTGCAGTCGGGTACTACAAGTGGTGCAATAAAAATCACTGATTTTGGCTTAAGTAAAATAATGGAAGATGCCGACGACGGTGATTCTATTGAACTCACATCCCAGGGAGCTGGAACATACTGGTTAGTGGCTATGTAATTTTTTCTCATGAAGCCAGTTATACTTATTCATTGTCTCTCCTTCCCTAGTAGTTTGATTTTCAAAGATTTTAGTTTGATTATTAAGGTAAAATTTTATAGTCTTCGTTACACCAAAACTTTCTTATCAATATTGTTGGAAAATTAATAATTAATTGTGGATCATGTATGTGAATGGACATTTTTTTCACTGTTATTTCCATTAGATACTGAAAAGCTAGTTTTCTAGATATGTAACGAAGACTATTCTTTCTGAATATGAGCATATATCATATAATCATTAACTATGATTTTTCGATTTATTTGTTTTTACCGTTTTCATTTTGTATATTTTCAGGTACCTTCCTCCTGAAACTTTTGTAGTCGGTCACAATCCTCCAAAGATAAGCTCAAAGGTGGATGTTTGGAGTGTTGGTGTCATATTTTATCAATGCCTGTATGGCAGACGAGTATGCTTTTGTCTTTTTATAAATCTTTTTAGTATGTCAGCAGCTTGTTTGAAGCTTTCTGACGTGGCACGCCGCACACTCATACGGCATCTTTTTATAGCCATTTGGACACGAACAAACTCAACAGAAAATTCTGGAAGAGAATACTATTCTAAAAGCTACCGAAGTCACTTTTCCCCCCAAACCAGTTGTTAGCTCGGCAGCTCAGGTAAGGTTACCTCACTATTCTCGACAGCAACATATAATATACACTATTTTTACATGGTTCATGTTTTTACATAATTTTACCAAATACGGGAATTGTTAGAGCTGGAGGTTTCTTTCAAATTTATTTTTCCCTTGTGGCGCATGCTACAGATTTATAACAATTAAGTTTCCCTTTACTGAAAGTTCATCTGTTCAAGTTATATATTTCGGACTTCTTGATTTTATTTCTTTCATTGCAGTAGTTCAAATGAGATTGTGAATGAATTTGGAAGATTTCTTCAACATTTCCAGGATTTTATCCGTCGCTGTCTGCAATATCGAAAGGAAGAACGGGCGGATGTTTTCGAGCTTGCGAAACACGAGCTTTTCCGTCCTCGTGGCCAAGTAAAGTTTTTCAAACTTATTTTTATTTGCAAAAAATTTTTTCTCTTTAATAAAAGTCATATTCGATGTTTTATACTCACTTTATCAAAGCTGCAGCTACATGTCCTAATACTCTGAATACCCTGAGTGCTTTTCGAATTGCATTTCTGATGTTTATTCATGATTGCCGTAAAAAATTATGAAAAATTTTTCTTCAGAAATCTTCACAACCACCTTCTTCACCATTGGCAAGGTGTCTAAGGAGTGATGAGACGGATTACTGATCAATACCGGTGAAGTTGTAAAGTTTGTTCGTGCTTTTAAAAGTTAAAAAATCTTGCTCCTTCATATCTTTTATGTAATTTTTTAATGCTGGGCATTACTGATGTCTGATGTTACATTTGTCACATTGTCATTGCTGATTGCATCCAATTAAGGTTAGTATGTCATAACTATATAAATTTTGTTGTGCAACACGCTTTCTTCTCTGTTCTTTCCTTTTGTGTTTTTTGTTGCTAGTTTACCATTCCCACATTTTGAAATTATTTGATTCGTCTGTGTACGTCGCCTTAACTCCTCCAGCTCCTTTACTCTTTTACTCGTTATCTTCATTACTCTCTTTCCCACTTCCTAGCTGCGTACTCAGGAGAGCAATATCCATCCATTTGTACACGTGGCCTTAACTCCTCCAGCTCGTGAATAATTATATTGGCCACTGATGCGCTTTCATGCTGCATTTAAATTTCTTATTATTCTAAGATATCACAAATTCTTTTTTGGTTATTTTTGACATTTGTGAAAACTTGAAAGGTGATAATCAGAATTCCAAACGGGTAAATGAGAATGTATATATTTCATTTTGAGATCTCAGGAGTTAGAGTCATGTATGCAATAACCTTTCTTCTTACCGAGCAACTGATCAGTTAAGGCTGCTGCTTATTTTATTATCGTTTTCCCACGTTTTAAGAACATACGTTTGCAAACTGATCCTTTCGTTAGTATTTTTTCTTTTAAAATACTGTTGGATTGAAAGGTTAAAGAAGTTGGAATGGAACATTTTGTTGTCTATCTTACAAATGCACGAAATGTAACATTATCGAACGATGCTGAGTTTGTAGCTGACTCTTTTCTTTTCGATCTCTTCGTTTCTGAAGTAATAAGTAATTATGTCTTTTTGGCAACTTTTGATAGGTACCAATTTATCGGACGATTATATGGCTACGAAGTTTGACAACCATAATAAATAAAAACTAATTACATTCCTCATATGAATCCATAAGAAGGATGGCCAATTTTTAAGGTGCCAGAATGGGCCAAATTGCATAATGTTGAACAGAGATTCTATGTAAAGATTTCGATATAAAATATAATCTTATATCGTTTAAAATTTTAGTCTTTAATTTTGGATGAGATGTAGGGATACTGTGGCTGCCCAAGATTTTATAAATGCGAAACAGCATACATCGACGTTTCATCTTCGGATGTTGTAATTTGCTGGCATGGTGATGAATAATGGCTAGTAATGGACTCTCTGTGGCTCACTGATGATGCTTCTGGATTGTCTAGCAAAATATAATGCATAAGTTTTACATAATGTAAAGCTCTTAATCTTGTTTATATCAAATTTCCGAGGTTTTTCAGATTTGAAGGTGCATATGTAGTTTGTTAATGGACTATTCGAAAGAGATTCACTCAAGAGAATCTGGAATGAAGTCTCGAATTAAACTTGCCGGTTGCAGTAACGGTGGCATCAAAAGAACCGGAGATTTTTCGCATCGGGCAAAGGTTATTTTTGAAACTGAAAAACTATGTCGTGAAGGATTTTGCACGTTCTTTTTAAAACAGACATTTTAAAATAGATGTGAGTTCATCGTTCTTGTATTTCAGTACAGGATGTTTAATTTACGAAAACTTGGAAAATTAGGAATTTTTCAGAAATGTACGGAACTAGTTCATTCTCGTCAAGACCAATCTGAGTAACGACTCCAGGGATAATTTTCAAGTGGTACACGCAAGGCGGCTGACAAACTGATAGAGCGAATACGACTGAGAAGCCGTGTTTACTATATGGCTCCTTCGGAAATGATTCAGATTTTCAAAAAACTAGTGCTGAACTAACTTCTGGCTAGTTGCATTTTTTGGACTACGGACAAATTTTCCAAACAACATTTTCACTTCCACCTCAATATCCTCTTCATTACTGGCGTTTAACATAAGTTGTCGTGTCATATCAGCCACCAGTTGTTCTACTTTTCGTATTATATTTTCATGCATCTATAAAGATATCAGTTGATTCAAATCAGTCACAAATCCCTCCCTAGTCGGAAGATATATCCATATTTCACTAAACACCTTGAAAATCTTACATTCTGGGTGCGACCTTCGTACTCACGCATCTTTCCGACAAATGAAATTTTTTAATGGAAGTTAACCGTTTTCTTTGATTTGTCAGAAAGCATCATGCAAATTTTCCGTCATACAGCAGCACTGGATTTTCCGTCATGCAGCAACAGCACCGATATTCATGACAGGGAAGACTGCTATTGCTGCTCGTTGTTCGCCAGTAGGATTATAGTTTCAGTTTTAATCATTTTTGGGATTAACTTTTTACCTTTTGAAAATAAGACATGCAAGATGTATTTAAGAAATATACTCTGCTTAGCCCTGATTTATATTTTTTTTTCCAATTTTCCTTCATAATCTTTATATTGAAGCATTGCAATAAGTCAGTGAAATATGACTAAGTTCTTTGTAATATTCAAAATCCATGTCAACATTGATATTCAATAATGGGCAGGTTCATACAATAGTTCGAGACAAGTTCATACAATCTTTTACTTTCCAGAGAAGAAGGCAGTGTATGTACAAAGAGATTTATCGCACAATGAAGAAATTAACTATTCTGTATTAAACTGATCAACTTATTGCCCGTCATTAATGCGCTTGAAACGATTAACAACTTATTTGAAAAATGCGTTTTTCTGAGGCATGCTAACTCAGCTTGCGTGATACCACCAATAATAAAAATGATGGAATAAGTGGCATGATCCACTGTCGGACGATCATCACTCAGAATCGTTGTCCAGTCTCGCCAACTATTTCGTATACCCGTTTCGATGTACCGAACAATAAAGGGTATGTAACCATTATAAGGGTATGCTGTTGTTCCATATGCCTTAATCAATGCAAGTGAGCGAATACAACATCAGTTTTTTCTTTTCCCCACTTTTGGAATAAATGATGCAGTTCTTGAAATGCATCGCTGTACAAAACAATGGAGCGGGTTAGGTTAAACCAGTCCTTCCACTCACCAGACAGATATAGGTCTGTGTGAGTGATAACCTATATTTTGTTCCGAAGGTGTAATTTTGCATCGACTTTGCAGCTCGAAATTCGGATATACCAACTATGACCCGACTGTGTTTTATTGTTTTTTTGAAGATTTTTTTATATCCTCGTATTCATATTTTGCATCAACAACTTACACTATGTTCTTCGTCGACAAAACATGACATTCGGTGACACGAAGTTTGAAAATCAAATGGAGCATATTCGCACTGAAAATTATTTAGTTTCACTATTGGCGTGTGAAATGCATGCTACATTTAAATTATAAATTTTCTTAGTTTCATTAACAAAATATTACTTTTAAAGTACTCACTTTTCAACAAAATATTACTTTTAAAGTACTCACTTTTATCTTTCTATTTTTTTCCCATAAAAGTCCCATTATCTGCATTTTTATCCACAGTGACATATAATATCCACCATAGCTCTAAACATACATATTTGATATTTTCACCACCAACAAAATATTACTTTTAAAAAAACTGAGACTTGTTGAACAACAAACTACATATATATGTGGAGTGCATATGAGATACCTGAATGAAAAGTCGCTCATACACACTAATGGTAGTATTCTTGAAACCACCAGCAACCATACACTGAAGTACAATGAAACGCAAAACGATTAAAGGATTGTATGCCTCCAGAATGAGGTTTTCAATCTGCGGGATGACTCGATCGCCATATTCTCCTTGCACGATATCTAAAATAATTTTTACAGTTTCGAAACGGAAATCATTGGACACAAAGCATGGTATTTTTTAATATATTTTCAGTAAAGTTTCGAAAATATTTACAAAATTTCTGCAGTACACTATTATTGAGTGGGAATATCGAACCATTACCAATCGCCAACTTTGGGAAGGTGGAGTACCGCAAATCATCACGGATAAAGCTCATAAGACTTTCGGCAATCAGTGTATGGGTATCGGCATGTTTCTCACTTCCTTGCATGTCAAGCAATCTTCGGACGAAAACTTTGCTTTCCGCTAGCGAATCACTCGGTGGATTTTCTTTTAATCTCTACAAACATCTGTGAATGGTTAAGAGCGAAAGACATGAAAAATGATAAAATGGTAAAATTGGTATAAAGATTATTAGTGGCGCATGCAATAATGTTTGTAAACATATTTCATTTTACTTGGGTACGTACATTTACTGACTAACACGCACTCAAGCATATCACAAACAAGCTTTGGTTAACATATAAAAACAGCGCCAGTAAACATCGATGTTAGATGTTTTAAAAAAACGTTGGATGTTTTATTTAAATAAAACATACTGCTCGCTCGTCGCGAAGTGTTACAAGAGTTTCTGCTATTTGTTTTCCAACATCTTTGATATGAAGATCCCGAATAATTTTAAAAAGTGGATCGTGCAATGATATTTCACTAGTAGTATCAGCTAAATCATTTGCGCTCCTTACTTTTGATGTCTTAATGTTACCTGAATAATATATATTTAAAAAAATAAAACAAAACTGGCTGTGAGTGTTAAAAAGTTTCTTTTAATATTTTGTCCCGAGGCACTCGTAATACTAGGATATACTCTGCTACCAAGTGGTTAAAATTTTCCCAGAGTACCACCTGATGTTTTGTGATGAGACAGAGTTTCTTGAGACAGAGATTTATATGCTTTGAAATCTCAGTATTTGAATTTCGGTTAGAAGCTACGAATAAGGTATTTTTTTAACTAACATAAGAAGAAACGCGTGATGAGATAACAAGGAACAAAAGAAAAAGATAAAAAAGGAGGGAAGGAAGGAGAAGATTGTTCACTTTTTGTAGCCGTAATAGCTTTCAAGGATTGTTAAGCAACTGTTAAACGTAAAGAGGATTTAAGGACTCATAATTATACCTATTGTCAATATCAAGCATTCATTAATAAGTTCATAGATAAAAAACGACGAATTTCAATTCAAGGCGTAGGCACAAGAATGCAACAAATACAAAAGATTAAACCTGTAGCACCCATATCGAATATTTCATCGACCAAACCAGCGTATGTTAATTGTACCAATAGAGGTGTTAAAGGATCAATCCATCTGTCGATTAAGATAATATCCGATATCTGAAAACCATTCTGCTCCAACACAGCTTCCGCTTCCTCCTAAAATAGTTTATAAGAGCTTTAAAGCAACCTTCGAAATACAGTGGCATTTATCAGCAAGACAAGCAGAACACATATAAATATCAAATAAGGAAGTGATTAGCCACCTGAGTTCTCATTTTCTTTACAATTTCAACTACTTGGGCCGCCCATTTTCCCTTGCATCTTAAGTTGGGTAAACAGCCCACTAAAAGTTCAAGCTGCCGTACTACTGAAGCACACTTCTGTAATTCTGTCCAGTCCTGAAATTTATTGAATAGATATTTTAGATAGCTAATGATATCAATATTGAGAAAAAGAAAAAACGAAAATATGAGTTCATTTTCAACTAAACATTTCTTACGTTATCTAATAGAAGCTTTAAAGGCAAATTATCCATAAGAAGAGTAAGGAAATCATCGTAAAGCGGAAAAAGTCTCAGTGGAAGTGATTCAAGTGTTTTTAAAATTGAGTTTGCTTCTCGGTTCTGCTTTAACGTATCCCGAATCATGAATGAGGCTTCTGGGACTATCAAAGCGTGATGCTGGCGGTCATCCTTAAAAATATGCATTTCTTTGTTGTGAAAGGAAAGTCATCATGTTAACCACATACAAATTCGAAATTACTAAATATTCAATGAAGCCAATCCGTGTTTTAGTTAACTAATGAAAAAGAAAAAAGTCAAGATCGCATTAATGCAAAAGGCAGTTGACGATGAATACGATAGGTCTTCTTAGAGAAATGAATTGACAACTATTCGAAATAAGTCGACATTAAAGTAAAACGAAAAGCTACATTATATTACTCCTAAATTATTTAAATGGAATTAAAAAAATTACATTAATGGATCGAGCATATTTAAGGCATGTAATCAGTTTGTTGATTACTGATGTATTCGATGTCGATAAAATATACACGACATGATTATGCTCCACTTGTGGTACTCTTGGTGAAAGGTCCAACTGTAACATCGAAACAACTCTGTGCTGCTTTAGCTGTTCTGTTGTCGTCACCTATAAGTAGAAATTAAATAAAGTCAAACCAAGAGAATTTTAATTCAGCACATCCACTGAGCAGTAAAAGAACCTATCCTAACAATGAAATAAACTTGATACTGTAAGCCTGTTTTTTTATAATATTAATTAAACACTACGAGCAGTCAACAGATACTGATTAATTTCTGATGACGAGTAAAACAGTCTAAGATGCCATTTTGAGATCATTTTACAGCTTCATTATCCCGTGATGTGTATTCCCAGCCCCTGAACAATGCCAATGACAATGAGCAAAGTACTCAGCAGATCAACTGTAACAATAACGACGAATGAGAGCTAACATAAAACATAAATTTCAAAACTGCAAAAATGGAAATTTAAACTATCGGAATTATTTGATTCGAAGACATCTGGAAGAAAAAGATATAGTATAATAGAAAATACTTTAATTTAATAAATTATTAAAAGATAATACTAACTAAGTTAAATTGTTTAATAAGAACAGGATCCCACGTAATTATTTTGGAACCATCGATCGCATCCAGTGCACCAAACAGAATTCTTGCATTGGCCTCGGACAAGACATCAATAATGTTTTTGCTCTTGACATCCATGTTACAATTTGACCTTCAATTTACAGTTGATCCTTTACCAGTACTTACATCAACTATATCAAACGATGTTTTTTTTTTAGCTCAAAAGTTCGATGTAGTATAGACTGGGGGAGATTTATCTTTCAAAGGGATATTTATCATTTAATCTATTCGTGCATTCATTTATCCACATTCCATCCACCTGTCTATTTGTCCATTCACCTCTCCAGCCATCAACTCATCATTAGTATGACCTTTCATCCAGCTGATTGTTACAAAGGATAGCAATACTCAACACTGAGGATCATACTGGTCTGCCCGGCTAACGCGGTCTTATCGGGGTCACTGATCAACATTTCCATTCTCCTCTTTTTGTTACCAGTTTTATTTACACCTGGTCCTCATTAATAATAACTACCCTGCAAAGAAAACACCCGACCCTTGCTAAAGCTCGAGTTACCGCAGTAATCTCGATCCTTCATTCTCCTTCTCTCTTATATTGTCGCGCATTCTCTCTTATTAGCACAAATATCTCTAATTCTCTTCCAAACCATTCTATTCTTCTTCTTATTATGTTGCTGAATTCACTGACGTTCAAGTTTCCTCTTTCATCGATTTCTTTACCTTTCCGTTGTGATGGGCAACTTCCCTATATTTCTATTGCATGGACGGAAAGAAGCATAGATATCAATAAACCGCTTTGATGCTAATATCATGTGCACCTAATTTATATCAGATGAAATATAACTGAACAACGCAGTGAAGTTCCTCTTTAGTTGACATACGGATCACTTACATCACCAGATTCCGAATATCGATTGATCCACCACAGCACTGCGAATGTCACAGAAGAGGATAGTAGGTTTCAATGAAATGATCATCATGGAAAAGTGTTTGAAAAAGATTAAATCCGATGACTTGATAGCAGTTCTAAGTAGATGTTAGTAAATTGAAACTAATTCTCAAATGGAAAAAAGATGTCGGGATGGTTGAAAGTAATCCGTTTTGTGACTTCTATCAGAAAGGATATGGTTTGAAGTGAGGTATGTCTAGAATTTCCAAAATAATAAATATAAGAAAACAAATTAAGAAGCTTCAGATTTGCTTTAAGTGATTATGCGATAATCATCATAGTGATGAAGGTTAAGTGTAACTGACATGAGATTTAAAAGCGATAGCAGCTATCAAATAGATTGAAAGGAAAACTAAATAGAGCAATCATTTGTACTATTTTGTCATCTGTTGCGCTTTTCTTAGTTCCAGAATTATTCCAAGATTTTTTGCATTTTCACAATTATCATTTACTGCCGGTGCTTTCAGATTCATTCTATCTGCGAAAAATTTCATTTTCTAGTACATTTCTAATGTTTCTGGTATCTTAATATTAGCATTAGAATTTGTTCTTTCCATTACCGCTTAGATGTTCCAGCCTTTTAACTTTAACATCTGTGGTCACCAAGGATGGGTTAGTTTCTCAATCAAATATACACAAATTTGAAACCTTACGATTACACCATTGTTCGACGAAATCCCGCTGCAATACAGTTACCTTATTATCTAAATTAGAGAACTGTCATAAAAAAGGTGTGGAAATCCTCGATTGAAATAATTTTATCATCAGGTTAATGAACCTAGCCGCAAATATCTATCCATCTATCCATTTTGCTTTACGCAGAAAATTATGGCTCTTCTTCATTGTAAATCACGAAATCACAAATTTTATTTTTAGCACCGATTTTGTGAGATTTGCCTTCTGATTACACTATATATTTATTATTATGAAAAGTTCCTTTATGATGTTTAGTTTTGAGAAACATTTGAACTCCTTAAAATGTCGTTGTGAACCCAATTTGGCACCAAAAACAGTGAAGTACCACAAAGGATACTTTTTACCTAAAGCAATTTGGATCAATTTCTCAAATCAAAGATATATACAGGGTAGAATAGTACAACAAGTACAGTGGGAAAATGTGTTAGCTGTTTAAATAGATATTAAATAAATTGAAATAAACAATGTTTATCAAAATACCAGGAAGAAAGTATCAGAATATAGTGAGATGCGAAATCATTAACGCTAGCAATCGTCTTTTTCTAGTCTTCATTAGCTATGAATAATTCTAAAATTTACTTCTTAAACTATATAACTGGTCTCATTTCATTATTACTCGACCTGAGTTCTTTGTTTAACATTTGGAAGTAATATGCGACATCATAAACCCAAACACAATGCGTCAGCTGGGATGTTGAGGAAGTCATAGAATTCGATCAGATTTGGTTAAACGACTGTATTTGAACAAAACACGATTAAACAAACTGGTGCATAAGATGTTCATAACACTAACAAGTTCTTTTCGGTAAAGAAGAGAAGAAATCAACGTTTCCATTCCAATGAAATGCGCTACAGCCCAATAATGTGTAAAGAAAATAGCTCAGGATTTTCATCTAATTTAAATTTCGGCCCTTCCCTCATTTTCCCATATAGTAAAAGACGGCTTCTATTTGCATGTAGTAGTGGTGAACGGTGAGAGTAAAATCGAATTTGTGGTAAGTGCTGTGCTGTAAGTTTGTTGTCATGAGGAGGATGAACGTGCAGCGACATGAAAGTTTTCCAAAGGTTTCACATCATCAATAATTTCCATCATTTTTTTTTTCGATTGAATTTCTTTGTTGTACTTTGTTGTACTTTGTTGTACTTTGTTGTTATTTGTGCATACATCATTGATATGATCCTATAAATTTGTTTATAATTTTCATTGTTCCTATTGCACTACGTTAATTTGTTCATAATTTTCATTATTTATATTGCACCATACAGCCCAAATCTGCGTCCACCTATATTTTGTAGTTTGTTCATCTCTCAACAGTTTTAGCAGTTAAAAGACCTAAACAAAGAAGTCACAGATTTGACGAACAGCATTGGGTCAGAAATCGCTTGAATGTGAAGAGTACATGAGTAATATTAGTCGTGGTTGGTGTAATGGTGAAATAGTGGTAACCAGTAATTATACTGGCTAATGATAACTGAATCATACTGTCTGCGGTATTCTTGCGGATTTATTAGTCCTTTTCTTGCACACACTCTTTCGAGTGGTATGATGATAGAAGGGAGTGGTGCTAAGTTTGATTCGTTAAATGATAAGTGAATAAGTTTTTCTCATTTCAATTTCTTCATCCCGCAGTTCAGTGAAACAACCAGTGCTGTATGTACTTCTAAATCAATAAGAAGCAAATTTTGTGTGATTAATTGGCCATTTGACACTATCATCTTAACAAGTGATTTTTTTTGTCTTTTTTTATAGACTAAGATCAGCATGTTCCGACCGGAATATTGTGCTGAATTTTTCATTAAACTTGAAATAACAATGATCGGGTAAAAATGGAAGCTAAACTAAGACGAGATAGATGTCTGGCCGCTACGTTTTAAATTATGTAACAAGGAGTTTTATTTGTTTTGCGTTCATGTGACTTACAGAAAACATTTACTTTGAACTCATCGTACAAAAATTTATTTCAGAAGTCAACGATTGAAACTATAAATTCACTGTAAAACTCTGAAAATATGCAGAAAGATATATCCAAAGCATCTGGAACTGTCACTAGCAACAATTGTGTTAATGGTGCACGAGCAATAACAGCACCATTTCGCTTAGGACAAAATTGGCGACGTTTTGGTGGAAGATGGAGGGGGGGTATGTTACATAATTATTTAATAGGAATAATACATCTGAAACGGTGCATTCTAGTTCATTCAAATTAAGAGAGCAATATTGTAGACTTCTGCAAGATGATGTCCGTCGTAGTTTATTTCACTTGAAATCACATTGCACAAAATCTGCTTGACGGTACTATTAAATTTTTTCGGTTTCCAGGTAGATCGACTCACAGCGGACATCGTAATCAGTCGGTATTTGTCAAAAGCATTTTGTCATTTTTCGACTATTATTAGTTAAATTTATATTTTTTCGGTTTCCAGGTAGATCGACTCACAGCGGACATCGTAATCAATCGGTATTTTTTGGTCCGTTTGCGGAATTCTCAACCCCGCCACCTGCTGTTTTTGAAATACCGCCGCGTGTATTACCTGCCAATATGTTTAATGCCAATGTGGTGCCACCTAGTGAAAGAGACGCTCAATTCGATGTGCAGTTTGCACCTTTCATGAATCATTTCCCAACATATCAATTGGATAGTCATCCGCGACGCCTTCATGATAGTGATAACCTTTTACACGGTCATTTTCACTATAGTTCTCCTTAGTATCATTTTAATTTTTATTATTTTCACAGCTCTTTTATATCAAACTAATTGATGCATGCAGTGTATTAATAATCAAGAAATTATTGCAGCACCCCCTTTATCTTTAAATGACAGCGGTTCTATTCATCCATCGTCATCATCATCGTCCTCAACACGTAGCCATCATTCTATGTTAGTTCCAATGCGACTTTTTTTGTGTGCATCACATTTCCTTTCTGAAAGATAAAATATTCAAATGTGAAGGATGTACATTTTTTTTGTTAGCATTAATAAATTTCAAATATTTGAATTTTTAATGTCAGTTTTGTAGAAAAAGTGAAAAAACGCATGATCACAAAGTAGAACGGGAAGATGTCAAGAAATCACTACTCGAGTGTCAGAAACTTCCGTCTGAGCAATTATCTCACTTAAGTCTAGGTATATGTATTTCTTTTTACTTTGCTTTGAGAATAAAGAAGTTAAAATTTGTTTTTTGCATTGGCTGTTTACACAGCAAGAGAACAAGATAAGGGATAGTGAAGATTATTTAAGTTCCATCAATACAGTTCTGCTGGTGATTTTGCACGATGAATAACGACCGTACATTTATTTCTTAGAGCCTATAATTCAGTGGCCTTGAAACTATTTAACTCATTAATTAGGCTTTTGTATCTTCTAGTTATTTAATACTTTAAAACTGTCACAGCTTGCTTAGAGATAGTGAGTCTTTATTTGTTCTCTGTCACAAAATTTAGCATTTGCAATTTTGCAACTGCAAATGACAGTTACAAATGATATTTATGGACGGTAACAAAGAATAAATATTAAAAAAATCCCGATTTCACAAGATTAATTTTAGAGGGTGAAATGACTAATATCGAAGAAGACTTTGGCTGCCCACCGTCATATGTTATGGAGAGCTATCGTGATCAGACAGAGTTGACTGAAGCAGCAGCACATGGTTGTCAATCTTTTAAAGGTTAGTACATATCCTGCTATCATCTAGCTTTATGTGAGTATTTAATCTTGTTGCTATGACAAAGTGTGCGATTTCTCAGCTTTCAAGAAAAAATGATTTTGGGGGAAGCACTAAAAATTTGAAAATTTTTAATACCAGTCGAAGAATAAGTCAGAGCAAAGTGGAAAGTATTTTCTTCGTAAGATCGATAAATTTTTTTGTATCTAATGATAAACTCGAGTCTAGGAATGTTGTGTATTCTAAAAGTATGATCTTATAATTTTGATTTGCAATACATATAAAAGCAATACTTAAAATTCCATATAAAATTGGAAAATTTTCGGAAATTTGTATCAAACTTTTTTTCCTTTGTTTCCTAAGAATTTAAATAAAAGCTATTGTTGCTTTTATTTTTTAATTACTAATTACATATTTTATATTTCGATGGCAGCTATCTACTGTACTGTTTGGTTATCTTTTGACTGGTAAGAACAGTATCTGAAGTTGAAAATTATAGTGTTTATTTTTGCTTTTAGATGATTGTAACTCAAAGATACCAGTTTCTGTAAACGAAATTTTTCAAAATGACAGGGAAATGACTCATCGCGAACACGAATCATTGCAAACATTACGGGGTCAGTTTTGCTCTCTGAAATATGTCACTTAATTCAAGGAAATATAATATTCCCTATAATCATCAGAAGGCATGTTCAGATAAACCAAAGTTTTCATTCCGAATTTAAAACTCATATTATGATTTGGTCAAATAGGAAAGGTAGAATGATACTTGACTTTCTGGACTATGAGTGGAACACTATTTCTACCCAAAACCAACCGCTAATACAATACTAATAAAATACTAAAATCGTTAGAAATTATTCATTTCTATATACTATAGAATTCTGTAAAATTTCGTCCGGAGTTTATATCGTTCAGTCTCCTTAAATTTCCAGAGAGGCTGAAAAAGCAGCTGGAAGAAGAAAGCTATGAATGTATGATTTGCTGCCAAGTTATCCGTGCTAATGAGGTGCTTCTTTTATTTTTGTACTTTAATTGTAGATTAATAAAGATTTATTCATGTCATCCGTCAAACAAAATAAAGGTAACTTAATCAATTGTCTTTATATTAAGATACGATCGTAAGCCAGGGACGGTTATTCTAGTTTTATTTGTTAAGAGTTTGTTTTACACTTTTTATAGTGTTTACAGTTGCCACCAGCGGCTAGGTTGGCAGCGATCTGTTCATCGAAAGTCTTGTTCATCTTTTGCAGATGTTTTAATAATTTGTTTCTTCTGAAATAATTAGCATGTTGTCATCTTTAATATAGCATGTATTACGTCTTCGATAATGGAGAATTATTTATGGGCAGCCTTTAATTTATACTTTTCCTCACAAAATATGGCTTAGAAATATCCGATGGATAGATCTGATGATCAACTTATTTTCATTAAAAGGAGCAGGAATTGTTTCAGGGGATATGGACTTGCAAAAAATGCTATCACATGTTCCATATTAATCGCATGAATTCATATGGTTGCATAACACAATGGGCAGCTAAAAGTTTCAAAGCAGATGTTGGTTGGCGATGTCCAAGTTGCCAAAATGTTACTTTTGAACTTCCCAAACAGTATCGATGCTTCTGTACTAAAAAACTGAATCCTCCAACACAAAGGTTTCGTGTCAACTTTTTGTACATGTTTTTTACATTATATCATCAGATCCTTAGTTTATTTTTTATTTCTGGAGTGATTTGAAAAGGTTCTTTTCGGTTTTAGAGATGTGAAATAGTCCTTCTATTAGAATTATGTGATTTTTAGAGTTATTATTGGAGACTAGGACTAATTTTTGTAAAAGAGTAGGACTAACATCATTTATCCATATATTCTAAAATTGTGATTAGAAGATCTTATTGTTTATTTGCTATATTCAGTATGTTTTATTGGAAGCCTGTTATACAAGTATTTTCCACTTTTACTTAAAAGATAGTGAATCCGCTTATATACCGTTAAAAAAGTGCATTTTTTATTTTCATATTCATAAAATACAGCTTTTAGATTTCCTGATATGCCTCACTCATGCAATGGAATTTGTGGGAAAATCCGTGGCGGCGGTTGTATTCATCCATGTACCGATCAGTGTCATCCAGGACCTTGTTCAAAATGTACGCTTACGATTACACAGAAATGCAATTGTGGCCGACAGATTATTTCTGCTCGCTGCGGTAAGCAACTGGAATTTAAGGTGAACATTCTTTTTTCTCATCATTTTACTTTGCATGGACTGCGATGTCAAACTTATTGACTTAGCAGTATGACTTATGTGTGGAGTATTTCTTCAATGGTTCAAAGATTTAAAATTATACAAGGCGGTTCATATTTACTGGAAACAGCAATCTCCGTCTTAAAATTACGTATTATCATTAACTGAATTTAACAATTGTTTATTATCAAACTGCTTTTAGCTGTTATACTCTAAAATCTGTTGTAGTGTTCAATGGTATGTGGAAAAACACTCAATTGTGGATTACATAAATGCGAAGTTATTTGTCACCATGGAGAATGTAACGCTTGTGAACATGTTGTTACCCAAAGTACTTTCTTCGATTTACTTTGTGCAAGTTTCTTTCTTTTTTGAAGCAACTTGACAATAGTATCATTAGTTATATAAATTGCTGAAACTCAAGTTTTGAATTCATAAGAATTAGCTTTTTATTTGTTTCAGAATGTTTTTGTGGTCTCGAAGAACGGGTAGTACCGTGCACAGCTTTGAATTTGAAGGTTACTTCATTCAGTTGTGGTACTCCATGCATTGGGATGTATGCATGTGGCATACATAAATGTGAGCTCAGGTAATGCAATTCGTCTTGCGGAATTGTTTTTCGTGAATTTTGCTGGTTTTTTTTATTGTTATTGGAACGAAACATTGAAATGCTATGTATATTATTGCTTACGGTTACTTATAATAATACAAAATTGAATCAAAAGATTAAAAAGATATGAAAAATGAATCAAAAGATTTAAAAAGGTATTGCGAATCAGAAGATTTAATTTCAGATGTCATGACAAACATGGAAGAGATGATTGTGGACTGTGCAGTTTATCACCAGAAAAAAAGAAATATTGTCCATGTGGACGAACGCTCATTGTGAAGTTAGAGAAAGTGGCACGAACATCCTGCACTGATCCAATTCCTACATGCAAAAATGTTTGTGGCAAAATTCTAGCCTGTGGTCCAGAAGGTATATGTTTTAATGACCTGTGAATTTTTGTGGGTACATTTAGAAGAGTTGTAATATGCTAAATCTTGTCGCTCTCATAATTCAAAATCAAAATTGCTGTTCTTTTAAATCATTCGCCGAATAATTACAATTCAATGGTCGGTTTCCGATGCACTGAAAAACGCGAATTGGAAATTACATTTGTGGAAACCTTTTTTTGTGGCTTTAAAAAAATTTTTTGCAATCTTTCTTCTTTCATTTAAAGTTGATTCTGATTTTGCTTTCTGGAAAGACTTTTATGACGAATAGATAAAATCGTTTTGGTATAGCGGTTTCAATTTCAGATAAACCTCATCGCTGTATGCAGTTATGTCATGTAGAATCTTGTTCTCAATGTCCTTCAAATTGTTTGATAAGCTGCAGATGTAAAGCTCTGAAAAAATTAATACCATGCAAGGAATTTGTTCTTTATTCGGGTGAGGATTTTACGTTTGAACGTGTTCCAAAAAGAAAGTTAACGCTAACTTTATTCGATGGGTGTTGTTAAATATGGAAGTTGGAAGTGATTGGTGTAATTCATAAAAATCGAGTATTTTAATTATCTTTCATCAGTGTACACTTTTTTATTTGGGATTCCCTCTATTTAAGGAAATGAATTTTCGAGTTTGCTGAAAATTTATATGGATTTTGTATACATAAAATACAAAATTTCTAATTCACAATTTGGTATTTTGTAGCTGAAAATCCATATCTTTGTAAGCGACGGTGTAAAAAATTGAAAACTTGTCAAAATCATCGATGCCGTGCTGTCTGCTGCGTTGATAAAGAGCATATCTGTATGCAGGTAATTTATACTCCTCAGTTCTCGCATATTCAACATTTGTTATGAAAATGAATTTTGATTTTGTAGACTTGCGGTAAAAAACTGAACTGTAGAATTCATAACTGCGATCAATTATGTCACTTTGGACAGTGCCCTCGATGTTTGCAAGCAAGTACGTTAAATTTCTTTTTTTATTTCCCTTATTTTATTTGTCGAATGGATGTGAAGCTCTATTCGCACTACTCTCTTCTACTTAATCATACTCCTCGAAATCAGGATTCTGAAATTCTACCTCCACATGGGTGTATGAAATATCGAATGTGTATTGAAACAGTGCAAAATAACATTTTTGACGTTTTTCTATTTATATGAATTCACAGCATTCATGGATCGTTTCGTTTTGCGAAACTTTTATCAACATCTTGTATCTTTCAATTTATTTTTCTCTTTTTTCGTTACTTTGTAGGTTTTGAGGAACAGTATTGTTTGTGTGGACATACTGTCCGCGAACCACCTGTTCCGTGCGGCACATCACTACCATCTTGTGATCAGCCATGTTCACGACAGCATTCTTGTGATCATTTTCCGATGCACAGCTGCCACGCTGAACCTGAGTGTCCGCCTTGTACTGTGCTAACTCAAAAACCATGTTATGGTGCACATGAGGTTTTTATTTTAATATCTTAGCATATTTTATTCAAATACTTCTAAAATACTGGCTTATTGAAGATTCAGTCATAGCTTTCGAGAAACCTCTATCTCTTGACTCGTATTCGTCCAACTATACTTGCACTGCTCACATTAGTCAGACATCATTATTTTCACGTTTATTTCATGATAATTTCTATTCATTACACCATTAGCTACTTTGTATACTACGTTGCGAGTTATACTTGAATTATTGAGTTAAATCAAAAATTTTTTTCAGCTCTTTAGAAATTCAAAGTTGCTAAATCATGCTAACTGTTCCATGCAACAAATTTTCATTATTCACTTTGAACAAATTCGGCCATTTTAGTTAAGGCTAGTAAGGCAAGTTTTTGGAGTATCTTGAAAAATAAATCTCTTCTTTTAGATTCGCGCAAATATCCCATGCTTTTTAAACGAAGTTTCATGTGGACGCCCATGTGATAAGGAACTGTCGTGTAAAGTACATCGCTGCAAACGAATTTGCCATGCAGGACAGTGCTTAGTAAATGAGACTTTATGTCAGCAACCGTGTAGTAAAAGAAGAGTTGGAGAATCCTGTGATCACATCTGTGGCCTCCCATGTCATGGCGATACTCCTTGTCCCAAAAGTTAAGCTTTTTGAGATTTGCTCCAATCGACAAATGTGTTCATTATGAAGTCGCCAACTGAAAACTTGAAAATTGAAGTGTAAATAGGTTGCTAATGCGACGATTCTTTACTGCTAATATTGTTCGGAGAATGCAGGAAGTGTGAATGGTTTGAAAGGTCATTTTATTATGTTTTTATTTGTATTTGTAATTTTAGCTCTTGTGCAACCAAAGTGGTCATCACTTGCTCATGTCTTCGGAAATCGTCTGAAATGCATTGTTCTGATGTAGAAAAAGCTTACCAGAAGTTATTATCATTGAAAGTAATGGAGGATAACTATTCAAACATGTATGCAGAGAAGCGATTATTAAAAAGAAATTTAAGCACAGACAAATATTGTTGGTATGATTATTAAGATTATTATAAGCTTTTGTAGCTTATGATATTAATAAGAAATGAAAAATATAATTTCAAATATGGTGCATTATAGCGTAATATATAATTTAATATTAAGATGTAAAAATTCTTATGCTCTCATCTCGAATTTTTTAGTCCTGTGATAGCAATTATGATTTTTTTGACTGTTATCATTTTTTATCAAGGAATAATAATTTTCAGCCTTCCATGTGATGTGGAATGTCAACGAGCACTGCGAAATAAAAAAATGGCAGAAATATTAAATATTTCTCGTCCGTATGAAGCTGATTCTGCATCGGCTTACACCACTTTTCTAAAAAATAAATTGAGAACCAATTACGAAGATATTTTGGACATCGAAGACACACTGATTGAACTCTTGCATGATTTGGATGCGGTATGTTTATCTATAATTTCATTATAATTTTTTAGAGAATGCGCAAGACGTTTTTCTTTCAAGCCTTAGTCATAACATTTTTTTTCTTTTAACTCCATGGTTTCTTTTAATTAAAATGAAGTGTTAAGGAAGTTTGATATTGACCTATCAATAGCCTCTCTCAGCTCACTTGACGAGACATTAAATTACTTCAGTTTAAGACAATTTTCATTAATATGCTGTTTACGATAAATTACGCTGTAAGCAATGGGATTGCTCGAGTCATTATTTCCTGGTGATATAATGACTAAGAAATGAAAGACAAAAAATAAAATAAAATGATCAGATCTACATCTGATCATTTTAGAGAGAATTCTGTAATTCTAAACCTTAAGATATCATTCATTCATCCGCTAGTTATGTATTGTTGCATCTTGACATCTTGACTGAAAGGATTCATTTGCAAATCAGATCAGTAGAAAGGGAACATTCATTACAGCAACCAAATGTGACATCGGTTGCTCATTCATTTTTACCTATGCACTCGGAGCTGCGTCGTATAATTCATGAATACAGCGGACATTTTGGCATCGAAACAGTCAGTTATGGCCAGGAACCACAAAGAAATGTAGTCGCTATCGCTAAGCGGTAGGTTGAAAATTTGCGACTCTAAATGCATGAAATGCAAAATTTCAGTTTGCAGTATTTTTACGTTACGTTATTCAGAGATTAAAATTTTCCGTTGTTTGAAAACTCAGTGGCACTCATAACAGCAAGTTTCATGACTCAGTTAAATACGATATTTATATTGCATAAAACTTTTTGAAAAAAATGAGAAATTAAGACCGATGGAAGAGTGAAAAAGTGAAAGTAGATGTAATAAAGAAATTTTTACCGTTTCATTTAGTTGATTATTCATAACACAGTGTTTTTGAAAATTTGAGAGTATCTGGCGTTGTTCATTATGACTGAGGCATAAGAAAGGTGTATCAAACTTCTTTTATGTTTAATTTTGCATTTTGACTTTATTAAAATTTTTACCTATGATTTTTATCATTTGTATTGAAAGAGTGTTAAAATTCTTCAGGAATGTGAGTTGTATGCCAGCTATACTTCTTACAGCCATTAAAAGGAATGCGGCAGCATCATCTGTATCAGCGTAAGATTTTCATTATTTTTTATTATGATTGAAAATTAAATATGTAGTTTAATAGACAGCTAAAATCTATAACCATTTCAAAGATATCCATTATTAATGCCAATATTGGTTTCATTTATTGTGACGTTAAGGCTTACTTTGTTTCATGAAGTCAAATCAAAATTTAACATATGCAGTACTTTTGTCAATGTAGCGAATGTGGTTCTTGCCTATCTAACAGCACAATCAAATTTCTAGCTGAGATTTGTGAGAGAAAGATGTTAATAGATAATTCTCTATCATTTGAATATTTCAGAGTGGAGTTGGGGATTATAGGCAAGCAAATTTGAAAAGTATTTTCAGGTCAAGAAGTGCAACAATCGTTTCGTCCAAGACTCTGTCATCAATTTCGAAGAATTTTTGGGCTATTGAAAACAGGATGCAGCAGCTGCAACCAGCTGGAAAAGTGCTAAAACGAGGTGTTAAAGAACCACTGATATCAAAAAAATAGGGTTTCTTTGATTCGTACTTTGATACTGTTGTATTATGCGCTAATTGGATGACTTTCATGAGTCATGAGTATTTCCTCATGACTTTTTAAACTTTTTCAGTAAGTCTGCTGAATTCATTTTTTCTTTTTATTTGCATTTCCATTAGAAAACATGTGTCTTTTATCGAAAGTCAACAAAACTGATGGACATATGAAATTGTTACTCTATTTCACACATTTTGTAATTTCAACAATGAATGTAAAAAAAATAAAATAGATATGAATGGCTGCTTGATTTACATATTGTATTAACAGGCACTCTTTATGTAAAGGTTTTTGAAACATGGTTAAATATCCACTGTTTTTCATGAAAATTGGCATTATGATTAAATGATTTTGATTCATGTTCTTTTTACAATACGCAACAAAATGAATTATTTCTGAATTACTTCCGGTGGGTTGCATCTTTAATGCCGGTGAGAGAAACTTTTGTATTTTCATATGACATAAATGCTCATTCCTGTTAGGAGCCTGTTAATTTTGTTTATGACGTACTTTCAACTTCCTAGACAGAACTGTAGATAGGATAATGGTTCATGTATGATAGGAGCAAAATCGTTATTGCTGTTTTTATTTACAAGGCCATTTTTTGTCTCGCGAGCCATATAAAAATCCTGTTTTTTCCCGTATTTGTTGACGGTTCTTTTCATCAGTGTTTTCTTTTGTCTGTTCATTCGGTCTTCGGCGAAAATAAAAGTTCTTCGATACTTTTTTCTTACTGCAAGACTGTTGCGTCTTTCCTATATGTATTTTGAATTTCATCTTGTTAAAAGAGAGCTTTGGGTCAGAAATCGTTCTTTTGCCTATTCCTAATATTCATAACTTGGTAAGAAGTAATAGATGAACCCCTTGTTCATTAGCATTCATCCGTTTTTTATGGGCTTCCATTTGCATTTAATTGTACACTTAGTTATGCTGTGGTTTGAGTAATCATTTATCCAAAGCGTTTTTCTAAAATCCGATAAATTGTGTGAAAGAAGAAATAATAATGAAGTCTGCCGAAATAAATGGCGAGTGGACGCTTTCATTTCGTGACAAACAGCAAAAATTGGACAACGAGATCGATGGTTTGTTGCTTGTATCTTTTTTGAGCTATAAATTTCTTGACGTGCTTTTTAGGATATTGGTAATAAGTATACTATCATAAAGATGGAGCTAAAAAGATTTACAAAGTGGCAGAAATGTCAGCATTACGAGTGATCATTAAGCCTTAGGGTTGATAGATTTCCATGTGATTTCATATCAATATTTTAAGTTATAATTTGCAATTTTAGTAGCATTTTCATAAAGCCGATAGTTTCATCAATGCATAAGAAATGTCTTTTGGAAGTATCCTTACAACATTAACTAGACCATTCAGCAAGGGCGACTAGTTTACTCCTTCCTGTTGGGCGTTTTAATCAAATGAAATAATCACGGTATTTTCATATGTTTTTCTATGAAAATGTAAAGCACTTATTTTAGCTGAAAAAATGGCAAAGGTCATAGAGAATGCTGTTGTCGTGGAAGTTCTGGAACTACGAGGTAATACTGTAGGTGTTAAAGCCGGACAGCGACTTGCACATGCACTGGAATTTCATCCGGAGCTAAAGGTTATTTTACATTGTGAAATTAGGTCAGTGAATTCTAGAAAACAGAACCTAATTTTTAACTAGGCGAGTCGTCGACTGTTTCTGTCTCTGCTATGGTTATATTTGTACATACAAGATTGAAGCTCTTTTGAGTTTTATATATTTTAAATTCAGAATATGTAGGGAAATCAGAGTCAAATATTCTAAAATCTCTCTTCAATTATAATTTTTGTGTTTTTGTGACTAATGCATACTTGTATGTATTCTTCCCGTTTGCAACTTATGTCTGTCACTAGTTATACCCTTTATTTAATGCAGAAGTTTTCTTACACTTCACGCATACTTTATTTTTATATTTTACCACTGGCCGGTTGTGCTTATGTATACTAGAATTGAAATTTAATTCTCTTCCATTCCCTGGCGTCCCTACGCTCGTGAATAAAGATGACAAATTTCCTAGCTGACTACAATTACAAAATCAATTGCGAATTTACAGAAAAGTTAGAATGCATGAGCAAAACCATTTTAATTATTGAAAAAAGGATAAGTCATAGCAGAAAACATACTCAAGTGCGAAACATGTAGCTTGTCTTTCACCCTTGCTATTTCGATGATTTCATGTTAATTAGACAGCAGTGGTATCAGATACTGATTTGAAATGGTGATTGATGTTATTTCATTCGGTGAAATTTCAATCTGACATGTTACTTCGTTGATTATAAGTAGATATAATTCTTCATTCTTAATTTTCTTTAATTCCGATTCATTCTTTCCAGCGAGCGTTATGGAGTGATATGTTTACTGGACGACTGAAAGAAGAAATTCCTCTAATTCTGGTTCGATTTCAGTTGTTAATTATCATTTTTTTTTTAGAACATACAGGTTTAACTAGAAGAAAATTGCGCGCATTTCCCTATTTCACTTCACTCTAATAAATAAAATAATATATCTAATATTAAAAATTCTCATGAAAACATACTTTTGGCTAATTATGCGGAAATACTTATCACTGAATTATATTTTTCTCAGATCAAGTTCATGTTCAAACTTCTAGTGTTACCGGTAGTATGCTAGGAGATGGAGGGCTTTGCAATTATATACACATTTCTAAAATTTCGAATATATTTTGAAAAGAAACAGGGAATGAGATTTGCAGCGTTCTCTGTGTGGTGCTATGATTAGGTGTGGAACACGATTAGTCGAATTGGATCTTTCGGACAATGCATTCGGTCCAATCGGCGCGGAAGGACTTGAAGAGTTCCTTGAAAGTCCTTCGGCATATTCGCTAAAAGTACTGAAATTGAATAACAATGGTTTAGGCGCTGGAGGAAAGGTAAATTAATTTCGAGTATTTTATAAAATTTTATAACAGGAATATTATGACATTTTCATGCATTATCCGACTAAACTGCCTTAGATTTAGTAGGTCAATTTGTGAATGACCTGATTTGTGAATAATCGGTCAATTTGTGATTAATCGATTGAATGATTTACCTGATAATTTTTCCAATTTAACAATTTATTCGTAGGCTTCCAAATTCCATTAAGAAATTTTAGATTATCGCAAAAGCACTTGTACAATGCCATGCAAATGCACAAAGAGATGGACAGAACTTTCAGCTGAAGACTTTTATTGCCGGTAGGAATCGTTTGGAGAATCCTGGAGCCTTTGCTCTAGCAAAAGCTTTCCAAGTATTGTTGATAAAATCGTTTTTATCTGTTGGAACTGTTTAGCTTGAAGTACTTGTCATAAGGAATAATCATAAAACTAAGTAGTTTCAATTGAAACCGTGATTCACGGAAAATTAACAGCTGTGTTTTATTTTTGACTTGTATTTTATGAACTTGGGAATGAATTTCAACTTCGTTTAGGTTTTGGGCTCTTTGGAGGAGATAACGATGAACCAAGATGGCATAAGAGCTGAGGGAATTAAAGCTCTTTCAGGATCATTTCGTTACAATCCTAATTTAAAGATAATCAATCTTAGTGATAACACGTTCACCATAACGGGGGCTCGTGCGATGGCAAAGGTTCGCATTGATTAATTATTGTAACAAGTATTCTTTTTATCTGCATAACTTTTGTCATTGTATGTTAGCGAGCATATTACAGATAAATCTCTGATATTTTGATTTGAATTTAAATGACGAAAGATTAATGAAGCGTAAAATCCCAGTTCGAAGGATTCCGAAATATAATTTGATTATACTGATTCACACCCAGAAAACTTTCAAAATATTTTAAAGAACTAATCCTTGCAAAGATGCTCTCAAGATTATAGGAGATTATAGTAGCTGGATCATAAATTCCAGTTGATTTTAACAAACTTTTGGTATGTATTTAAATAGAACCACAATTTTTTTCTAGGTAGTCCGAGATTTGAGGAATATTGAAGTTTTGAATTTTGGAGACTGTTTGTGCCGGGACAAAGGTGCTTTAGCTATAATTGAAAATATTTCGCTGTCGTTCCACTCTCATTTGAAGGTCTGCTTAGAATTTTTTTTCAGCTGACTGAAGGTAGTAGTTTTATTTGAATGAGTGTATTCTAAAATGTTGATTTGTAACGCCTAATTTGGATACAGTTCATCTCCAATATTTTTTTTATTACTGATCACCATCTTTACTTAAAGCTCTCTGTATTGAAGATTAGGTATAGAACCAGCTTTGGGTTGGAATAAAATTGAGGCCAATAACAAAATTCCACTTCGATAAAGTTTCTAATAAATATGCACTAAAATAGTTAAAAAGCAAGTTAACCTTTTGTCTTCTTTCCAGGACATAGTGATTTATGGATTTTCATATAGAGAATATTTTGCGTCATATATTATAGGAAATCAATTTATCGGGGAATGAACTGAGTCCATCCGTAATTGAAACAATCCTCGACAGAGTCAGCAAAGGCTTGCATTTGAAATCCCTTGTGCTGCACACAAACAATATGGGAGTTCAGTTTGATGAAGTTAAGTCGAAATGTGACAAATATAGTTTTATTGATTTGGGTGAAGAAAGGTTGGTGCTTCGATAAAAGCTGTTTAAAAATTTTCGCGATATTAACTAGTGTTTTTTTTCTGCTCATCTTCCAGAAAATAGCGCATTTTTAGCTCTGCACTGTTAAACAATGTTTGTACCGGTCTCTATCAGGAATTACAATGTTGGTCAGTAAACTTTCTCGTTTACATTCTTCAGTGGAAATTTATCTCTAGTTTGGATTCTCTTGCTTGACGGATAGGAATGCTAAAGTATTTTGATATTTGTTATATCGCATTCTTTGTTGTTTGCTGTCAATACTTTAGTAAAATGAACTCTTTTAAGTTTGGTAGTGATATTTTCATTTTTGGAATTATGGTTGCAGTGATGATCAGGGGACACTAGATGAAGAAGGGGAGAGTGATGACTGTCAGGAACTTTATTCGGAAAAAAGCCATTCCAGTGACTCAAATAATGAAAATATTGATAAACAAGTGGAAGATGGCAAGTTGCTCCTACTATTTTTGTTTCAACTCGCTTTTTCTTCAAATATATTTCCGATATTTTGGGGAAATTCAAAAAAATTGCAAATATCAGTTCTTTTCATTCTAATCATAACTAGTAAGGGCTGGTTTAATATTTAGGATCAGACGAGGATTCACATTTTCCACGCACAAAAACTCTTCTTTGTTACATTAGCTTCATACTGCTAATTAAATTTTTTGCTGTCAAGCAATGGTATTTTGAGAATATTTCCAGGTATTATATTGGACAGGTCTTTGGAAATTGATAATTGTCAAACAGTAATTTCATTTAGAAATCAACAGTGGAATTCTGAAGAGGATGGTGAGCGTAGCTTTTCCTTAAATTTAGCTTCGGTTTTTTTCATTCCGGAAAAATTTTCTGAACAAAGATTTTTATTGACAACACTAAGTTGGTTTTCTTTGTAAAGCATGTTATTTGCACTGGTGAAAGCAAAGCGCTGCGAAAAGATTATTTTTTGTTATAGATGCTGTTGTACTAAATTCCTGTTATTTCTTCTTCATTTTTATGAAGTAACTAGCAATGCTCATTTTGTGACAACTCTGTTGCTAACTTCTTTAAAGTGTATAGAAGAAACTAGTGAAAATGCGCATAACAAATGGAGAAATAGGCTTTGTATATGGATTTCATTGCAGCTGAAGCCGTAATTCAGACATTATTGTCGCAGAAGTTTGTGAAGATATTGGATTTGCGTAGAAACTACATAGGCGTTGGTGCATGCCGAAGGATTGCAGAGGTTTTGCGAGAACGCATGAAAAGGGTGAACCATTGCTTGTAAAATTACTTTAAATTTAATGTTTCATCTTTCTACTCATGCCTCAAACTAGTTGGGTTAAATGTTAGTTTAAAAACAAGATTACTCCTGATTTTCTTCTCACTTCTGTTCGACAGGCAATAATGTTTATTTGCGTTGTTTTTTAACCAAATAAAAGTATGGGTGAGATACTTAATGGAGAACTACATAGAAAAATGAAACTATATAAGTAAAATGGGGCATTAGGTCATTTTTTTATAAAATGTTAATTTTATATTTAGATGCTTTGTAGAATATGCAAAGCTTAGAAGAAGTGAACCTAAAGCAAAATGATATCACTGCTGAAGGTATGTTAGAAATGGTTCATGCATTCAAAAGCAATTCAAAGTTGAAAATCATCATTCTCAGTGGAAATACATTAAAAGTTGATGGTGCCGTTGCTGTCGCTGAAGTAAGTAAACCATGTACTTATCATTTCGGTTTTATCATCAAGTGGAAGTTGCTTCGATGTTTAGGTAATTGAGATGTTGAAAGGTATTTAGTGTAAATTTAGTTAAGCCTTTTTCTTTCTTTGTTTAAATAAGACTTCTTTAGTATTTACAAGTTATGTAAAGATCGGACGAAGCTGTTTTTCTCGTACATTTTTAGCTAAAACTAATTCTAATGGAGCATATTTGTGTAGCAGTTTTTAAATGGTTTTTAGTTTGATGTAAATCTCATTTTTTAACGACTGAAAAAATTTGTAATGTTTTTGATCGCCTATTTTAGTTTTAACAAAAAATCACTTGATTTATTTTTAGGTGTTATCTTCATTACACCTACTTGAAGTTCTGGATCTCAGTTCTTGCGCTTGTCATGAAAGCGGAATTCTGGCAGTGGCAGCAAATTTAAACTCATCAATACATCTACGTTTGAAGGTATTCTTTAGCTGACTATATACCATCATCTATTAAGTCTACTGATGCTAGGCAGGCGACTCTGTCATATCTCTTTTTATGATTGTTTATGAATTAATGAAACATATGTAAAATAAACGGAAAGAAATATCTTCTCAATAGTTTTTCTAAAATTCATACAAAGATATCACAAAGATTATAGTCCCCATCACAAACTTATTGGTGATTATTGATGAATAATATGCATTTTACCAGTAACACTGGTTGTTCAATTTCATATCATTTTAATTTAATTTCTTTCAAAACCAAACAATGGATTTAATTTCAGAATCTTATTAAACACTCATCTTTTTTTAATAGTCCGTAATGTTTAAATTCGTTCCACAGTTTTTTCAAAATTTTGATATTTGTAGATTTTGGATTTCTCGTCGAATGCTTTAGGAGCAAATGCAATACAGCAGATTGTACGTATTTTTGCAAGTGGTGGATTTCATTTGGAACGTCTTTCGTTGCACTCTAACAATATCGGACATCGTTTCGGTGAATTGAAGGAAAAATTTTCATATATTCAGTTTCTGGATTTGGGAAGCGAAAGGTAGAATTTTGGTAAAGTTTTTAGGGAAAACTGAAAAGAGATAGAAGGTGAAATCCACTTTTTCATTACATTGAGTAAATCTGAAATTAAATATAGGAAAAACTCGGGAAGATTAGTGACGCATATGTATTGTGTCGAGTCTTTAAATTTATTTTAAAATCATATATGAAATTATTAGTATTCATGTTATTTGCACTCATGTTATCATGTTATGTTATTTGCCAACTCTACTCTATATTTAATGAGACTTATAAAATTTGTGATACTGGATTTGATTTTTCTGACACTTCTTATAGCTTTCTTGTAGCAATGATAAAGGCTCTTTAATGGAGGAAATATCTACCATCGATGAACTAAAACGAGAGTCGTGGAATAAGAGTGATGATCAATATACCGGAAATCTTGATAATATACAAGAAAAGGAACTCGTACATGTAAGCATGGTTGAGTTTAAGACAATGTTTAAGACAATTCTTTTTCGGCTGATTATTTATAAATAGAAATTGATTTTATGCAATTGTTTTCTCTTCAAATTCGACATTTTTACCGATGTTAAAATTTTAGGATACAATTTTATTCATAACAAAACCATCAGTTGCCGTCCTGGACGTTTTATTATCACATATGAAAACTGTTGTCGAAACACTGCTTGTATGCTTTTTTATGTTTTTGGCCTTATCTTGAAATCTCCCGATGCTGATGTGCTAGCATGTACTGAGCAGAAGCATTTAAATTTGATGTCTTCTTTTTCTCCAAGTCATGCTCTTTCCAATAACACTATATATTTTAATTTAGTTATCACTTAATTATATTTAGTCGGTGTTTTAGGATGATTTATATGGAAGGACTCAAGAAATAACAGCAGCTTTACTGTGTTCCTGTTGCACATTGCTTTCTGTAGAAACTTCTAATAAGCAAGTGTTGAAAGAGAAGATTGTGACACTGGCAGGTCAGTTCACTTTTTGTTGAGAAGTTTGATTATTCAAAAAAATAATTGTAATACTTTATGTGAGAAACGCTTACGGCATCCTTAAATTTTTAGATTTATTACCAGTACTGAAGTTTGATGTTTCAAGTAAAATATTTTTTTTGAAACTTTCGAACACAGCAGAGCGAAAGTTAAATAAGATCCAGTGGGCGATAAAGCAATTCTCAGAACGCTCTGGATAGCGATGAATTATCAAAACATTTTTTAAGCGGTCAGAAGTAATCATCCTCTAGAGTGTTATCTTTTTAATTGTGTTTATTTTGATATCTTTAGTGCGAAAATGCAGTTCATTTATCATATAATTTCAGATGCAATCTTAACTGCAGCGAAAAAAGCCGAACGTCGGCCAGTTTCGGCGACAGAATCAATATGCAATCAGTTGTTGGCATTCGCCGGTGCTGTTCGGGTTTGTTACTTTTTCATATATCAAGGAAGAGCTTTGTCAGCATACTCAGAAGGCACTTGTGAAAAGCACTCTTCTTTATCAGAAGTTTAAATACTCGAAATGATGATTATTCTCTTACTTTTCTCATTTTTAATTAAAGTAATTATCAAGAAAAAATATATAAGCAAAAAGAACTGATAGGTATTTTATAGCAGTGTCCTCAGAGCAGTTATTCATTTTTGGTAAGCAGTTCTGGTTTAAGATTTTTTTTATGCCATTTATAATCATTTGCAGTCAGAAAGTCCTCAATCTGCGGCTAATATTAGCAGTGTGATTTTCTTACTAGAATCAGTGATAAAGCGCGGACATTTTCGAGATTTGCATCGAACCATTGCCTTTTCATTGTAAGTAATTCCCTTTCCAGCCTTTATAAAATGTTAAAGTACATGGATTTTAATATTGGCTAAAAAATAATTTTTAATAGAAGTTATGAAATTTCTCAGGATTTCAAGATTTGGCATTCATATATACTCACTATTGTGCATACTTTGTTTCTCAAAAGTGAATTTAGTTTATAATTGCTGAAATAATGGGTTACTGGGCATCTTTTCATTTTTCTACGATTATTAAGAGAACGACTTGCTTATTTAATTTCAGCAACGCGATAAAACCGACCTGTCCGGATCGAATTGTTGAAATTGATCGATTAATGCAAGCCTTGAAGTTCGAATAGAGACTGAAAGGAATTGAGGCACCTTTACTGAAAAGATTTTTATTTTTCAACTTATCTTTCTAGTTTTGTTTCATTTTTTCATCGAAAGTTTTTGATATGTAAAATTTGTTCTTAATTTGTCCAATGGCTATTCAATGAGAATATCAAAGGGCTCTTTCTTTCTCTAATTTCGATTCTTCAATTAGTTGAAGAGAGAGATAATTTTCATCTGGAATTTCGTATAAGAAAGAAGCTTCACAACAAGATTGTTACACTCTTAGCAATTTGAATCTTCTGCTGTCGATGTTATACATCATCTTATGCCGAATATCACTATATCTTGCTCACTTTTCTGCAATATGGTTTTTGTTTTTTTTATTCTCGTTAATTTATGCATGTTGGAACTCCGTAATTGTCCGTAATTGTGTAATGTTACAGTCGAGATGTAGCTATCATTCAAGAAAATTTTGCAATTACATTACAGCTCTTTCTATTTAAAGCAGTCTTACGTATAAAAAGCAGTCATATATCTCAACCGAAGGAACGTTATGATTGTTAGTAAGGAAATAATCATATAAACTAGGAAAAAAATAGCTAGTGTATCGTTGTTATTTAATAATTTTCCAGAAAAGTCGTGCAATGGCTCAAGCTGTAGAATCAAAAGGTTGCATCAAATTCTTTGAAATATTATTCCCGATTTCCGTTTATAGTCTTTATTTATTATTATGTTTTAAATACCTACTTTCAGCAAGTTTTATCAATCTCTGCGTCTCGCAATGCTTATTTCTCCTTTTCCACTTTTATGAGTTCCATATGTTTCGGGCAAGATCATATGTTTATTGTTGTTGTTTATTGTTTTATTGTGTGTGCTATATTGCGAATAAATCTGTTAAGTCCTTGCTTGAATTGCTTCTATAGAACTTACAAAAGTATGCCAAATTTATATACATTACCACCAAACGGTTTTTTAAACAAAACTTCACAACCGCATTGGCTGACACATTTTCGTAATGAAACTAGTTGTAGGCACATTTAGTGGCAGGTGGTCGAACTCTACGTTTCGGAATTGCGTACGAATTTTGTTTCTTGCCCAAATCTCGAAGTTCGGGTGGATGCGAAGATGGGTTTTATTGGTACTGAGTTAGGATGGGCATTCTCTTGTCTGTTATGTTACTGTTTTAAGCCAAGGAAGCGAAACTCTCGAGCTTACTGCTTGGTAATGGTTGATACAACGAAGTTTGAAGTGCTTCAAAGATTATGAGTTTTTGCGGTGTTTAGATCTTAACATATCTCATTACTTTGTTTTTTATTTGTTAGATCGAGATCAGCTTCAACTGTTCTTTCATTTTAACGTGAATTACTATATGATCGTTTACAAAGCCGTGTTTTACTTTCTGCGATTTGTTTTCTTTTTAAGACGTCACATATGGCTTCACGGATACTGACGAATTTTAGCCGGTCAGCTTCGCGTGTATTATGTGACCCAAAAATATTAAGGAGTGTGGCTACTCGAACATATGCTTCTTCGTCAGGTATCACTCACTTCATATTCCTAAATTCTTCTATATCATTTATATGACTTTTTCCGGCAGCAAAAAGGGAAAATCCGAGGAAGACAAGTGACAAGTATAAGGGTAAATTAGAAAAGAATTACAAGGAACTTGAATCTCTTTTAACATACAGAGATAGATTGAACTGCTTGTGCTTTTTAATTCACTGGAACTATTGGAATGACTTGATACTGGGCAGAATCACATATAATCATGCTAAGTTTCAAATTGTTCTATTTAATCTATCCATTATCCAGTTTCAATATTTTATGCTGTCTCTTTGTGCTCAATAACTATATGGCAATGTTTTCTGAATCTTCCTGCAATTTCAAGGAGTTGAACATCTAGAGATAGATCAAACTGCTTGCTCCTTTTAATTCAGCGTCTGTTTTTATATTCATTCATCATTCAGAAATTAAAAGTGATTTCGAATACTGCGCTTTTATCAGTTTTTCACTCAGATGCCGTTTTTTCAGCTAATGTGCAAGAAAGAAGCTTGATTCCGGTTAATTGCCGGAAGGAATTGCATTCATCCACTTCAGCATTAGCCACCGCAGATGCTGCTAAAAAGGTATCATTAATTTTAAATGCACTTAATTTGTGACTTCAATTTATATTCCCTTTGTTATAACAGGCTGTATCTTCACCGCCGAAGCCGGCGGTAAAAGGTTCGAAAGGACATATAGTAGCAGTAATTGGTGCCGTAGTAGATGTGCAGTTTGCTGAAGAGCTGCCGCCAATTCTCAATGGACTTGAAGTGTCTGGGCGAAAACCACGTCTTATCCTGGAAGTTGCGCAACACCTCGGTAGGTTGAAAGATTTAATGAGCAGATGAGAAAATATACAGCTATCTAGAAAATTTGCTTGAAAAAATATCAAAAATTTTTTATAATAATATAAGCAATAATGTCGTTGTTTGACTGATACGCGGGTGGTGAACTAATATTTAACCTTGCTACTGATTGAACCAATTAGATAATTAAAAGATAATCCTTATAAAAGTAGTTCATGACTTCGTTTTGAAATTTTTTACTTTTGAATGGATTTTTTAGGCGACAATGTAGTTCGAACAATAGCTATGGACGGTACGGAAGGACTTGTTCGAGGAGATGAAGTAATAGATACTGGTGATCCAATCAAAATCCCGGTTGGGCCCGAAACGCTTGGTCGTATCATGAACGTTATTGGTGAACCAATTGATGAAAGAGGCCCTATCAATTCTAAACATTTTTCTTCAATTCATGCTGAAGCACCAGAATTCGTTGATATGAGCGTGGAGCAAGAAATTCTTGTGACTGGAATCAAAGTTGTCGATTTACTTGCACCGTATGCAAAGGGTGGTAAAATTGGTAAGAAAAATTGTGTTGTTTGTTCTGCAAAGTTTTCTTCATCTATCTACGATCTGAATTATGCGGAGGTAAATTAAAAAACTTGCAACTGATTTTTATGGATTAGGAATGGGAAAGAAAGATAGAAAAGCATGCTACAAGTCATTGTAACAGAGCCATTTCACTGATTTTAAAAGTTCTGTTGACTTTGCCAGCTAAACTGAAGTGCTTATGATCATGTTTCATCTAATTCACTAGAGAAAAACCGTCTTGGCTTAACTATTACTAGAATTCTCAATCTGTTTACAAATGCTGAGGTTATATCGAAACTTCTGCTCTTTCGAAGCCGTACGGTTCTTTTTCAAAAATCGTGCAGTCAAAATGAGCATAAATTATGTGTTAAAAATACATATATGAATACTGTATTACCTCCACTTTTATTGGTAGTACTTAAATATTTTCGTACATGAAGCAGATCTTTCTATCACATAAATTTCTTCGGCTTTAGTGTAAAACTTTCTGTCGGCTATAGTGTAAAACATTCTGTAGAGACATTAACTTCAACTCTTTTACGACTCAAATATTTTGGATATATTTTTTAATTGCTGAAGTTTCATGATATTCCATGTTTTTGTAGTATAAGTTTAGGATTATTTGGCGGAGCTGGTGTAGGAAAAACTGTGCTAATTATGGAGCTGATCAATAATGTCGCCAAAGCTCATGGTGGTTACTCAGTGTTTGCTGGTGTCGGTGAACGTACTAGAGAGGGTAACGATTTGTACCACGAAATGATTGAAGGTGGAGTCATCGATCTAAAAGGCAAAAATTCGAAAGTTAGTTACCATGTTTATCTTTTCACATTATGCATTACGAACTTTTCTGATGAAGATGCATGGTCTCAATAAGCAAGCCATGGAAGTCAAAAAAGCTGGGTTCAATTTATTAAAAAATTTGTTAAATGTGAAACGAGATTTAAGAAAATGAAGGAACACTGGTGATACTATCTTGAAATAAGATTGATGATATTATCTTATTTTAAGAGAAAATTTCTTCGAAATAATTCACTTATGGTCGATTTTTCGGAACGCCATGACAAACTTGACGTTTGAAAATTTGAACTGATTATAAAAAAGGACATTTCAAATTGCTTTTAGTGGACAATTTCTTACGTTAAAAGCACCAATCTTTATTTTTTAGTATGTATTATTTGCCATGAATTTGATTACATTAGAGGACGGAGAGTACTGTTCAATAATTCATCTTTAAAAATCCTTCAAGGTGTCTCTTGTATATGGCCAAATGAATGAACCACCAGGAGCACGAGCACGAGTTTGTTTGACTGGTCTGACTGTTGCTGAATATTTCCGTGACCACGAAGGACAGGATGTATTGCTTTTCATCGATAATATTTTTCGATTTACGCAAGCTGGTTCCGAAGTATCAGCGCTGCTTGGACGTATTCCGTCCGCTGTAGGTTATCAACCAACTTTAGCAACGGATATGGGTAGCATGCAGGAGCGAATCACTACAACTAAAAAGGTTTGTTACACTTTTTTATTATCATTTCTGGGTGAAAATGCTAGTTGCTCAGATAATATATTTAAGCTGCTAAATTTTTAGGATGAATCAAATCTTTCAATATTTCTTTTAACATATTAAACACGACCAGTTTGAAATACATGTAATTTCATTTTTAGATTTCTTTGTTATTATTAACTTGGTGTGTACGATAAAAATTAGACGACTTCATTTCAGGGCTCAATTACATCAGTGCAAGCTATTTATGTACCTGCTGATGATTTAACAGATCCAGCTCCAGCAACCACATTTGCCCATTTAGATGCTACCACTGTTTTATCCCGAGGTATTGCTGAACTAGCTATTTATCCTGCCGTAGATCCACTCGATTCAACATCTCGCATCATGGATCCCAATATCGTTGGGCAAAAACATTATGATATTGCTCGCGGTGTACAAAAAATTTTGCAGGCAACTTTCTTATTTTTCTTACCTTGAGACCGTTTATTGATTTTTAGGTTCTTAATTCATTTGTTAAGCTCTCAATGTTGGTTATTTTCTTTTAATGGGGATAATTTGGAATCTTTAAGATCTCAGTTTTCATTTCATCTTATCAATATGTGATTTGTAAGATGCAGAAGTTTTTCGTATCTGAAGGCAATGGATAAGATACAGTAGAGGAGAGACCATATTTAAAAATTAAATACGATGCATAAGTAACAGAGATCGTCGTAATAAATTTCAAAAACATTTGAATTATGCTTTTTTGTTCGTATTATATAAAGATGCTAAAATGTATCATTTATCATGCAGGATTACAAATCGTTGCAAGATATCATTGCCATTCTCGGCATGGATGAATTATCAGAAGAAGATAAGTTGGTGGTATCTAGAGCTCGGAAAATTCAGAAATTTCTGTCGCAGCCATTCCAAGTTGCCGAAGTTTTCACTGGACACAAAGGCAAATTTGTAACGCTCGAAGAGACAATCAAGGGATTTGAGCTTATTTTGAAAGGTAGGAAAAAAACTTTCTGTGATTGTTTGAAATAATTGTCTTGTTCAGGATATGCCTAATCATTGATTGATTTTTGTGTTTTCGGCGTTTTGGAAAGCAGTTTTATTTCAGTTATCGATTAATTACTGAAGAATTTTTCGAGTTAGAGAGCATATGCATCGAACCAAGGAAGATATAGTTAATCTTAAATTTACTTGTTCTTAATCGACGTAATTTGGGATAAATTTGTTATAATAGGATGATCCTTAGTGTTGGCTTTGGTTTTTTTTCGGTAATAACTTTCGGTGAGGCAGATATTACTTGGTTATGACATTTGCGTTATCATTCGTGGAGTAAAAAGTTTTGTTTTGACTGAAAGAAAATTTTATTTCATTTCAGGTGAAATGGATCATTTACCGGAAGTGGCATTTTATATGCAAGGTGGAATCGATGATGTAGTCGTAAAAGCTGAAGAACTGGCCAAGCAAAATGTATGAAGTGTCCATATAGTTGGTGATTACAGTAAATGTTACCTGGTATTGAATAATAGTAGATTTTCTTCTCCTAATGCAAATTTCATTCATGTTATAAAGGCCGCATTGTGCTATTATTGTATGCTTTAGGAAACACAGCGAGGTATTTTACTATTGTATATGTTAGACTAGCACTTTGCTTTGTCTGTATAATAATTTATGCTCACAGTTCATCAGTTCTGTGATATTTACTCTATACCTGTTTCGGTTCATTAGCCTATTGGATGTTCTATAATTTTAAGAGGACTCTTTTAATGCTTTCATGAGGAAATTTACTATTATTGACTTTCTGAGGTTATTGACTTATTGACTTTTCGATTGAATTTCTAGAGGAGACTGTTATTTTGACTTTAGAAAATAAAGCACTAGAATTACATGTTCGGTTTCGATTCTGAAATTTTTTGTTTCTGCATGTTTGGAAAATATCAGTTCTGCTTGTAGAGTAAAATTGTTAGAACCAAATTTTCTCAGTTTATTTCGAATTAATTCGTATCAGTTTATCTGACTGAATGTATTATAAGCATTGTGATCGAGTTCATTTGATCGAGTGATCGAGTTGTGATCTAGTTCATTTGTCTTTTCGGGATGATGGAAGAGAAAAGGGCAATTAGTTTGCCATGGTGCGTTGAAATCTCTTATCAATCTCTCAGGAGGTGAAAGTGTCCGATATACATCCTTAAGCGAGTTGTTTACAGCCGTCTCTACCTGTTATTTGTTATGGCTCATTTTGTGGTTGACTCACATCCACTGTAGATACTGTTTAAGTTGATGTGTTTTATGTTTAGACTTAATTTACGCTGCTTGTAGACGATGAGTTTTTGTTTTTCTGAAAAGTTTGAGGTGTGTTCCTGTATTTTGTAGCACTGACAGCCTTAAAGTTCTTGTCAGCATGAGCGAGCTTGGGTGTTTAAACCATAATTCCATAAAGGGAATTAAAAGAATCAAATAAAATTTTTTGGAGACATTCAGCATAAAGTTATTAGTGATTTATGAAAAGTTACCTATGTTCCTTTCGAGATGATTCTATATCGGAAGAAGATTATGATCATATAATCTCGGTCTAATTTTTAGCAGCGGCCGGTAAAATAATTAAAGTGGAAGAGAAAGAATCGAAAAGGTTTTTTAAATCAGATTGAGCCGATTGCTCAGATGTGTCAGGAAGATGAGCAAGTGGCGCAAGCATCCGGTATAGAGATTTCGGGGTTGGTTGGTTGGATGGCAACAAATAGTGATGGTATACATGATACAGATATTGTTGAATACTGTTCAAGACTTGGCGCTCGAAATTACAATTTCATGAATTATCCAGTTGGCGGTATGAAACGATCTTCATGGCATCCTGAAAAGTTGGTGGTTTTGATGTATTTTACAATTTCAGGGAATAGAGGTACGAGACTCAGTAATTGTCGAATAATTTATTGGCAGCATTGAACTGTTAAAAGATATTGTGAAGTTTATTTTTCTATTGTGGACAGAGAACATATATGAAAATATTTATTGATGTCGTAATAAATAAATTTGAAAAGTGTAGAGGTTTAGTGTTTGTCTTTCTCCAACTTGTATTTCTGCAAGTGTGATAACCACCAACGAAGGCAGATAATTTAGATGAAAGCACTGGAAATATATCTGCAAAAATTGAAATACTGTATGGTGTTTTTAGAAACGGCACTCCACCACCGATAGATCTACCGGATTTGCAGCTTGATGTTAAGTTATGGGGAATATATGTTATAGGACGAATATCAGACTGGATAGATTGTGATGCAAACGAAAGTTGGTTGGCAGATTTATCATGTGTTGAAATTGAAAAGGTTGGTGAAAAACACTGCTGTTCGAATTATTAAACTTAATTTATTTTTCCAATTCATAATTTTAAATCATTTCTATATTTATTCCAATAATCTATTTTTGCAGTAGTTCCTCTAATACCCTGGCGAATGACGATAAGAGTCAAGAATAAAATTCTGGGCTAACATCTAAAATCATAATCTTTCATTGAGATTTAGCCAGTCCATTCCAAAGAAACGATCAGTTTACATTTTCTAATGCTTACAATTGCTATTCATTCATTTGTTTAAAGGAGCTTAATTATATGACTTATATGCCATTGCGTGTGTTGACATTGGAACTACGACATCGTGATTCACCAAAATTAGCAGAAATATTAACAAAATGGATGTGGACGCGGAATATGACTTACAGGTTTTAATTACTACTTAAATTCATTTTTTTACATTTCAAATTGTCTATTCGAAGTAGTTTTAATTGCTCGAAATCACAATTTTTTTAATATTTACTTGCTAGCTTTTTGTAAATAGGCTTTGTTAGCAGGCTACATTCTATTAGTCAAATGTATATGTTATAGATAGAGTAAATGTTTTAAGTTATCTTGTTGGGATATCATCAGCAGAGAAATACTTTCGCAGAGAAAGCATGGAAAAGGATCGACAATCTTCGTTCTGTAGAATGGAATGGTCATTTTCAACTGAGAAAAAATAACATTATCACAAACTGCTTTGAACATAATGATCAGCCTTGTAGTGTTTGGGTATTTCTGCCAACCGATGAAAACCTTCTTCCTGTCGCTGACTGTGGACAAGATGGCCGGGATATTTGGAGAATATGGGCTGATTTCCGGAGTCTCTGCACCAATTATCCAATGCAGAAACTAGCTGTTGGTTTAAGATTATGCCCTAATCTAGCCGATGAATTCCTGGAATCACGACTATATAAGCGCTGGCATGCTGAGCCACTATGCTCATTTTGTATTGAAACATCCATTTTCACATCTAGTGGACAGTATGGCAAATGTACGCTACCACCGTATGCTTTTCGCTGTTTTATTTCAATTTTCATTTTCTTTTTTTCATAGAGTTCTGTTTCTTTGAGTGATTTAACGCTTATACGTAGAAGTTATTTTTATAAGCACACCAAGGAAATCTTGTAGTATGAACGATGTAAATGCTTTCCTAAACGTACATTCTGCTCTTAGCTTTCAGAACAACTGGAAACTTTGGTATTTTTTTAATGCAGAGTACTATTGGGAGAAGAGAACATTTGTCACTTCTTTAGACTGGATAAAAATTTTGAAGTAATTTCGATATTTGCAGAGCACATTATCGTTTACTGATGGATTTGTTCGTGTCGGTCATACAGCGACCGCTTATACACTGCAGTAGCTCTGAACAAGTTGATGAGCATCTTCGATTGCAGTACGTAAATATGATCAAACAACTGATACAGGAAAAAGCAATTCAGTCAAAAGAGGCTGCACTTGCTGGTAGGGATGACAATGTTTTGTTTGAATATCTTGGACATCGGGAGTATATCGATACTTTACAGGTATATGTTGTGGTCTTTCCTTCAATTGTAATCTTCATCATTTGAAATATGTTCAAGATTTAAATACAAAATTGATGGACGTGCAAAGGATGGTTTATTCCAGTATTAAAGCACATTTTTTCATGATACCTTTCAGCATTGCTTTGAAGAAGATGTTGGATTGGGAAAATTGAATTGTCCTTTCATTTCAGATGCCTCTGCAACCGTTAGCGGATAATCTTGATTCGGGTACTTATGCAATTTTTGAAGAGGATTCTGTGAAATATGATTTATATCGTGAAGCAATATGTCACGCTATTGAGGATCTCGTTAAAATAACTGGTGAGGAGCGAAACATCGTTGTATATCTTTTAGGAGCAGGGAGAGGACCTCTGGTAAGCTTTGTATTCATTTATTCTTGTTTAAAAACATTAGGGTCATTAATACCAATTTAATGACTCTAATGTTCTTAAAGTTTATTTTCCCACAGAATCGTATCAGCATATGAGATATTTTACGTTGAAGGACATACGGTTCTATATTTTTAATTGAGATTTTTGACTAAATCGGTTATTTATAGATGCAAATGATAATTGAAGCTGAAGAATTATTCAATGCGAAAAGTTGTAATCGTCGCGACTTGCTGAAACTTGAACTTTATTCAATGGAGAAAAATGCACATGCCGTCGTTACTTTGCAATTTAGGAACAAACATCAGTTGGTTCTTGTTTTATAGAAACCAAAATGCTATTATTTTGGCTATGTGCACAGCACCGCTAGCATTTTCCCAGCTTATTTGGGATCTTTCATATTTCGCTCGTGTTTTCTCTGAAATTTTTTTCTTATGATTCTCGTTCTGCCGATGCTTACCATGCGATCTTTTAATTAATCTTTTGCATCATCCAAATAAATCTCTTAGTTTCTTTTTTCAAGAAAACGTGGTAAACTTGGAACTTTTCAGTTAGATTAGTTTATTTTGTGGTCATTTAGAATTCTCAAAAACATTGTTTCCATCAGTAATTATTAATATTTCTTCGGTTCTACACAGCATTATATTTTTAGCTGGAAGGATCGAGTGCAAATTGTAGAAGGCGATATGCGAAAGTTGAGTGAAAAGGTCAAAGCTGGTCAACTGCCATCCCCAGATTTAGTTGTTTCGGAATTACTGGGATCTTTTGGTGATAACGAGCTATCTCCTGAATGTCTCGATAGCATCACTGATATTTTGCTCCCAACCACTATCAGCATTCCGCAACAATATACCAGTTACATCGGTGAGATTTTGTCGACACTGGCCGAAATTCTAATAACCGCTTTATTAAAATATCTCAGGCATTGCTAATATTATTATCGATCTTATTTATTTTAATGTTTCTTCCATCTTTTTTTCTTCTGAAATTATTAACACTTTATGATTAAATAAAACTGCTTGTTGAAAACTGCCTGCTAACGAATATAATGTGGAGAGATTGATGTAAATTATATTCGCTTGCAATAATACTGCAGTCATAATTGCTCGCTAAATCACTAGACATTTATAATCAATTTTTATAGACTTAGTAGCATCAACTAATTACTTAAATCTTTAATGGTCACAATTGCGGAATGTGCACCAAATTAGTTAAGCAACAATGTATAATTGGAATACTCTGAATTTCCTTCTTCTGACTTTCTCTTTTTTTCATCTGCTTTTCAGCTCCCATCCAGTCAGTTCGTTTGCATCAAAAAGTACTATGCTGTTCTGGTGGTACTAAATATTTTGAGCGAGGTTTTCCTGGCCGTGGACGATTGGAACCCATTAAATTACAAGATGGCACTTATGCATTACCGTACGACTATTCATCATCGATTAGTGAATGATTGTGTTTGGCTAAAAGAGAATGTAGAACTAAGAGGTTGCTCCAATAGAAAAAGAATATAAATTTTGCATAGCTTTAGTAGACTTTAGTTATTAGAATGTTATTTGTGTTGTTTTAAAGATGAGTTTCTTCCTCATATTTGATCAGCAGGATAACGGAGTATTTTCTGATAGTTTCATTGTCGCTCAATTCCCAATTTCTTTCTATCAATATTGTAATGTAGGATTGTAATGCAGTTTAGAATAACAATCGACGAAAAGTTTGTTTAATTGCTGACTTTGCATAGCTCATGGTAAAGAACTGGAACTAAATTTGTAAATAGAGCTTAAATAGGAGTATAAAAAGATTAGAAATTAAGAAGAAATTAAATAGGAATATCTCTAGTTGAAAGAGTAGTTTGTCTCGTGTTTATCAGTGTGTTGAATGAAATCTGATCTTGATTAAAAAATTGATATTTATCTTCAATTGCGGCGTTTTCAGTGAATGCCCAGAAGCTTCACAATTCGACGAAATATATGTAGTTTGCATGCGTTCCGTTTGTGAGCTTGCGAAGCCTAAAGCTGTTTTCAGCTTCGAGCATCCAAATTTCGAACGGAGATCAAATGCCCGGAGTGCATGCATTCAGTTCACAGTCGACATGCAGTCGGAGGTAAACATTTTAGTAATTGAAAAATTGCTTTCCAAATAGCAGTGATTTTAAATACATCCTGAATTTCTTGTTCCATGTCATTAATATATGTTAGGGATATTTCAGCCTTAACTACTTGTACTCGTAGCGGTAAATATGCAGTTATTTTTAAACCTCTAGTGGATAGAATTTTGAGTAAAATACATCATTACATAATCTTTGCCAATTAATTTATAAAATTGTGGATTGTTAATGCCTAATACTATGCATTTTCGCATAGGATTGCTAGGTAGTTATATCTGTATTCTAAATCATATGGTAGTGATGTGGTATTGAAGACCATATTGTATTACAATGCAAGTAATTTTGGTGACTTTGCGACCGAATATGTTGCTTAACGTGGCAAAATGTCTTTATTGTAATGATCTCTTTCAGTTGATGGGATTCGCAGGCTACTTTACTGCGCGACTTTATAGGAATTGCCAATTGAGCATTGTTCCACAGACGCATACAAAAGGCTTAATTAGTTGGTTCCCAGCACTTATACCACTTCGTCATCTTTATCGCTTACAGAAGGGTACTGAAGTAAGTTTCTGTTTGCTTTTTAGTATGATTGTGACTTAAAAAGTTAGGAATAGTCTCATCGATTAGGTGGTTTTATCAATTTTTATAAAAAAAAAAACTCAAGGAAATTTTATTCAAAATCACAGAACATATACAGCCATATGTTCTATGGGTCAAATTCGTAATGAAAAGGCTTCAGCACTTCAACTTTTGAAGATTTTAAGTAGTTTTTGTAACAGAGCGAATTTGAATTGGCATAGGCTATGACATTTGGATAAAGCGCTATGAATGATAAGATATTAACAATTTGGAGAGATTTAACGGTTGAATTATTTTAGATCATCTTTCATGTTGAACGGAAAATTGATACGCGAGGTGTTTGGTATGAATGGTTTTGTGAATTCCAGGTATTTCCTTTCCTGATTATGGTTTTCAAATCTCTGAATTAGAAGTTCAATAGATTGTAATGTTATTTTTTTACGGTATGTTGCTCCATCCGTTAATCAGTTTCATGCACATGTCGTTTGAAAGAAAGGAGAGACTAAAAGGTGGAAGCAATGCAATAATCGATAATTTTTTTCCTTTTTAATTTAGCCCTTAATGATTCTATTTCCCAATTGTGCGCTGGGTGTTCTACATATTATGTAGGAAAGAAATTTTATAATTTTTCGAATTGTATACAAAGCTTTTAATTATGGAGGGAAACTATTTCTATGAAATATGAAACCAAGTTTTTTTTATAAGAAATATGATTTTGTAATCTGCTATTAAAGGATATCGATGGAAAAGTCAAAACAACGGCATTACAAAATAAGAATGGTATGAGTTATTTCATGCGCTTATAAGTGTCTGATTTATCGACCATTAAATTTATGGATGTTGGATGATGTCTCCGCTGTTTTTCACGAAATATTTTTGTTGAATTCTTATCCCATTTTTGTACAGGCATTTGAGAATTGTGATTTTATATTTGACGATTTTTGAAATGATAAATCATAATTTCGACGTATTGATATGCTTTAAAAAATGAGTTATTATTGCGAACGATTTGTAACGTTTTGTAAAGATCTGCTATATACATTACCGGTATATAGTAGATCCAATTTTTGATTCTCATAAGATTTTTTGCCTCCTAGAAATGTTTGGAAATGATCAATTCTTTACAAAAATTTTGCTAGTTGATGATTATCGACCTTAATTATAACACTGTGCACAATGTTGAGGCGGATTTGACTAAAAATTTTGGTGCTAAAACTAATTGTTAACTGTCGCTTTTTTCATGTGGTATTTGTTGCCATCCAACTGGAATGTTTATTCCTCAGATATTTTGCAGGTAAGTTTCAGTACAGTTTTCTGTCCTTTCATAAAAATAAAAAATTCAAACATCAAGCTGTATTCTTATATTTTATGATCCAACCGTAGAACTTCATTTCAATTTATTAAGAAGTTAATACTGCAAAGTTCGAGACCGGAGAATAAATAATTCTATTTTATTATCTGTTTCGAGAACACAACAAACGGAAAGTTTTTGGAGTTTCCTCGGTACTTGTTCAATTTCGATACACTTTTGACACGAACTGATACAAATTTCAATATAATTTTTTTGCATTGGAAGAAATTATATTGAGTTTAAATAATTTTCAGATGCTAAAGTTTCGAGAGTAAGGAATGTTAGATGAAGTTTTTCACAGCTGATTTAAGTGAAATATTACTCGCTGAACGCCGTGACGAAGGAGAAGCTGATTATTTAGCGAGAGAACTATCACACATTGTCAAAGTATCATTCCAATTGTTTAAGCCTAAGAATAAAAGATTTGATTAAGGAAAGAGCAGATTAAAATTTCAGGAATTCGGCGCAACATTTATTTTACTTTCAAATAAGGAAAACTTTTTCGTGGAGATAGCAAATACTGAATTTTCTTTGGTGCTTCTTTAATCAGTCAATTCTTTCAAACTTTCCCTTAATTCGCTATGAGCGGGACCTGCTTGTTTGATTTTGCCTCGGTGTAAATTGCCAGTTCATAGAATTATTTTCTTTAAAATATGTCCCCATTTTTCTTTGATCAGATGAATTTTTTAGCATTTATTAGGAACTCGGTTCTGGATTTCATATTGGGATTATTATCCGTTCCTAGCAAGCACTTTATATTACGCTGTCACGCTCTTATCAGGTAAAGGTTATTAAATTAATATTTTTTAGATATTTTTTTTAGAATTAGTTGTGTTATTTCATTTCTTCCTGTAGCTTTGTAACGTCAATTTTTTCTTATTAGGAATCACATGTTGAAGAATCTTAACCTTCTTTCATAAGTTATTTTAAATAAGCTGTATGCTGATGTTCAAAAATTATTCCAAGAAATCTTACCGAATTGGTCATTTTCTAGTTTCTCTTTACTTCTGTAGACTTTATAACGCATGTGACAACTTAATATTAACTATTACATTTCAAGGAAATTTAGATCATTTGTTGGACTTTGTTGTAGTAGTTTTTGGAAAAAGTTCTAATCCTATTCTGCTTAATCTAGTTGAGCCTTTGATGGGGAAGACATAATTTGAAATCAATTTCATACGACTCGAGTTAATCAACTTTGCAGAAAAAATTCGTACAATTCAAACATCTTAAAATTTAGCAGTGCAAACAGTTGGGGAAGAGTACACCGCTATTCTACCATTGGTATCAGTTCGACAACGCGAAGTACCGCATTTCACACGTCGCTTAATTTTTGTCATCTTCTTTACTGTGGCGCCATTCCTGACTGAAAAAATCCTTGAAAGTATTAAAAAGAATTTGGAAAATTCACTAATTGCTAACGAAATACTTTTCTTTGATAGGAAACAAAGAAATCTTCGTAAAACTCTGCTCAGTCTTGTTGTCTCGCTCAGGTCATTATCCATTTGTAACTTGTTTATATAAATTAAGCGAAATAGCATGTGTAAAATGAATTGTATCATGGTTTTTGATTTCAAGATAATTTATAGAACGGGATTAGGAAATAAATAGCATCATTTGCAGGCATAGTGGTATTCCAGTACTATATCGCTTGAATTTAGCTTTATTTTATTTATTTGGAACCTACTATTATATTTCAAAGCGTCTGGTCGGTTTGCAATACGTTTCATTTCGGTCTCAGTGCAATTATCAGGTGGCTTTTATAAGTGCATTTCATTGATTCAAGTTCATTCATACTGAAGAACTGGTTTTATACAATCGGATTTTGGAGCATTGCTGAGATTGGAAACTTGAGAAATTACCTTTTGTTGTTTATTTTGTTGGTAGGAAGGAAAGTCAAGCGCTACAGTTTTATCCGCATGTTTTAGAAAGTTTCAGATAGAAAGTTTTTAGAAATTCAGAGCTTAAGAAAAATCTCGAATTTCTACTACTGAAGTAGTTGGACTAGAAGTAACTCAAAATTTTTGAAGAACGGTTTTCAGGCTTTATCTTATTTCCGTTTCTTTGGAGCAGTAAACATTGCACAAATTGTTTTAAGTGCAGCAATTTGGATTAGAGACGAACTGAGAAGACAGCGCAGTGAGGAAACAATTGTTGAATTCAAGCAATTATCTAAATCCGAAATATCGGAAGAGGAGAACGATCCGGTAAGTTACTTTATATATTATAGTGTTCTTTTCAAAACTCAAGTAGATATGTTATATAAATTGGTGATTTCTATTTGAAATTATTTGAGTCTGTTAGAGAGAAAGATATCAGTGCTGAAATTCGATAACCACCCAGTAGTCATCAAATATTATCGATTTGTAAGAGACTACATTTGGCATGTAATTATGTACGACTAAACTGATTTCATTTACTATGATAAGCTTATTATTAGTACACGGATTTAGCAGTTCTTTTTGTAGCTTCTATACAATTCATTCCGGTGTTCACTTTGTTGGCAGTACAACAAACCACCAATTTGTATTCCCTGTGGACATTTATTCTGTTGGAGTTGCATTTCAAAGCACATACAGTTTACTGTCACTAACAGTTCTGTAGCACTTTGTCCACAGTGTCGAAAAGAATTCCATCAAAGTCGAGTGGTACCACTACTGAATTTATAATTGGTACTACATTTTTTTAATTTTCGAATTTTTATTTACTGCAGAAAGAACTTCTTATTCTTCATGCTTTCATAAGATTCTCAATAATAAATTTTCTTTTGAAAAGAATGAAAAATTGGTTTCTGTCAATGTTATCCGCACATTTTGTTGCTTTTTTAGTCTATTAGTTTTTTATTCCTTTTAAGGTATTAATTATGAATGTTTCTGCTGTGACTGTGAAAAAATTATTATACAAAAATGCGAAATGGGTATTCGAAAAACGAATTTTTCGATCTGCATCGTCAGTTAAAACAAATTCGGAAAATAAACATTTTCCAGTAATTTACGTCTCTGGTATCCAACCAACTGGAGTTCCACATCTGGGTAATTATTTTGGCTTCATCCAGCACTGGATCAATTTACAAAATGTTTGTTTCTTTCTTTTACAAGGTTTTTTTTTTTCATACGCACTCAACCAGTTTATGGCCCAAGTTTTTTATTCCCTTATACTTTTGGCTTGTTAGTCTTGTTCGACAAATTCTGCAAGGAATACTGGTTATAATGGAAAGTCACAAAATTCTGTTCTTATTAGTATTCGGTAAGTTCATGAAGTACGAGCAAGTGATCCACTTTTTTCAGGATGGCCGCTCAAAACAAATGTATCTTTCTATTGCTGATTACCATTCTATTTCAATGGGTTTCATTGATCCTCTGGAAGTGAGCTAAATGCTTTCCGAATTTAAATTGAGAGAATCACATGCAGACTGCTTCTACTAAGTTTTTAGATTTTTAAATAACGCAAAATTTAAATTTTCATAATTCATGTAAACTTCTTTTATAAATAAAATGAGCCACATGTACACCGTCTATTAAAATTCAGATATCTTTCACCTCACCCTCAATTCTTGAACCGAAAATGATTGTAACAATGGTCTTATCAAAACTACCACTATACTGTTTAACTAGTTTTATTATCGCGCTTATCTGTTTCATATTTCCTACTAGATTGCTTGAACTGTTGGAGAAGTAGCATATATGATGCATGTTCGTGCTAGATATGGGTTAGCATCAGTTTCTCAAAGATGGATTACCGTATGAACTTCAGATATTAAAATCTATATAAGGTTTTACTTATAGATGAGAAATAACATTTTAAAAATGGCCGTGAGTCTGTTAGCTTGTGGACTGGATCCGGAAAAGACGATTTTGTTCCAGCAGAGCAGAGTGGCCGGTCATGCTAACTTGATGTATATACTGGGAAGCTTACAGACTGTTGCTAGACTTACTCGAATGCCACAATATAAAGATAAAGCTGCTGTGTTCGTTTTCGTCTTTTTAAAAACAATTTTAAGTTTAACTTTCATCTTCACCGATTATGTTCTATTTAACTCGTATTGGTTCTATTTTTTCAAAAATGGCAATTCTTTGCTTCACTTCCCGCTACAGGTGCAAAAAAGTCCATTAAATCTATGGTATGCAGTTGCGCACATATTTTTTGAAAGATTTTTTGTCTGTCCAGCAAATTAACAGTAACAGTAAGATAGATTTTCTTAAAAATAAATATAACAGTAAAAGTTATCTAGATCTTAACAATTTAGTCTGACTTAATTTTTCATCATTTGCAGAAAACATTCCCATCCTTTTTTTTCTTAAATTTTTTTTCACTGCAGATTTAAACAGGGTGATATTCCTGTGAATCTGCAATTATATCCTATTCTGCAAGCAGCTGATGTATTACTGTATAAAGGAACTCATGTACCTGTTGGCGACGACCAGACTCAGCACTTGCTTTTGATGAGAGATTTGGCTGTTAAATGCAATGCCGTTCTTCATTGTGATTTTTTTCCAGTACCAATTCAGGTTAAATTTAATCCTTTTGTTTTCAAGCAGAATGATTTAGGTTCCAACTGAAATTTTTGCGTGTCTCAGTAAAAGTTGTTGATCAGGAAGATATTCTTTATATGACCGAATTCATAAAATAATCGGGTGTAGTTTCCTTCCGAATATTGCGGTAGTTCTCAGGTCGAAGTTTTAGAAGTCGGAAACGGCAGATATAATTGAATAGTGGAAGAGAAAAAATATTTCACTAGTAGATTCATGATAAAACTTTACAAAACCTTTTTAAAGTTCTGCAATAGTTTGGATTTCAGATAAGTGCTAAATGTATCCGTTTGAAAAGCTTGCAAAATGCGACGAAAAAGATGAGTAAATCAATTGGTAACGATAGATCGCGTATTTTAATCAGTGACACAAAACAAATAATTGCTGAAAAATGTGCAAAAGCCTTGAGTGACTCGCAATCCAACATTACTTATGAACCAGAAAAACGCCCTGCAATCAGTAATCTAGTGAGTTTTACTCTCATTTGTAAAAATAAAACTTTTCTATTAAGGATAGGAATTGTTCTAAACCCTTGTTATGTAAAGAAAAAAACTGCTTCAACAAGGATCATTTTCTCAGAAAATAATACTTGAGGATATCTCTGGCTGTTGATATCAAAAATTTACGAATGTATCCTCAATCTAATATCACTTGCTGCATTACAGTACAGATTGCTAATGCTCTTATCTTTCTGGATGTGACAGATTTTCTTCCCACGTCGATCATTTTTTCGAACTTATGCATTGCAGGTAACTCTTTATTCCTTAACGACTGGTTTGAGTATCGAAAATGTAATCGATGAATGTGTCAGTTTGGATACGAAAGAATTCAAATCATGTTTGGCTGAAAAAATTGACACTCACATTGCACCATTTCGAGAAAAATATGAAAGCCTACTCCGAGAGCCGCAACTAATTCGAGATATTCTAATGTCTGGAACTCAGAGAGCTGAAGAAAAGGCTCAAGAAACAATGGCAGAATTGAGCGAATTGCTGGGTTTAACTTCTCCCGCCAAGTGCTATCACCATTATAATAGAAGTTTGAGTGTATAAGATTGAGCATGATTATTGCACTATATCATCGAGTCTTGTATAACTTATTTTTATAAGAAAGTGCTAGGACAGCTGGGAATGTTTAGTTTTCCATTTTTATCCCTGAATTGTTATTTGCTTTACATCTTTTATATTGCTTTCCTACATTTATGGATGATATATTCAATATACTTGTACTTAAAACCATAAATTTGTTGACAAAAACTCGTCGATGAAATATGCTTTTGTCTTATCTTGGGGAACAGTGGCAGTTAGGTAGTGAATATTGCAACGATTAAGATGATTAAAGATGATCTAATGATTGTTCTCTAAATAGCACGGCTATAGAACAAACATCCCGGAGTTGTCTTATTAAATTTCATAGATCGAATAATGTGTACCATACGCTGATAGACTCCTATACGGTCATAATGTGTACCATACGTGTGCCATAATAATGTGTACCATACGATCTATACACATTATTCGATCTCTTCTTTAAAATGAAAAAGTTCGGAATTCAGACATGCAATTAGGAAATTGCGTTACTCTTAAGTTTCTTCCATAAAAAAGTCGTGACAGATTTGCATTATAGAAGAAATGGAACGCTTATTCAAAATTCTAAAATGAAGTTAAATTTCAGACAAATTGTTGAAGTTCTTGAAACTTGTATAGAAAAAAAAAATTCAAGAAATGTTGAATTTCAAACAAATTGTTCTTGAAGCTTGAATTATCATCAGATTTCATTTCTTTTCTCCGTATCATCTCTGAAAATACTGGGTGTCGCGAATATTTTAATCGGAGGTTTGATAATAAAATGATAATTGAAACAACTTGATAAGATTTTCTTTCTAATGTGATTCATTCGAGAACGGTCTGATGAGAGTCATCTGAAAGCGGCAACTCAATTTTGAAAGGTCGCAATAGACAAGGAAGTTGTTCTTTGGAAGATTTATTGGCATCATTTTAACTTCATCACAATTATTCGGATGGTATAAATGATTCAAAAAAAAGTGGAATGAAATGAAGAAGAGTAAGCTCATTGGTCATCAAATATTTTTAAACCTTTTTTTAGGAATATTGTTGCCTTAATAACAGTAGTAATAATGGTACTCATATGGACAAAATAGAAAGTTTCAACACCTTAAATATCTTTCAGTGGCTATCATCAGTGGCTATCGAGCTGCTATATTTTTCGTCAAATGGCTCACAGTAGAATGAGTTGGAGTAAATAAATCAAGCAGAAAAAAAAAACCTAGAATTTCCATAAATTAATATCAGTCATGATCACAACGAGCTGAATTTAACTTCAAAATAAATTAAACATCATTGATAATAATATCATTAGATATCAATAGAATCCTCAGAAAGTAGCATGCCAAGCACTCATGATCTAGTTTGATATCAGCTAATTAACTAAATACCAGGAAAAAAAAATCCGCAGGTATGCTTGTTCAACCTTATCATCATCATATGGATTGCAAATTCAATTCTCGTCCCAAATAATGGTATTCCTTTTTAACTATTCAATCCTACAAGTTGTTTAATTGATCATTTCTTTATTTTAATGCAACAAATAATAGATACAAATAATAGACAATTACTAGGAAATGACAGTGTTTATTGTTGGTTGGTTGATAGATGGCAGAGTCTCTGATACATTTCACTTTAAAATGTGTCATCTATATGATAACTATTGTTATGTTCGGTATTACAACAGTTACCATCGATCAGAGTATTTTTGCCCTTATTTATTTTATCCTTTTCACCACATATTGCATCATTTTTCAAGTAATCTCTTCTTTTTTAATTAATTTAAAATAATTTATCATAGTTTATTTTTTTTCGCTTCTTTATTAATCATAATTATCATCGAGAATTTTTGCATAAAATGAAATATCGCATGTAACTTTTGTTTTGTTTAAATTTAATTGTTGGAAGCTATTTTATTTAATGTTAATTATTACTGAATGCTATCTCCACTTAATGACAGATAATTGCAAAGATTCTATTAATATTATTGAATCGAAATATCTAAATTTTCACAATATTTAAAAGCAGGAAGATAGTTAGATTGGACTAAGAACATATTTCAAAGAATTGTCCGAGAAGATAGAGAGAGAGAGAGAGAGAGAGAGAGAGAGAGAGAGAGAGAGAGAGAGAAATTCATGATCTTTTTTTATTATTTCATTAGTCCGCTAACATTAATGTTATTCAAAATTTTTAGACATCGATGATTTTTTTCTTACATCGTAGTACTTTTTTTTGGTATATATTGATCACATTAACATTAACTCATTTAATTCTGCTAATTGATCGATATATTGCAAAATATGAAGTTAATTGTAGCGATATCCTACTTACTCCACTAACTGCAGAATATCGAGGTAGTATTTTTTTAAAATTATTAAATATCAAAAATTGTAGACATTATTTAAAGTTTGTATTACAATGTAATTAAATAAGTAGCAAAGAAAACTCCCAATAAAATCTTAATATTGTGATAGAAAAAGTTGAATAATAATGGTCAATGTATAAAATATTTTATTATTGTAACGCGGGTTTCGATCACGGATAAAAGCAATTGAAAAATCATTTCTATCCTTTTAAAAGAACTGATTCATTGCTTAACTATTTGTAATTATTCGTAGTAAATGTTTCATTTTAAAACTAAAATTTTGCAGCCCTATTTACTTATCAATGAAAATTCAAAAATGCTTTTGTGTTACTTTTTTTCTTTTCTCTTTAGTGTTACCAAATATTGCATGGCACTATATGACAGTATTCATGTTATTTATGCTAATCACTCTGTGCGCTTTTATAGATCTCATTTCGTTGAACTACAAAAGTATTCTTCCTATCGAAATTTATCCAACGTTTTATCGTCATACGTTAATTGTTTTGAATTATCTATTTAATTGTGCAAAATTTAAATTGTAAACTTCGCGTCTTTTTTTCTAGTAAATTTAACACCATTTTGTACTACATTGATGCAAGATTTTGGACGAGTATTACTAATTACTTGTATAAGATTGAGTGATATTTCATGCGCACTCTCGCTTGCATTTTGCGCCATTCACAGAGTAAGTTTTGCTAACGATGTTGAAAAATTACATTACATTAATATGAAATTTTTATACGACAAAATAATTCCATTTCAGGCTTACTTTTTCTTTCTCTCCTGGATTGATTTATTTTTATCTTAAAATGACACATTCATTCCAGACATAACATCCTTATATATCACATCACTTCACTTTTATTGTTTCATTTATTTATAGAATGATTTATAGAATAATTCCTTTCAAGTGATAAACAATGTGATACATTCTAATTTAAAATTGATTTTCATTGAAGAGTGGAAATTTGATTATAGGTATCACCCATCGCCTTACCTATGCTTCTCGTTGCAGTACTATTATTTATTCCATTGCAAACAACAATTAAAAGAATTACCTGTATTCTAATCACCTATTATGTATCAGCTATTACTATCTTCAAGCTAATATTTGATGCATATAAAGGATTCATTGATTATCCGAATTTCTGCAACACTCCTCATTTCATAAAATGGTTATATTGGGTCGGATTGATTTCGGATGATACCAGTCCGGCTTTGGTTTGCCTTTTCAAATATTATTTCAATTTCTGTTCATAATCTTATCATAAATTACCAATTTTATTACAGTTATTTGTGCATCATTTTATGTTCATTTGAAATTCTCATTTCGATAATTGACCTTTTTCAATCATTACTTTCAGTAATATTTTCAGTGGTGAATTCAATAATGTTTAAATGAAACCTGTACAAAATTATCATTTAATTCAAGAACTATTTTTATTATTCGTAAAGAAAACAGTCTTTTTTTTCAGGCTCCGATAGTTTGTATATGCACTCTTACTGTGCGGTCTTCTCTTCAACATATCAAAAAAATGTATGCGATACGCTACAAGCATTCACTACCAATTTTACCATTTCCGGACATAGACTTCACTAATGCTGACAATGGAATTATTTATTTCATCAAATTTTATACAAATTTTATCCTGTACAAATTTGGTTATGAGGTAAATAATATTTGTAAGTAATTAAGAAAAACAACGATTGCTTGTTTTTCTTAATTACTTCCAAATATTTTTTATTCATCTTCGCTATACCATCTCTTTCTCTGCGTGGCGAATATTTAGGCAAGAAAGAATTCCGAGAATCTCTTAACTCTCCTCAACAGTACAGAATATTTGAACTTTGAAATTACCTTAACTACGAAATTACTTAACATAGAAATTATGATAAATACCTAGATTGGCTTAAGTACCAAAGTTAATTATTATATCTATTCAACACATTTTCTGTAGAATAGAACTGAGATTGAAAGAATAGTAGCTAAGTAGGAGTTCACGTTAAATATTTCCTGGCTAATAGTGACATAATCTCAATACACTAATAAAAGTGAAAGTTCGTTACAGAATTAATGAAATAATTCTATAAATAAACTGATTAGTTTATATGTTGTTTCAAATTTCACTTCCGGAATATTGAAATTTCAGCTGTATATGACTTTCGTCCTTATCTCAGCAGTAGTGGCTTCAAATATTATCTCGTTATCATCAGTAACTGGCTTAGTGATTTGCTTGCTAATAGACCGATGGCGCGTTCGACGTATATTCTTAATTTTTGTCTGCTATCATTTAATTGTTCTTGTCTACTCACTGCTTGCATATATCGGTCCTATACCTGGTAAATGTTATTATGGTAAGGATTGATGAACTTATTTTGTAAACTTTTTGTATTTTGTAACGTAACAAGGTCATTTTTCATTGTGGAATAATTTTCGTCAGGCCATTTTTCCTTTCTATATATGTAAATGTTCCCTGATAGTGAGCAGACTGAAATTCGGCAGATAAAAAGAAAAATTACCAATTAATTCATTAGTTTAAGATTCATTTTAAAAATTTTAGATTAAGATTGGCTTTAAGTCAAAAAGCTATCGAAGGATTATAAGTTGAGAATTGTAAGTTTTGTTACTTACTTTTCTATATAAGTATACACTTTTGAACTAATTTTTAGGAATACCTATACATCCGGATTACGCTCCATATTTTGCTTTCATTAATAATGGACAATATACAGCCAGTTCGCAGCGCAAATCATCATATGCTATTTATTGTTATTTCCTCAATCTTAGTATCTCCATCATACAGTATCATAATTTCAAAATTGAGGTATTCCTGTAATTTAAATGAGTCTAACATTAATCATAATGAGTTGCACATATTTATACTGTTTTTCATTGTAAATTTATACCGTAAAATTTTAATTTTGCAGATGGAAAGAACTTGAACTATTCTTCAGGAAAAGAATTAAATTTATGAAAAGTCTCTGAATAGAATTTTAATCAAATATGCTTTTTCTCATAGAATTGGCTGTAACTTTCTAATAACACAACAGCAAACACAGAGAGATGGTACTAGAGATATTTTTCATAAAACCTTAATAAGTATGAGCTTAATTGGAGCTTAATTTGCGTTGTATTTAATATTTCAATTTTACACTGTTAATGTTTGAACTTTTGAATAATTCAAGCGTTTGGAAAGAGACAGTGCTAGTGGTGGATCAAATGATGGCATTCTGTTAGCGCTTTATCGAAATGAATCTCTCGAATGTAATCCTGCGCCTCATTTCTTCTCTACTCATCTGAAGTGAGCAATATTGCATTATATTCGCAATTTCACAGGACTTCTCATTATCTCGATATAAGCAATTGCAATACATCTTTATAGGGTATTGGATGAATTGAAGCGATGTATATGTTCCTACTATCATTGGATTGTATTATTGCTTGTGTTATCAGATGGAATACGTCTCTCATCACCACTCTTTTTATCAGCGGTTCTTATTATCCTTGCATTTCTTAATCTTTGGCGTGGTGCTGATCTTTATCTTTCGCATCCAGCTATTTTTATCCGAAAATGGCGTCTAATAACACTTTATCTTCTTATTGCGGTTTTCCTACGCATTGCAGCATTGGTATGATTGTTTCTTTAACTGCATTAAATCCAAACTATCGTTCTTTGAAAAAAAGCTATTCCTTATCTTTACATTAAACGTTGATAATTATTTTATCACAGGTACTTTATGTTACTGAATCAATATTAACTATCACTGATTATATTCTATAAAAAGCACTTTTGGATACTTTCTGATTGCAGACTTATCAACCGATTGCCTCTTTCTGTGAAATAATTTTAGTGACATTAATGTATGGTAGCAAATAGTTTTTGAGCGAAGAGCAAAGTATATGCTATCAAATTATTCCACTTTGAAGATATTCTGCAAAAATTAGAAGCAATCTTTTGACAAACTATGAAAAATATAACACGTTTACATAGTAAAGAATACGATCTTTAGGTTCTGATTAATCAAATTTGTTTTGAACGTAATCTATCATCCGGTGATATTGATACAACTTAGGAATTAAATATGTTGTTAACGATTTTTCGATTTTAATCAGTACAAAGCATTGTGTAGAAATGTTTTCAGATTGCTGATGGCTTAATTGGATATCTTTTAATATATGACAAAACGGAATATTCAATCAGTCGTTTAACGTCATTTCACGTGATGTTGTCTTATTTTTCAAATTCTTCCGAGGATAACGCTAGTATATCTTTTCATTTCTATATTATCTGAAAGAGCTGATAAAGTGGTAATTTTGTAGACAAAAGAATGACAAAAATAGGTTTATATGGAAACCAGATAATAAATTAGCTTAGAGGACGTTGTCCGAAGTTAATACCCAATAAGGATTAATCATTAGTAATTATGTCAATTTTTAAGTATAACTTATTATTCATTTTATCAAAAAGAAATTCCTTTACTCTTTTTCGTAGTAACTTCGTTGCAACTTTTTAAGTTCAAAGTATTTTTATAGAAAATTTATTCGTTTTTTAAGCACCGTATGGGGAATTAAGTGCAGACAGCTTTCTCTTCGACGTGTTGACCTTCGCAGCTCTTCTGCTTCAACTTCGTTTGATCAGCAGTTGGTATATAACACAACAATTCATTTATTTCTGTGAAAATGACAAATTACTTCCCTATTTTTCAAATTTTTTTACCATTGAATGTCCCAGTTTTACTGCTTAAAGTAAATAGAATTTAATGATTTTAGGCATTTCCAACGCAGTGTCATTGATATACGAGCTGATCGAATTGTATGTTACAGGCAAGTTTTTTTTAGAACTTACATTTCTCGTATTGCATTTTTGGTATTTTTGAATCCTTAATAAGGTTTCTATTACGTTGAAGCTTCTTTGGTCATTCTGAAAAAAATCACTAGAGGGGAAAAGCCTTTAAACCTTTGTAAAATGAAAAGTTTTGAAGCAACACACTTAAGATTGTTGAGGTATCGAATTTCAGCTAATTCTTGTCGTTCACTTATAGAAGCATTTCAGAGGTGTAGTGCTTCAAACTCAATTAATTTACAAAGCAATGACCTATCATCAACGACAAGATCATCGTCGCTTGACCAAAATAAAACGTAGCATCGGAGCGATGGAGAAGCTCAATCTTCCCTTTGGAGAATGGTTTGTTGAATGTTAGTTTTACCGTAAAGGTTACTTAGCTATTTCGAATGATCACATATTTATATTGGCGGAAAAATATTTGTTATTCAGCGCTGCAGAAATGTTCATTAAAAACTTCTCGTTTCGAATTTTTCTGTTTAGAGCTAACTGGAAATAATATCAAATCTCTTCATTTTCTTAACCCAAAGTAACTTTTAGAAATATTATCAGATTTTTCAAACCATTATATTTTTGTTTGCAATCAACTGATAAAATGCCTAATTAAAATATCCAAATTTTTCCATATTAAAATGATTGAGAGGCAAATTCGGACATAAGAGGTTTGAGAGGTAGTTTTGGATCCGATGACTTAGAAAAAAGTTCAAACTATTTTCGAATATTTCAGCAATACGTGGGTGGAACGAGAATTTATTGCGTATGGTAGACTCGGCAACAGAAAATGTGGAAGAAACAACTTTTAGCAGTCATTCGTAATGCTTATTTTTATTCTTAAACTTTTTTTTCTCTTTCTCTCCCCCTATACCAGTAATTAGTTCATTGTTTTAATTTTAGGTCTGTGTCAGAAACAAAAAATGGCCGAGATGATTGGACGAAAGAGAATAAGAAAACACAGGTCAATACTTTTGCTAAAAATTTAGACTTTTCAACTTGAAAAATTTACTGTTTAAATTAAACCAAATTGACTATACTTTCACAATAACAACAATGTGATAATATATTTTAGCTTTTTATTATTTCTTATTTTTTAGACTTCATATATTACAATTTCTGCTTTACTCTCTACCTGTGCCCTTTGGTTGGCTCGTAAAACACTTAGCTATCGTTACATTCGCTTTGTTATTAATGAAGAAAAGAGACTGCTGCTAGAGAAACTCCCAAAGGTATCTTTAATTTATATATCAGAAGACATTTGATGTAACATTCCATTCCACTTCATTCAGATATTATTTATTATAAGTGAGAAACAATGACTGATAGCAAAGTGAATTTCTGAGAGAAAGTTATTTTTTACTCATTCAGCTTTGAAATTAGTCTTGAAAGTTTATGCGAGATTTTTATTTTATCATTTCAGGAGTTAAGTTTAACTTCACAAAATTCGTTAGCTAAGCTTGAAAAATGCAATCTTGGAAATGAGATTTGTTTGGTTACCAATTCCAGAGATATTGTCAAGTAATCATTTTTTTTTAACCATCATCATCATCATCATCATGTCGATATTGTGGGAAGTGATATAGTTTAAGCTAATTGTATTTTTTTACATTCCAATATGCTATAGTTTGAGATAAATTAATACATAGAATATGGGAAATAATCGGAACTGTTGGTTCTAATTAGCAAATAATACGGTAGCTAATTCATGTTGACAGTGAGTTACTGCTACCGTAGCATAGAATACATATCAGTTTATTTACATTTAAATTTCACTTCATTTTTTATGTCAGTATTTAAATTAATGAAAATTTGCTTGCAGATACATGAATGAAGTACATAATCGTTGGTTAAGGTTACCGTTATTTTGGCGTTTAATGAATGCATTTGGGGCATTTTTGATTTGTAATACGGCCGTGTTGTGCTATCTGGTAATAATTGTTGCGCATGGTCAAGCTGCCTGTTTACTTACATTTCCACTTACAATATTAGTCTTCTTTTGGGGAGCTATCACTGAACAGAGGCGTCGTTTGCTTTGGACTATTGCTATTTTTTATGTAGAGGTGATGATGATTGGATTTTGTCATTTTTTTTTTTTTAATTTAATAAGACATTTCTTCATGCTGATAAGAATTATCCCTAAAATGAATTAAAATGAAGATTTCATTTGAATTCTGAATGGAAAATGATAGTGATAATTGCAGACAATGATAATAGTATCAGTTTGCTTTAAATATACCTCTTTACCGTGGTTATGCAAAGAATGGATGAAATGTGGTAAATGGAGTATGGCAATGATTGGACGATTTATTGGTATCGCTGGTGAACCAATATCGGTTGTCATATTTTGTCTTCTCGTTCTCGTTCTCTTCACCCACCGTCATAATATGAGAGTAAGCTAATTTCCTATTCTTTGTATATTAATTTTCAGATTACTCTCCTAACAATGCTTATTACTGGCAAATATAAACTTTTATAATATGAAGTAAAAAAAAAATAAGAGAATATTTAAATTCTTTCTTGTTCAGTAATAATTATAATGACATTTTTGTCCACCTATTTTACCTTTCTTTTCTAACGAATTTCGCTAAAATCATTATCTATACTTTAGCGAAATGGTTTTTGGTATGCTTCGAGTACAGAATTGCTACAGAATGAAGGTTTTATTTCGTTTTACTTCCTGATAAGTGAAAGATTGAAAAATAAATCGATTTATTTAAAGTGCTGAAATGTTATCTTAGTTTACCACAATAATTCTTTTCATTTACTTCAGCTACAAAAATTTTGTGAAAAAATTTTGATGGATATAACGAAAAAATTGCTAAAATAACCGTCACATACACTTTTTATTTGTTTTATAAAATTTAAAAAATGTTTTATAAAATATATTTAAATACTTAGCGTTACTTATTCACTGAAGCAGTAGATGGTTAACAAATAGCAGAAATGCTTTATTATCCAGAAACTTACCCTAAGTAAATATTTCAGTGCCAATCAGTAAATAAGCAAAAGGACTTCGATGTTTAATATTTTGATGTATTAAACATTATTTATTTGATATGTTCATTAAAAAAAATGCGAAATGTATTTTTGTCGTGATAGGTGCAAATTCAGATCATAAGAAATGTTGCTTGTGGTCAGTATTATTGGATATCTTAAGATTACGACAACGTGCTCCTTCCAACTACTATCCGTGGATGATTTTGTCTGATTTACTTGCTCTTATCACAATGATTATTAATTTTTCCGATTTTGATTTGGCACGACGGGATGCGTTCACATTATTGGAGAGTAAAAGTAGCTTGTTGCCAGATACATTTGTTTACTACTTTATGATAAGTCTTGGCATGGTAAGTTCAAGTTTTTCTGCCAATAATTTTGGTTATTAAATTTTGTATAATAATATGCTTCATATCCACTAACTGTATAATGATTCGTGTAATAGCGGCCTTTTTTTGATCTGTTCCTTAGGATAAATTTAGACTTGAAATATTTTCCTAGCGCTTGGTTTTAAACAGTTTGCCAAAAATTTAATAACTGATCGTACTTTTCATCAAATTAAAATGAATTTTATGATGATTAAAATTTTGTGGTTGCATAGGTTTCATAGTATTGCACAAGTTACTGTGATCGAGCAGAGGTCATACACTTTTGATTCCATTTATAAAGGAGAAAATCAAAATAAAATATAAATTAATTATATTTATATTTTAAATACTTCAGTGAAGTTCCAGTGAGTTACATATATTCTGATTTCTTATTACTTTGTAAGAATGAAAACTTTTTCAATACCTGAAATATACATCACGAAGTATAAAATTATAGAATGGAATGTATCACTGATATTATTATTATCATTATTCATTGAAACTGTAATAATTATTGTTGAATAATGTATCGAGCATTAATCTTTTAGAGTTTTTTTTTGATTTTATAGATTATATTGGATCGAATAATTTACCTCAAAAGAGCAATACGAGTGAAATTTGTATATTTGGTGGTTGAAGTTATTGGAATTCATGTTTACATCGTCACAATATTATTAATTTCACCAGAAATGTGAATTTTTTCAATTTATTAATGAAGTTCTATGTTTTGCGTGAATGATTTCACAAAGTTTAAAAGTTTGGTTTTAAATTTTATGAGTCTTACTCTATATTTGTAAGGTATTTTGGGTATTGCATGTTTACTGATCATTACGTATTGTTCATTATTCCTTTATTTTTTTTTGTCTACCACAATTTGCCATATTCCTGATCTCAACGAATTCAGCGTATTTACCATTTCACGTACGTTACTCACTCTGTCAGTGCAATTACAGCGATGAGAATCGTCAAATGGCGGTCGGCCTATTTATTTGGTACCTAGCTCGTGGTATACACATGCTGTCAAGTGCATTTCAAGTACGAGACGGCTATCCAAAATTCATCGTTGGTGATGTGATGATGAAATCTAATCCAATAAGTTGGGCTTTATATGTCGGGTTTGTTGTACTGACAATCATTAGATGCCAAAGCAATTATCAGTGATTAATTAGTGAAATTATTTCGTGTTTCATTGTTATGCACGCAATTAACATGAGGAATCTGTCATCTTTCAAGATATTTTCCCTTCCTTCCGTTTTATTTGCTTTTTCTGGTTCAGACTGTTAATAAAATAATTTTTCTGGATCGTTTGTCTTTATATCTTAAAGCGCTTTATTACTGACCAGATATTACTCTCCTGCATTTCGTCATATATGCGTAGATAATATTATCCGGGAGGAGAATTTTTATGATATTTTTGAAATGTACTAAATGATTATTGCAATGAAGAATATTGTGAGAAAGAATAGTTCTCATTACAATCTCATTACTTTTGAAGATATTAAGCTAATATATAGATTGTATCAATGAGAAATTTTGCACCACTTCTTTTTCAGATATTTTTACACCGTTCCAGTGTTTGAAATAGCAACAATTCTTGATTGGACATTTACATCAACAACTTTAACTCTATTAGATTTTTATATTTTGAAGACAATTAATTATTACTTATACTTTATCAAAGGCATGCGAAAACTGGAAGCGGTCTGTTCATCTTTCTTTTCCTCATTATGTTGCTATTTTTGATTTTGTTAGATTTCTTAATTCATTATATTTTCTGTACTAATTCATATTAAATTCGGTATTACTTTACTTATTGCTAACTAAATCACGTATTTTTATTACCATTTCACAAGTCAACTTTACTTGAAATAATTTCTTCCCATACGTAGTAATGCTAAATTCATCAGGAAATTCCAGTTAATCCACTACGTTCCTACCAGAACTGTAATCCGGAAATTGACTTATCGAAAAACTCTTTAGTGCTATCAGTAAATTTCTTCATCTAGTGCGTTGGCTGAATAAACAATCCTTTGTCTGAATTCCTCATCTTCCCGCAGCATTTGACATAAAATTCCAAGATGTACTCATTGTCCAATTATAGCATTGTCCCCCTACCTTTAGATCGCATTGCGTGATATACTAGTGCTAGTCAGAGACAGAGTAATTTGAACAGTAATCTTCAAAACATTTCGCTATAATTATTTTCAGTTCTACCCAAGAAAGCGTGCGGAACTGACTTCAATTCCAGTCAAGATATTTTTGGGCGGAGGAATACTCATTGCAATATTTGTCATTCTCGTTATGTTAATTCTATTCATATCTGAAAATGTGAGTGTTTTCCTTATGCAATAACAATAATATATTTACTTATTTGGTTGAAAAATGAAGCAACCATAAATTGTAGACGATGAAATGAACAATCAGTTAAACGTTTTTTAATCATTTCATTGTGTGATCTAAGTGATACAGTTGTTATAAACATCTTAGCTATTTAACACGTCTAATTTCAAAGATAGGAATGATATCATCAGAAGTTTCACTCATCGATTTCAACTTTTAAAAAAAATTAAAAACTATTAAAAATTTAAAAATTATTAAAAATTAAAAATTAAAAATTATGTTAATTTTGGTTGAATTGATTATTTATTACTTTTGTTACCATCCTTAATTCGTTTTTGTATTCATTATGTTCCTACTAATAAGAAGGAATAAAAAAATTCTAAAGAAAAGAAATCTATCCGCAGCTTTATTTTTAGATGTTTGTTGGGATTTTCCTTCCAATCCAAATGGTATTCACATTGAGAATTAGTCAACAACCGGTTAGATCATAATTTCAATTTTTCAAAAATTTATTATTTCTTAATTTATACAACATTCCTGTAAAATTTTATGACAGCATCTTGTAAACACTCTAATTCTTCATACTTATCAACCTCAATATCATATGCAACCTGTTAATTAAATAATTTTTTTGACGAATATTTGTTATATCCGTTTACTGCTTATATATTAGCCATGTTAAGTTAAGCAACAGATGTAAAAGTCAGGAAGATTTAATTTGGGTTTTACTTGTTTTAATATTTTATTTTTTACATACGCAAAAAACTTTTCAATACTACGAATATCATCACAAGATATAATAGTGTTCATAATGAAAAATAATCCAAGGTATCGTATGAAATAATTGAAAGGATTAAAATATAACGGTCAGCACTTTGATTTAGAGCTTTTAACAAGTACTTGCATTTGACCTTGAAATATGCAAGGAATTTGCTTTTTCATATTTTAAGTTTTTTTAGAGCAACGTACTTCAAGCTAATTTTATTATCAAATAGTGTTTTGTTATAGATATTATATGAGTGTCATTTGGAAGATTTACCTTTGATCAGCGATCAAGAGTACAATCATTTAATCAAATACTTTGCCTTTGATATATATGCGCAAAATTTTATAAAATCACTCGGTGCGGAAACTATTGTTAAGGTGCTTCCTTTGTTCTTCCCGTAGATTTTAATTTTCGTTTACAGTTTTCTTGGAATTTTTTGGCAACGATTCGTTGGATAAGAGATAGAGTTCTATAGTTTCACTTTTTGCTTCATTTCAATTTGCGAAACAGCAGTTAAATGTTGCTTACAATTGTTAAGAAGTAAATTTTGGCAGTAATCGTTTTAAACGGGCTAATGATCTATAAAAGATGTAGAAAATGTTTTTAGAAAGAGAAAGAAAATTCAGAAAGCGGACAGAAATAGTATTTCTAGGCTACATTACCCTTTCGAAGTATGGTTCATTATGTTCATCCAGGATGGAAATTGCAATTGATACAACTAGCAAACAGGTCCATCGATGGGCTAAAACTGAAATCACGAATTTATCTGAGAAGAATGCGTGTCAAGGAACAGACAGGTAATTTCATGAACTAATAACATCTTCATTTCAACCATTCTGGATTCTATCGATATTACTTTCGGATATTTAATCTTTCAGTTCTTAATGACCGCATCTTTTTGAATCTCTTATGATATAATTGTTGTTTGTTATTGCTCTAAGATAGCTAAGATAGCGGTTTATATCTCTTCCATTGATTATCAATCATCATTCACTTGCAACTTCTCTAAAGGCATTGCAACATTTATCTTTAAAACTTAAGGATTGCCAATCTAAATGAAATGAGAAAAAATGGTTTATTTTTATTTAAGAAGCAAATAAAAAATAATTTTCATGAATTCTAGATAATTTACTGAAAAAAACGGATACAACACCGTTGGAAACTGCTCGTGAATGGGAAATGGAAATAGAACAACATGAGTTGCAACAAGTTATCGATGTTAGCATCATTGAATACAGTCTAGAATGTCATTTTCTTGTTCATTTTTTAACTCCTATTCACCCTATTTTCAAATCCGGTATTTCCATTTTCATGAAGACATTAATGAAGTCATTAACACTACTATCCGATTCTAACTTCAAAAAAGTTAATATATGTTCTATTAAAATATATGAGATGTTCGTTCTTATTTAGGTACTTAAATCAACAAACTGCTCAGATATCTTCGAAATGGACATATCGGAAATAATTCGTCCGCTGATTACGGTACCCAATGGTGATTTAATGTATGAAAATCCAACCATTGGTGAAGAACAATTCAGCCACCGTTTCGCTTATTTCAATTATTCATTCAAATACATGACAAAGTTAGTGTTTTCTTTTCTTCGCATAATATTATTGCTAGTAATAAACGTGGAATAGACGTACGTTATCGTTATTTCCGGTTGAAGGATTTACTAACTGGGCATATACATGCTTCATATTTACCCGTGAATAATCTTTAGTGCTTTGTACATTGAAGAAAACAATCGAGAAATATTTATAGATGTTTTTTTAGTATGTCAATAGCTGAAGATATTTGACATTACTGATAGCATTCCGGATTACATTAAGAGTAAAATGTAAGAATAAATAAGTATATGTCAATCTACTTCAATAAATTATCTAAAAGCTTTGATTTAATTTAGATTGTTGTTTAAACCAGATTGTACAACTGAGGAAGGAGTTTCGATACCGGATATTGTTACGTTGGAACAGTATGGTATTAGCCATGACGGATCGATAATTGGGAAAGCAGAAGCACCAAAATTTTTATTTTTTGTTTCGAAAGTATCTTCCAGCTATCTACGACTTTTGAATATTTCTACTCCGTATGTTATATCTTCTCACTGTAAACAATTTCATGATTATTTAATTTTGTTTATTCTAGACCAAACAGGATCATCAATAAATTATTTCGTGCAAAGAAGTTTTGCAACTTCAGTTGTTAAATCTTTTATTCCAATTCGTTCCGATTTATTAATTACCAAGTTCTTGTATAATTTAATATTGCATGGTTGTGATTATTTCGATTCATAATTTTTATGAAGCGATACTTAAAATATTCTAACTGTTTTAACGATAGCGAATTTTTTTTTCTTAATTATTGTAAAATCAATAAGTTATCTTTCTCAAAAAAGTAAAAACAAGGGATGTTTTAATTTTTGTTAAACGATTTTAATCGATCTGCTTTAATTTTGGTATTTACTTAGATGTACGATGTTTTAATTTTGGATGTGAAATCCAGTAAGATTTGTTTATTCACACATGCTAGCAATATGAATTCATTTATTAAAATAACACTCGAAATTTTTACATTTCTGCACTTAATTAATAGTTACAGGTCATTAATAATGACATTTGCAATGGTATATTTACTTAGCTTTAAGTTACGCGACATATTGATGACAAAGCCATTCGAATTAACATTCCGTGAATTAGGCGATCCGTGCCGTTTGATACGACTTTGCACCAGTATAAGTATAGGTAAGTTCAATTTTAATGTTTATTGTAAAATTTTGAATGTTTAATTTTAAAAAAATTGAAAAAAATGACAAAAGTTCGTCACATAGGAATTCAAAGTTTGGAAGTTAAATGATACGATCTAAAGAATGTAAAAAAAAAAAGATTTAGAAATTGTTTGTTTTGTAGCTCGTGAAGCAAAATTATATGATTTGGAGCATGATCTATACGGGAAGTTGATTTATATTTTGCGATCTTCGGAAGCATTAATTCGTTATACGCAATATAAAATGAAAAATATTATCTGAATGCTACAAATTTAAAATTTGATTCAATTTTTTAATTATTAAACTTAAGCTAATTTTAAATTGTCCTCAGTCTTTAACTGTTAATTATTGTTAAAATTAAATTTATGGAAAATGTATCAATGGTATCAGGAAGGTTCATATAATGTCCCAGAATAACAAGCCATCTACCAATTGAATTTTTAAAATTGTTGTCCTTTGTTGATCTTCTTCTAGGGTTTTTTGCTCTTGATAAAGTGAAGAAGACACTTTTCAAAGTTTCGACAAAAATTTTAACTCGAAATCAATTTTTTGGTGTGGAATCGATTACTTAAAGCAGTGTAAAAGAAAAGACTGAGAAATTTGCTACCACCATTCCAAAGTTCTTTCTTGCAAGTTCTTTCGTTTTAAACGGTCAGGCATAGAATTGAAACCGGTACCTGAATGTTATTTTTTGTAAATGCTTTCAATCTGTTTCGTTTTGACACTTTTTGGTCCGGTCCATTCAACCGCTATCATTTATCTGTATTGTTAATATGCTGATCTATCACGGTTATATTTTGCTGGAATATTTCATTTAGTAATAGATAAACTTCCTGACAATTAGGTAGATCAGAGTTTCCTCTCATTTACATTTCCATGAGTTCTTATAGATCTGTTGACTATTCTTTAACTACTATGTTTCTAATATTCGCCGTGCAAATTTTGACCACTTTATTATGTCCATTTCTAGAAAGTTTCCCTTATTCTTATTCAGTATCTTTTCTCTGTAGATATACTGTCACGTTTATATCTCCTTTAGGCTGATCATTTATAACTTCGAACAGATTCAAAATGGTGCAGCTAATTTTTAGCGCATTTTATTAAGAGGAGAGATCCTAATCTTATAGTATTTTATAACTTCGAACAGATTCAAAAATGGTTTTCTTTTTATTCTTACTTAATTCTGCTCCATCGGCAGAAATATTTCGAATTGTCATTTCAATTTTTGAAATTCAATTCATTTTTAAATTCGAACTTCCGATGCTCATTTTAATTTCTGCACGTGAAGTTTTGCTGTCGATGAATAATAAATTGACAAAGTGGCGCTGTTGGAATGACGATATCAGTTAAATAAGTTCTAGCTAACTTGGTTTTCGTATTCAGGCAGCGATGGATATCAATACAATATCAATGGATATCATTATCAGTATATATCCATTGCGGATATTAATAGATATCAATCATTAGATTATCAAACCTATGCTTTATATGTTTTTTTCTACTGAGCTAAATGAAAAAAGTCTTCCATTTCAATAATATTTTGCTCCTTTTGCAAAATACATTTTTCATTTTTCAAAAAATAATGTGATGTCCAATGTTATAAAAACAAAAACTATTTATTATTCTTTTTTCCGACCAGCAATATGAATTATTTATTTTATGACTCTTTCTACTTCAGAAAATTTAAAAGTTTTGAAGTTCGAGAGTCTATATCCTTCATAATTCTCATATGTTACATTACACTATACAAAATATTTTTGTCAAGTTAACTCTTTGCAAGACAGTTCCATTCAATTCACGAAAATCTGTTTGAAATATTTGCTAAATTCGATTAATTTCACAGTTTCGTCTGTAAATTGTAGCTGCTTTAATTAATTAAGAATCTTTTAATTTATAAAATTTTTCCAACTATTTGATTGACTTCAAAAACAAGATAGTATTGGAATTGGAGTAATTAGATGAATAACATGTAAAATGTGAATTGAGAATAGAATCTGCTTAATTATCTATCCTAATTAAATTACCAAAATTTCTCTTACAGAAAGAAGAAAGAAGAATCGTAATTTAGTTAAATTTCAAAAGCTTTCTTGCAAAAACCAGAAACTTTTACGTTATTACTGAGTTTGTTTCTTCCCATTAACATTAATTCAATGATTTCAGAACCAATGAAGCACACTTCTCCAGAAGCACCTCCAGGAAATTTTTTTTGTTCCAACTGTCATATTATGCAATTCAAAATCAGAATTCTTAATGCCAAAGTTAGATTTTGATTGTTTCTTATAATGAAAGTTGATGTCCTATTCATTCCTTACTCTTTGCTGTTTCACTGTTTATCTTTCAAGAAATTTTTGCTTTCACTTCACCTAACGGAAATGACAGAAAAAATTCTCGTCAGTGAATATCATATAATTTTTTATATTTGATTTCAAATTAATGCTACATTCATATTTCAGCTCGATGAACTGAAAGCGAAATATGAAGCATCCATTAATAGACATACTTCTAACATTTCTAAAATTGCGGTTTGTGAATATCTTATTTACCATATATCTTTCCTCTTCCATCAATTTCCAAAGAAACTGAATTAGTATACCGTAGATGACCAGTCACTATGCATTTCAAGGTGTAAAGAGAATAGAGAACTGCCTGGTAATTGAACTTTTTTTAAAAAAGAAATTGGTGCTTTCTAGAACGGGAAAAGAGATGGCCAAGCATTAAAGCCAAAGTTATAAACTCTATGTCTTATGATAATTTGAATCTGAACTTTATGGTCTTTGTTGTCAATAATATTAATCTTTAGCAGCACGCTGCAAATTTTTCATTGTTAATTATAAGTTAACATAAATAACTAAAAATTTAAGTTCATTATTTAATAACGTTCACTGAATAAATGGTTTGAAACTAAGTTTTAAAGAATAATTAATGAGCAATTAATTTAGTATCCGTTCTCAACTACTGAACATTATAAAAATTATTTTTCCAAGCATATCGTGATTTTTACTGCTAAATTTTACTCAATGATGGAAATTTCATTGCAGCGCCAAAATGCGAAGATAGATGCCAAAGATGTGATTAATTGGAAGACTCGATGTGTAAGTTATTTGCTAAGATAATCGTTCATAATGCTCCAACGATTTCTTAGTCAAAACATGTCTAGTAGTTATCAAATTTAATTGAGTATTACTTATTGCAACTTTAATCCATCATCGCACTGATTGAGTTTTATCAATGTTCCATGAGATACTTCTTACTTTGTGAGCCATAAAGTATGGTAAAAATTTTCTTTTCCAAAACAATAAATGAGTGGTATACAACATTATAAGAAAGTGTCATTAACAATCAATTATCACTTTCTTGCCAACAGTGTCACATTATTCAATTATGTTTTTCCGGAATTTACCAAAAGAAGCAAAAAGCACTTTAGTGCTATTCTCCTGATTCAATCGCCAAATAATTAAGCGGCAATTTTGAAGAGTGTATTGTTTATTTAAAGAAACATCTCGAAAAAAAAATCAAACAACTCAGAGAAAATGCAATCAATGAGGGGAATGCTTTGCTGTCGGAAATCGAGGAAAAGGAAAATGAGAAAGATGAATTGAAGGAACAAGTAATGTTTGATGTTTTGCATACTTTTGGAATTTAGCACTCAGTGCATTTGCTTTTTTCTCACTTGCAATAATGCAAATGGATAGATAGTCTTATTGATGATACATTGTGTTTTGGACGATTTTTAATTCTCACTAACAAAAAGTATTAACTTAGTTCAAAACTTCAGTTGCACAACGTTGAACACAGAATTGCCGCTCAGAATGCTGCGCTGCTGAAAAATTGTAACGAAGGTATAGAATTAGAGGCCGTAAAGCAGGTGAAATTTTAAAATTACCGACTTTCAAATTATCATATCCGAATATCAAAAAATGTTTTTAGTCCTACAAAAACTCAAAGTTCGATATAGGAATTTCAGATTGACAAAATTGAGATTTAAAAAAACATCGTCACGCTTTTCGAAGGAAAAATTTTTTTTCATTATTTAAATACTGTTATCATTCCATTTTTCACTCTATTGACTATCATTGTTACTCTATTTTGCTCATTCATAGCACTATTTATAAAAGGGTGTGGAGAAAAGATTCAGGGAAAAACTCGAGAAACAAAAGATAGAAGTGGAAAATGCCTTAAGAAAGAAAGTTATGGAGAAAAAGCGACAATCCCAGTTAAATACTTCTGAAATTATTCATTATGAAGCTAGACTCAAAAAATCATATGAAGAAAATACTGAGCTTTGTTATCGTTGGCAAAGAGATACTAAATTACTCGAAGGCATAAAATTTGCTGCAAAGGAACCGAGAAACTTTCAAAGGTGCTTAGAAGAAAAGTTAGATGCGCTTATGAAGAAATTTAGAAATGAGACAAAAAATTCGAAAACAAAAGTAATGACGTACGTGGTGAATAATTTTGAAGCTGCAATGAAAGTTATCCTAAGTGATGAGCCTAATCTTTATTACTTAATTAAATCAAACAAAGATTTGGCTTTTGAAGGGAATCAAGAAATAAATAAATGGGTGAGCAACTTTTGTTATCTTCTCCACTAGAATATGGATTGTTGAAGTATTTCATTGGATTTAAATTGGAATAACTATGATTATAGTGATAATGACCAAGATTACTTTTTTTACTGTTTTTCTAAAGTCTAAAAAAGATAGGCGATTATTATTCGGCTGCAGATTGATTTTTGAATAACTGTTAAAAATGACATTTATCTGTTATTGGCTTATTTTCTCATTTAGCGTTTGGTTCGAATCACTTATTTGCTTCTTGGAAATTTGATTAGATTACAAGCTAAAAGAAGTAGTAAAGTATTATACTATAAAAAATAGCAACTGAAAGCAGCAATAAGAGGAAAAAATCTGTTGAGAAACAAAAGCAGGAAGTGTTGATGGTGAAACTTCTTTGCGTGAAATTTCTTTTATAGGACTATCGACAGTCTGATAATCAATATGATAAGTTAAATGATTTAATTTTAATTAATAATGATAGTTGTCGAAGAAATTCATTCATAAACTATCGATAGTTCTACAAGAGAAATTAAAAAATTTTTTTTGCATTCAATTTATGGATCACATAATCAATTTGTTGTCGTATTTGTCGCTGTTTTCTTAAAACATAACAATAGGATACAAGCTACTGATTAAAATTTCCAAAATGAATCATATCAAATAATGGAATAATTTCAGGATTTTAAGAAATTTATTTCGAAAATTAATTTTCTATTGGAGAAGTTCTATCAAAAGCAAGAAGACGAGCTGGCTAACAACACTTCGCAAATCATTAACCGTGTGGAAAAGATGAAACAGATAATGGTTACGTGAATAAAACCTAATTTCGGCCTTTAAAATAGTATTATCGTACTAATTTTGTATATCTTGTAGCGTTTTGGAAATTTTTAAGATAAATTTTTCATTAATCTCTTTGGTCAGAAATTATATTTTTACGGCAGTAAAATATTTGCAAGACAATCAAAATTGGATAAAAAAATTAATATATTAATCTAGAAATATTTAAATTCTTGAGGATTTGTTTAAAAAGGGTACTTTGTAAAACATTGAAAACGATAATTTGCAGAAACGTGCGAATGACTCAAATAATATTCTTACAATGAATGAGTTTATGTACAGAATTTCCCGAAATATGCTGAAAGAACTGAAAGATATGCATGACAAATTCGAAATACTAAATAAAAGAATCAACGGAATGTGTCAGAAAATCGAATCAAAAAATGATGAGCAAGAGGAATTGAAAAAACTGATTGGAGAAGAAAACAAATTAATAAAGGCTTGTCAAAAGATTGACCACGAACAACAGGTATATTTATAAAAGTCGAAGTTTCAATCGATTTTCAAATATTCTCAGTTTTACATGGTGAATGGTACCACGAAAAACTGATTGATTTGATTTTGTGAAATTGGAACTCGCGAAACTTGGTACTCTTTTAATTTTCAAAGTGAAAAATAAAAAATACTCGTTATAGGAACTTGAATTAAAGCTGAATAGAGCAGAGCTGAAATATGAGCGGTTATGTAGACAGATCTATATCAATTCAAAGAGTGATACAATACTAGAAGGCTCATCTAGGGAAAATATCCCAAACTTGTCGAACGTTGAGGGCTAAACTTATGCTTTTATTATACTAATCATAATTTCAAAATGAATGCAACTGTATTGGATTCAGGTTATGCGCTACCATTTCGCAAATTTCAATCTCTTTTCAAATTTCATCAATAATCTCACAAAATATGTAAGCATAAATTCAGTAGAATCACTCTACCTTTTAAATTTAAATTGCATTTGAAGGCGAAAGGACAGCGACAGACTACACAATAAACTTTGAAAGCAAATCGAATTAAAATGAAACTGGTGTCGCTTTTTTCTTTGTCATTTCTCCGTACATGTTCTGCATTTAATTCTGCTACAAAGTCAGTTTTAATGTTTTCTTTCATGAAATGCTCTTATATAACATTACATTGCATAATTAGCGACCAACTTTCATTACTTTTTGTATTCGATAATTTTTATGTAGAATTGTAGCTTATATTTCAATGATTGTTTTTTTTATTCTACATTTGCTAATACTCCTACATCTTACATCATACTTTATTTTCTATGTTTTGCCCTACTAACTAAACAACGTATTGAGTGATTGTTTGGCGTTGTGTGGATGTTCAAAAAACTTTTAACTGATAGAGATATCGATGCCGAATAGTGTTCGATGAATGATTCAGTTCGGAAGACCATTCTACTGTGCCTGCAACATGAAGCAGCAAAAATTTATCACCCAGTTCAAAGTACCATTTTTCTAGTGGAAGGAAACTCTCTACTTTCCACACTTTAAGCCAATCGTCTTTTTCATTATATACAAATATTCGATAATGAGACCATATTATTTAGAACACAAAACTTTTATGCATATTTCATATTTTCAATCTTTCATATTCATACTTTGCAGATATTTGATCCACTAACATCTTCCTCATTCGTTTTACAGAACCTGTAGATAATATATTCAAACATTCGCTGGGATATTTCATCCTGTAAATGGATGATTACTATTAAATGACTTTTTGATAGTCGTTGGGTATAGCACAATTCATATCATGAACCTTCTTGCAGTCTTTTTCCTGTAGCGTTAATCCATCGATCTCCATCACCCAGCTTATTTAGAAAATGTTCTTATCCAATGAGAACTTTTTTTGTTGTATTAATAAATTTTAGTTGCATTTTGCAAGTTTCAACCTTCCAGGACATCTCTTGTCGTGCCGGAATCGCTATTGCAGTTTTCGTCGAGATTCCTAATCAAACCCTGTAACTTTTCTTCCAGCTTTTCGCGTCTCTCACGTTCTTCGTCAAGCATCCTAACAAAAGGAAAAAAGATTTGAGTTTTAATAGGATTAAAATTAACATCCAACTGAAAATTTCGACTTGTTATTAGAACTGGGACATCAATTTACCTCTCCATAAGTTGCTAGTTGTTAAGAGGGAACAAATTCCTAACAGAAAGTAGCAACTACCTAACTCTCCGCTTAATCATGTGTCCCAGCAATCTTGAATTGCTCAAAATAGGCATACACATCTAATGAAACAGAAGCCAGCTGACAATTGCGTGGTATCTCTAAAATGGTTTAGAACAGATATGTTCTCATATTTAAGGAGCTCGAACTAAAAGATGGAGCACATTTTTGTTCTCAGTAACATGGCGATCATCTTAGATAAGAAATATCTTGGTTAATTTCATTTTTTTGAATTCTGCCACTCCAACACAACATCAATAAAGCACCTAGCAGCTATCGTTCTAACGATTTCCTCATCGCGAAGGGCCCTTCTTTGATCGTCTAGCAATTGCATCAACCGTTCATTTTCACACTCGAGTGCCAATCTCCAGGACAAATTTTTGTCTTGTAGCACACGATACTCCGTGCTACGCGAACACTCTCGGTCATAGTTCTGCAAATCCTCCACCGATCTTTGCTCTCTAGCCAAATTCATTGCTATAATTTTACTGTTGATAAAAACTGATTCGCTAGCGATATTTTACAAAATTTTAATTCAGTTCGAACAACATCATGGTTCCACTTCCGTGCGATAGAATCGGAATACACATGGTATTAAATGAATTACAATAATCATTACCGAGTATCCAGTGCTTCCGTCGCAGTTCATCGAAATGACCAAATTCGTATTTCTGCTTTGATTCTGCGATAAGTAGCCATGTAAATCGTTCCTCATCGAATGTACTTACCTAATGGACATTATTACAAACTAGTAACTTACTAGTAATTAGTACTGCTACTAAGTTACTAATTATAAATATTCAAAGAATTTTAAACGAACTTCTTGCATTATTTGTTAGTTCTAAAACTGCCAATTTCATATTGTCGGCCAAAATGCTAAACAAACCTTAACTCACGATGTGAATGGAATACTTTCCTATCCCATCTTCTAATTAGCTATTAATGATAGTACTGTTTGGTCCCAACGAAGAGAGATCAATGATATCTGAGAATGAAAAAAGTCTTCACAACATCGATCTACAGCATAGCTTATTTTAAGCCTTTCTCTTGTCATATATCTTCTGTCAAATCTGATTTGAACATTTTTTCGTACATGCAATATTTATGTAATGTCAATCATTCCAGAACTATATGATCAGGGAATCTTTAATGGAGAATGAATTGTTCTACTAGAATAAATGATCAAATAAGCAGAATAATTACTGGATAACTTTGCTAGTTCATAAGAAAGGAAAGAGCCAACTTGAACAGATGATGTCTGACCGATAGCGATTGTTCTTCTATTTCTAACAGTTGTCGATTTATGCAACGGCCACAACTGCATCGCACCAGGTGTTATCGTACACCAATAAACTCGCCATTTGGAATTATTGCTTGCTATCAGGCAATGCTTCTTTTTATTCCTTTTGCTGCAGTGCAGTAAAAAGCCCTGGAGTTAAAAATGGAATAGCTACAATTCCCAAAAAGAGAAAACACTTTACTATCTGGTATAACAGGAGATTTTACATTAACCTGAATGAAGTTCCTTTTTCTGAAAAATGATTATCATCTTGTTCAATAAGTTTCCTCGCACATCACCTTAGCTTGAAATTTTAGATTTGCAAAAGGAAAAAAGTAACACCACTATTATGATATCTGACTCATGGAAGACTTGACAGCAAATGCTAATTATTCCTGGATGTTCAAGAATCATACCAATTTTAGCTAGTTTACAGTCATAAACCTAAACTTGCGCTCCATTTAAGTAAAGAACATTCCAGAATCTATGCGTTGTGAACTATGTACGACAGAAACTTTACCAGTTTCATAATAACTTCAAAAAACTCCATAAATGACAGACCTTACAAATAATGTGCTGTACATATCGCTCAAAAACCCGATCTACCAATGGTTCGAACTGTTTTCGATCCGGAAATAGTAAATCACACATCCGTAACAAATCATGGAAGGTTATGGCATCAGACCGTATCAATGTTGATAAACCGTTCTGTATCTGCTCAGTCCCAAGATTTAACCTGGAATGGTTATAAATGGGATCGCTCTTCCACTAGCTCCTCGAAAATTAAACAAATGAGATGCAACGTTCTGCTATTTAAGATTTGTCATTCGAAAATTTACCCAGATCCTTTGAGCTTATTTTCAACTTATTTCTTTTACATTTCTTTTGAGTCTTCGGATGATTATTCTAAAAATCGCGCAATCTCACATATGTGGCGGAAAATGATCACCTGAACAACTGCCCAATGATGAAATGAGCTTGATATGAACTTATATGGCGTTGATTATCACTAAATACGGTAAACATTCGATGGAGACGTTGCAGCAATGGATCAGTGAATACATCCAAATTTTTTACTGGTAAAGCTGATGATTCTTCGGCCATTCCAGTTAGCTAAATTTGTGTCATCATAACTTGGCATGGTTTGCAAGCGTGTATGTTGGAGTTAGATGGCTCAAACACTTAAGAGGAATTTTAAAAACTCAACTTTTAGTACGGCCGCAAGGAAAGATTATTATACTATAGCATGAGTGGATCCAATTTAAATAAAATGATTTCAGTAAAGACAAAAGATGTCAATTTTTACGAAAGTTTAAATAAATCAATTCCGGAGATCAAGTAGGAATATGCCCATCGCACAGTATGGGATTATTATCCAGTCCTATTAAAAAAAACGACTAAAATTTCTCTTCTCAAATAAACCTGTCTGAATAAAAAAATATTAATAACTTCAAAAAAACGCTAACAGTGCAGCATTAATTAAACTTGGGAACATGTAACTTATCCCAAAATTAATACCTTAGGAAAGCATCGAAATAATTATTATGAAATATATTCATGATAATATAATTTCCTTACTAGGTCATTGCCCTAATTCAACCATTAGCTTCAATCTAGTGGATGGTAGACTCCATAAATGGATACTGTAAGATGATGATGTGCATGACGGTCGGCTGAGAGTATTTCATTAGTTATAGTTGTTGTCAACCTTATGTCCTCTTTCACCGTAAGATCATAAGACTTATGCAAAATGAATCAATATGAAAATGGACCTAGAAATTGCAAATAATCACAAAATATTCGCAAAATTAAACGTAGATAATAGAATACGAGAAAATATGAGATACAAAACGAAAGCGCAAATGGAAGGCATTGTATAAGGCGAGTTCAAACAATCATATTCATACAGTGGACTGACTGGGTTAATAATGATCACGGATGAAAAATAAAAACTATTTTTCAACAAGACTACACTTTAGGTTCCATGGAAAACATGAATAATTCGCGCGCAATAAAATTTGATAACTGATCATAAACATTGAAAATAAAGAACTTGTTCTTGAAGACTTAATTTATAAATTCCATAAAAATAATAATGGAAATAGTAAATATTGCTACACTCACATCATTTATCATTATTACCATTATGGCTTCTTTCGAAGTTAAATGTACGCATGCTGAATATTACCATAAAGTGAATCTTTGACACTATTAGTTTGGAAATGAAATCAACTGTATTAATCTCTTCTTTCAATTATGACCATTATATTACTGACAATTTTCCCCATAAAACAATAAACCGACAAAATATGTCCCATATCACATAGACAGTAGAACCACCTAGACATACATAGACATATATATCTCCACATGCAAACTAAATAATAAAATCTAAATATCTAGAGAAGAGGATCTTTTTTTTGCAGTCATGTAGGTAAGGGCCGGAGATGAAGCTGAAGGGATATATTATATGGCACTAATCTATTTGTGCATGTGTGGCCGCATGTGTGGGGATATGTGTGGATGTGTCGATATGCAGCGTCTATTGAGAGGCGGGATAAAAAGCGCCGGTCGGATGAGAACAGCTGATCCTCGCCAAGAGAGATGCCATCCGAACGAAGATTTTTTCCTACCAACAACTTCAATATTTCAATCAGTATATATATGATGAGGAGAGAATAAAATAATGACGCATATAACAGTGACTTAGTATTTACTTACCTTGCACGCATGTGCTTCCCTCTACCTATACAATTCATCTAATTTCTGTTTCCTGCATAACCAAGGAGAGCATAGACTAATATGACCTAATTACTATCTTTTTTTTTATTCTATATGAACCTTTCAGTAATAAGAGGAAATTGAAGATATGAAAGCAGCTTCTGAAAAAAAAAGGAAGAAAGTGAAGATTCTGGATTTTTACAAGAGCTAATTTCAAATACTAACTGTTAGTATTCATTCCTGGCTGGCAATCCCCGACAACATCGACTCTCTCTTATAAAAGAAATGGAGAATTTGATAGGCTCAGTTCGACAAGAGAAGTCCTTCACCATCTGGTAACGAAACAGATTATATCATACACTTTAGGTATCTGGAGACAAGATGGAAAAAGTACAGTCATTTCTTCTAAAAGGATCAAGTCAGATGAGTCGACTAGTTAGAAGGGGCAGCCCTCCCAACTTTTCGTACAGCAAGGATTAATATGTTCGATCATGTTTCTATCAAGTTCATGTGAAGATCTTTGAACTCGTAGAAGATGCTGATGAACGATGGGACGAGCGATGTCAGTGGACTGTCTCGTGATTGTCATCATTCTGTTCCTTTTTTCTCTTTGATAAGAATTCGACGAAAGATCAAACATCGTACTGGTTGCTCGTTGATTACCATTACTATGTTTGCTTTTCCGTCGACTTTAGGCCTATGGGAAAATAAAACTGAAACCCATTCATGTCGCACTCCATTTAAATCTATCTCATATTCACAGTGCTTCCATCTTTTCCACCTACTCTTTGATCACTTCAGCATTTGCCACCGATCTATATCATGCCATCAGAAATTCTCTTTTCTCGGATGATTTTTCAAATCCTGGAATGGGATTGATATGATGTTAATCAATCTTACCTATGTCACTTTTATAGTCTTTCGGTTTTTCACTATGTGTTCAATAAAAGCAATAACGCTTCTAAAATAAAAAGTCGTTGAATAAAAAATCGTTATCGTGCCCTGTAGCATTGAATTAATTTTGGACTGCTTATCGTTTATTTTCACATAGCGAATAGTATGGAGAAGATCGTTGGATATTAAATGTATATTTCAGTTATACAAAATGGTTTGTGAATGTGTATTAATGTCACTTGGCTGGATTTTCCTCTTGTACCTGCTCTATCGTATGGCCACAATACTTTATAACATCATTTATCCGTTCTTCATTGCAACTCCTATCAATCTACATAAAGCTGCTGGTGGCAAATGGGCAGGTAACGAATATTTGCTTCCATTGATTTTTTTGATGGCAAAAATTGGAATTTAAATGCCGGCATGAAAAAATAGTAATTTTAACCATGCACAAAAAATTGCTGTAAATTTGAGAGTTTGGGAAAGTAGTTAAAAATTCTAATAGAAGTCCTCATTTTACTGCTTTCAGTTGTTACCGGCAGTACTGATGGGATAGGAAAAGCTTATGCTTTTGAGTTGGCAAGGCGTGGTTTCTCCATTGTTTTGATATCACGTACTCAAAGCAAGCTGGATGCAGTAATGGAAGAACTCAAAAAAGAATGTGAAGTCGAGGTTTTTGTATCTCCTATTTCTTCTTAACTTGTTTGTATTGTTTGTTGATTCTTTTCTCTTGGTTCCGTTAGCGTTAGCGAAAACTCGACCATGAAAAATGACCCTAACTAAAGTTATCAAGAAGACATTGCAGGCTAGTTAATAGCTGTTGCTTTAATTACTGCTCCGTTATAGGAGAATGGTTTACTAATTTTTCTGAACATTGAATTTCTGTTTCGTTTGTAAACAGTGTAATGTAATTTAATCATAATTTTTTTTGTGATTTCTTTAAAACCTGTTCAAAATTCAACAAGAAATAGAAAAAATCGGAAATCGCATTATTGCTTCTGGCCAAACAAATCAAAAAGAAATGAACATTGGTTAAATATTGGTCCGAAATACTTAATGTTTGAACAAAACAAAGTATTGCGTTCATAGGAAAATGAAACTTAGAATTTCAGTTTTTATATTTTACTACAAAACCAGTATTTGAGTCAATACATTTACAGGTCAGAACTATTGCGTTTGATTTCACCAGTGGAAGTGTCAGTGAATATGAAAATAAAGTATTGTTGCTGCTGAAAAAGCTGGATATCGGCGTATTGGGTGAGATAGTTATATAATATATTTATATTACTATAATGTATTTATTGTTTTGGTAAACAGTGACATAATTATATAGTTCTAAATCTGATTTCATATATTGTTTTTCTAAAACTCAAGTTCGAAGCAGTTCTCTTTAGTGGGGCATCTGGCAGAGGAGCCACATCTAAAAATGTGAAGCCCGTACAAGTGAAAAAAGTTAGTGTATTATGACTAGTCAAAGATCTTTTAGAAGTGCATTCCCGAAACGCAATAATAAGAAATGACAAGTCAGAATTATAATTACAGATTACAGATTTAGTTATTTTCATGTTGTTAAGTCTTTTGCATATGAATGTTGTAACATCTTTCAAAATTGTATTCGTTTCACACGGTAAATTATTTGCAGTTAACAACGTTGGTGTCAGCTTTAGTTATCCGGAAGTTATCTATAAGGCGGAAGGTGGCCTTCAAAGACTTGCAGATGTCAATGTTGTTAATACTCTTCCTGTAACTTTGGTAAATTTGGACAAATTTGTTAATTATCAATTGAATGTTCACATACTATTTTTGAGAATTCATCACAATATCATAATATCTACTTGTATGAAAACATTTCTTCAGAGCTTCTTTCATTTCTTCTAGATGATCTTTTGGACTTTTTCACTTGAAGCACCGAACTTCAATCGAAAAAATTTGAAACAAATGTTATTATATTTCATAGTGTTTTATATCATTGTTGAGATTGAAGTTCGAAGTTCTAAGGATTTATTTTCCGCATAGTACAATGAAATTTGCCAACTAATTTTCTTAGAATTGTTTTACTAAAAATCTCAAATTTAGTTGTCTGCTGCAGTATTGCCTCAAATGGTTGAGCGTAATAATGGTATAATTGTGAACATATCTTCTGCTACCGCATATAGTCCACTCAGTTTGCTCAGTGTATATTCAGCATCGAAGGTAATTTTATGAAAATATTAGTTATTCATTTCAGTTCAATTTCATCGTTTGCTGAATGTGAGTGAATCATCATGTGAAGTCAGGTTATTTTTTATCTTACAAAATAGGTCTGCTGTATTCCAGAAATATGTCACTTGGTTTTCAAATATTTTACAAAGGGAATACGCACAAACGAATATAATCATCCAGACCGTGTGCCCTATGTTCGTTACTACCAAAATGTCCAAGGTTATATTTCTGAGTGTTACTTTCAAGATATCTTGCAAGCTGTGCCTCACACAATTTTATTGGACTTTTTGTCTTATTTTTTGTCTTACTTTTTGTCTTAATAGTTTATTGGACTTTTTGTCTTATTCAAAATATTTTGCAAGTGCAGTGCTTTTAATAAGCAGCACAAACCTGTTAGTACCGTTCGATTTGAAAGAGAGTATTTGCAGATTTCGCGTGCATCATTTTTTTTTGTGACAGCTGAAGATTTCGTCAAAAGTGCAATTCAAACGATTGGAATCATGGGTGAAACAACCGGTTGTTTTTCCCATCAGTTGCAAGTCTGTTTTTTACCGTTCTAAATTACAGCTTCTGTTTAATAAGCTTTTGTATTTCTGCAGAGTGTCAGTTCCCATCCTTTAACAATACGGAATCTTCAACTTGTTATACAATTTCGATTTTTGTGATATGGTAACTGAATTTTATCTAATGCCTGACTAGAAATCATGTGGTTTTTTAAAATTTCATTTAGGTCACTTTTCATGTGTCTTCAGCTTATTGAAAGCACTTTGTCCAGTTTGAAACTATGAAGAGTTTCAGGTTGAAATTATAAGGAACTTGCCGGAATGGATCGTTGTACCATACTTAAGCGGGCAAACTAAACTTGTTCGCAAGAAAGCACTTGCAAAAAAGGCACGCGAGATAAAGGCTACATCATGAAGGCTGCTTCACGACTCACTTTGTTTTGACAGCATTTTCTTTTTTACAGGATTATTTTCATTCACAGACTTTCCTTCTGTTGAGCACAGCTTTTTTTACAGGTTTCGTTCATACTACGAGAGTCTATGTCCCAGGTTATCTATATTTACATAATTTTACATATCCTTTCAATTACTCCCAAAATATCTTGAGAAAGAATATGAAGGTCGAAGAGAGCCAAAGATACAAGTGGAAACAGCATTTAATGACCATCTTTTCAGCGATACCTTACTGACTTACAGCTCAAATTTGGTCCAGTTTCTGATTTTGCTTTTAATTTACTTCTTCGATCTTCGTTTACTTGAAAAAATATCTATTGTTGCTTAAAACGTTTGCATTTTCAAGTTATACCAGTTGCCGTTGGAACAGTGCTAAAGGTACTTTCCGCTTTGTTCCAAAGCACATGAAACCAACAAGATAGTTGCATAAATCCTCCATGAAATACTTATTTGATGAATAGAAGATTGCTAACAGATAATAGATGGAATCCCATAGTAAAGAAACTAACCCATATGTCAAAAATTCCAAAGGTCCAGAGTTCCAAAAGTTCCGATATTCGTTTACAAACATGAGCAATACTTGTGATTCATTCGCTCTGAGACAGCACTTATTTCTGTCCTTTGTCCTTTGAAAAAAGAGAACGCAGGCTCACGACTTTGTTCAAACAAAAACCTGATTGGGGTGTAACTGAATCTATCTATAGAGCATTGACATCGAAATACAGACCTCGCTCAAACCGAGAAAGCGCCACATTCTAATGTTGTCCAATAGCTAGTTTTTCTTCACCATAATTAGGTTGGGTTTTATAGCTATGAACTTTGGGTATCTAGTTTTAAATCTACAAATTCTACAGAGAATGCCACAGCCCTTGCCTATAATAACATTAAAACTTAATTATGTATCGAGAAGCTAATAAACTAATATTTCCCACCGAGAAAATATGATGTGTAATTTATTTTATGATTACTTGCATTCTGCATATTTTTTCAAAAGCGAAACGCTTCTTTTATAAAACAGATATCATGCAAACGTGAAGTCACAAGTAGAACTGAATGTAGCAACACGTACAATGCAACTCTACGCATGAAAAACATTTGCAGTAGAGTAAATTAATCGAGGTCCATGTGGTCGTCGGATCTGTGCTCTGTTTCACGAACAGCCTTTTCATTAGTTTCTTCATCTTCAACATCCGATTCCATGTCTGCAGAATTAAGCTCAATGACACTGCTGTCATATCAAGTAGTTTAATAATCGATATTTTACGTAATCACAAGTCTCATTGCAATTCTAAATTGTCGATCAAAAAATTTCAGAATGTAAACTAAAGTTCGAATTTTAAGCTACGATTACACATGGGATGGCTCTTCATCAACGAATTCAATAGCTTACCTGGATGGGACAAAGTTTCGATTTTCGCTGCAGCTTTTTCCTTGCCACTCTCACTTGCCGTAAACTGCGTTGCCCACGCAATCATGTCTGCAATTTTTAGTGATAAGATGAAGAAGCTTCGTGGATGAACGATGCTACGGCCTTTATTTTCCTAGATGTTCCAGAATCGGTTCGCTCGATTTTTCTATGCTCTAGAAGCTTGGGAATAAAACTTACCTCCACTTCCAGCAGCTGTGGCTATATTTCCATCAATACCGAACTGTCGCAATACTGGTGCCAGCTGTCCACTCTGCAAGGCATGGCCGAAAATATCAGCTGTTTGCCGAAATTGGGGTGTACGAAGTGTTTGTTCCAGTTCTTCTTGATTATTGTAGATGGGCTCCTTCGTATAAAGAAAATTGGAAGTTATAGATGTAATATTTTCATAGTGGAATATCTAGTATAACTAACCAAATTTTAAAGAGTTCCGGATAAAACCTATGGAGGTATTACGTTGATGATAAAAGTTTGTTCTCCTTCCAAAATTCAACTGACTAGTTTCTAACTTGAAAGCTGAATTAGCTTTCGTGATTGCAATTAGTAATATTCATGTTACTGTTCTATTTACCGACTGAATAGTAATAATTTTGAAATGGTTCAATCTGAAATGAAATAAAGTTCGGCTCGTTGTTTGTTACTTTCCAAAAACGTAATCGGACTCTATGGAACATGACTCCCACAGAATTTATGAGCACCAAATGTCTGAGTCCTTCCAAAATTTAGTAAGCTAGAGCCTCAACTTTATATTATTTATACATAATAATAATAATTTTTGACATCGTTTTCGTTGGTTAACTTCACTGAAAAAAGCAGTTTCACATGTTTGAGATGTTCCATCAGTATTGATCTGTAGTCTACAGTTATCGATCGCTGCTGCTATATAAACAGAGGCACGAAGTTCTCTTTTGAAAATTGTATTCCTAACTCATATTTCCATGTAGCTCAGTTATTGTTGCGCTTCAAACACCATAGAAATAGCTGAGGAAAAAACATACTTGATTGGGTAAATGAGGAGTCAATCGTTCAGCATATTTCACCAGAACATCGTTGATTTTGTCAGCACAGCAAATTACATCAGTAAAATCAATTGAAACTAAAACGGATATAAAATCTAAGAAATAAGGCGCACTGCCTCTTCAGTGAAAAACAATCGTTTCCACTGTTATGTAAAAGAGAGAGCAATTCTGAAAACTCTTTGAAAAACGACGTTATATTATAACCAACACTGATAAATACAATTTGATAACAATTTTACTCTTTTGACATATTATAAAATAAATATCTCCCAAAGTAGGCTCATTTTCTTAGTGATTCCTTCACCAGGAAATTATTTTATTTACAATTAAAAAGTGAAAGCGGATATACTGGTCTTGCAGAACGCTGACTCTGTTCTATTCTCTCGTCCGAAATAAAATCTCGATATTAATTGATAAGATTTTGGGTTCGTTTATAAATCTTCTAAGAAAGTGATAGAGCGACTACCTAGACATTTTTGGAACCTACGTTTTCTTCCGGATCCATCGGGTGGTGTTATACTTGCAATAATTTCTTTCAATTGCGATAACTGTACTGCATTATTTGACGTGCTATCGGCAACAGTCCCATTAGCAGGTGTATTGGATGGTGTTGCTCCCTGTGTGGATGTTGCTCCGCTTTCTTCTGATATTACTCTAGAAACTATTTTATCAGTCATCAAAAATTTCAACACTTGAATTTTCCTTATATTATGAAGTAGTATTCTGTTTATAATGGAGAAAAAAAAAGATTAAAAATCATTAAGAAATGAAAGCATAACAACAAATATATTTAAATTACTTTTGAAGTCATCGTTACTCGAATTATTAAATTCTATCTCGCGTTCACTTACTTTCTTTTATAAAAAAGCTCAGGGTCGCATTGTCTAAAACTATAGAGGTTTCAAAAACTTGAGAATCTTTTTGTTCCTAATTTGAAACTCAGCGACCTTCAACATCTTTATTTTGTCTGCTTATCAGATAAGTACGAAAGAACTCAAGGTGATTATGACACTAATATTAATATGGGGAAAATAAACAGAAATGACACTAGATAAACTAATTTCAGAGTGCTTCGTATACTAAAGACAATTTATAAAAAAAAACCATCCTAAAAAAATTAAGAAAATTAAAAAAAATCAAAAATCTAACGGATGGGACGCATCAGTAACAAGTGGAAGTTGTGGTAAAAGGTTGGTTGCTTCACTAGCTGACGCGCCGTTTGTATGATTCATCAGTGAAAGTAATTGCATCAATTGACTTTGATCTAAATTTCCCAGTGCTCCAAGTTCACCATCCGCACCTGCATTGCCTAAAGCTGCTAAAGTGCCGAACGATGAAGCACCCGTACGATCGGCTCCTCCGCGTGCTGCCGCTCGTGGGGCTGGGGGATTATTTAGTGTTTCATTTACCTAAAATACAATCTCTTTATATCAATGTATTTCTGAATAAATACAAACTGAGTAATATGAAGAAAGAAGAAAAACAAATTCTACAAACTGATAACTTAGTAATTAAACAATGATTTTTGTGTCTCGAACTGTGATGGAAGCCAGCAGTTTCCAGCTACATGATTAAAGTTAATAACAACACTATTCCATGAGAATATTCGAACACCATGGTGTTTTTTAATATCATGATGCTAAGGAGCAAAACAAATCGCAGCTATATTGTCACTTAAATGTCCGTGCTTTCTTATCACTTGACAAAAATGACTATAAATTATAAATCATAAAAGACTATAATGTTTTAATTTTTAATTTTTAACTCATAAATTAACTCATAAAGAATAGGAAAAGAGAAGCCAACTTTCTTGCAGTTTTCATCGTCCTTGTCAGTTTTACCGTCTTGCATCCAGAATAGACGTTTCTCATCCGTACTTTTGAATTTCAACATATAGACGCGACCGTCCGTACATTCTTTTACTCGCAAAAATTCCGTGTCGCCAGGAAAAATGATCAAATCCTATGAAAAAAAAATTTTTGGAGCCTTGTTCGTCTACAATAGTTGCTTTAACTTTGACGTTTTTTCAAAAATCTTATGCAATTCTTTATCACACTAAGCTTTTCGTGAACTAGGGAAAATTCATCATTCTTCCCCTTCCTCGTTATGTCTTCACTATATGCGGTTACTTAAATTACGTGATAAATTATACGGATTGATATGTTAATGCAAAATTAACTCCAACTACAACTGCCAGCCATTGCACGCCAATTTTTGATCCCTTAATGTATTTAAAAAACCGGAAGCACCTAAAACATTTCAGTTGCTCACATCGACACTAAGCCATTCCTTTTCTTCACCATTATAAAATAAGTAACTAGTAGGGAACGCATTAGCAGAACATAAGTAGAGATTAAAAGTGAAAGATAAAAACTCATTCCTCTTTTCTGGCTTCTTTTTTGCTCGCAAAGACACCAAAAAGTATAAAGTGCAGGAGAATACATCCTAATAATAGACTCTACTATGAGTTTGAAATTACCACTAACAGCTTGTATATATCCTAAATATGATGAATTTTAAATAAAAAGAATGTAATACGAATATCACTAACATCTACAACCGCTCCAGTTTCACGATTTTTCCAGCAAAAGTGCACCAGCTGATCACTGGATTGCTTGATGAAAACTAATCCTTTCGTTTTATCAGCCACAACCTTTCGTCTATCAACTGTCGAGCCTGCTTGCAAATTCGACCGGCCAGCCTTAATCAATGCTTATTTCCAGTATATTAATCTAAGTTATAAATAACAACTGGACATCATATTCGCTAACCAAATTGTTAGTGTTCCAAACCATTTTGCTTCGACCAATAAAATCGATGCCCTTAGAATAAAGCCATATGCACGTATGCAAAAACCTCATAGATATTTCATAACTACGAAAATTTACCTTGAATTCAACCAAATAACCATTATTCGATTGATTGGATCGCGAGTTTGCAAACATAACACTCATAATCACAGAGGTTTACGAAAATATCTTTATCAAAATGCCTTTGAATCTTGAAAATTAAAATCTAAAATTCGGAAAAGTGAATTGAATTACAAAATGAGTCTAGAAACTCTATAGTTCGTGATGTAAGAATTTTCCTCGATGGCTTGCAGAAATGAAAGTAACTAGATCAACAATTCCCATTTGATTTTAATCATCCTTCTAATAATATAAAAAAGATTCGAACGATCTTCTCTCCAATTTCTTGCAAATCTTTGCATGTTACCAATTCCTCCCAAACTGCAGTTTGTTCCAGTTTTGATTTTACTTATATTCTATTTCCTAATTATAGAGCAAAGTGAATAAATATCAGCACGTATCTTCAGACCGTTAACGTTGCTTAATTCATTTACACTGTGTAAATCATTAGAATATATTTATCCTTCTTTGAATTAATCGTAATACATTACAAAATAGTGACAGTTAAAGAAAAAAACAACTGAGGGTTTCAAATCTCAAAAGAGAAAAAACATAGAAAACAATAAACCAATGCTTTTATTCGGGTAAAACATAAAAAAATAAGAGTTTCGTAAAAGCTTTGTGTCATTCATATATGGAAAAATATAAACGAGATTCATGCAAGGGCAAAATGAAAAAACTAAATAAACAGTATGTTAAATGATGAATAGACAAACATTTCATACTTTATCACTTTTCAGGTAATTATCAATTTGCATGCCATTATGCGTCTTTTCTCATTTCTTCCCTCGCTCAAATTTATTTTCCGAAATAATAAGTTGCAACAGACTAGAGTTAAAATTTGCAATGAAGCAGTTGAAAATAAAGTTAAACTTTTAGAAGTTCATCTTTCAGCGATTTGAAGAATACACTTGAATTCGGATTTTCCAAAATGTCCAAAAGATCTTTCTGTGTGAGAATATGAGATAACTTCGCGAGATGAATATGATAGCATAGAACATTTTTGTCGAAGACTGAGCAATCAGCGGCTTTTGATAGAATCTGAAGAGCTCGTGAAAATAATCAGCTTGTAAAGCCAATCGTAGGCAATTTTTTAGAAATGCATTGACTTACTCTTTAAAATATAATAAACGACTGCCATAGAGTTTTTAAATTATACGCCATAAAGTTCGAATACGCCATGAAACGCAGAAACATTACAGCAAATTAGCACCAGTACCACAACGAATGTCATCTCTGATGATGAAGTTAAGCTTCGAAATGTTGCGGATAGTCCACAATTCTATTTAAAATTAGAAACAGAAGGAAATATGTTTTTCGAACCTTTTTAAGGTGCTTCAACTTTGATAGAAAAAAATTTCTCAAGTTAGATATGATAAAATTAATCCAAAAAACGAAAAAGGATACCTCCAGAGCCGGTCTCAACTCCAATGAGGGGGAAATTTTCCAATCAGAGTAAAGCATTACTGTAAAACCATGTAATGGATTTCTATAGACACCACCAACAGAGCAATCATGAACAACCATAAATGGAAACGTCTGAAAAGTTTATATAAAAACTCAGTTAAAAAATTGCAGCCTTACAGTTCATAATCAAAAATGAACAATACATACCACAGAAGCGAAATGCTTCGTAACAATTGGAGTTTCTTTGATAAATGCCATGATGAGGTCACCACGCCGACCAGTTAACCAATGATTCAGAACCAAAAAAAGTGAATGTCGCAGCGAATCTCTTGTGACCGAATAAGCAACGAAATACGAAACAAATTCAGGAACTTCATCAGCCAAAGGTAATAGATGTTTGTGCTGGAACGCACACAAGAATGAGTGACATAGAAAGAAAGTCGATCAAATGTAGAGAGTTGTCGAATCTTCGTAAAAAAATTTTAATATCTCCGATTTTTTAATTTTCCTTATGAAAAACGTCTGCAATAATTTCTTTTGCTCTTACTAATCACAACACTAACCTTTTTCTTTTGCTTGATCTTTTACCACTACAGATATGCTGAATTATCTGAAAAGGTGTTACTAAAAAAACCCACCTGCCGCAAGACGTTGAAAAAACTCATGCTAAAAAGGAAATGCCTTACTAAAAAAATATTTGAAAAATGCCTGACCAAATTAGAATCATCTGGAATGAAAATGTAATGGTCAACAAGTTGGGAAACAAACTGCTGTGCATATGACTTTCCACTACCAATCTGAAAAAAAGACTTTTTTACAATCACGCACAGATGATACATTAAAATTCCCCCAACATATAAATTTA